GGACACAGATTTTTGATTTTTTTGATTTCTTTTAGCAAAAAAATTGGATTGTAATATTGAAAAAATTGCAATTTAATTTATTTAATTACAAGAAACTGAATTTTTAAATTAAAATCGGCCTCTTACATAACAGTAAAGTTAAAAGTAGCCAAATAATTACATTAATGAACTATTTAGCCATTTAATCTCAAAATTATAGTTAAATCAAACAATATATTTCTTAAAAATATAAACAACAAATAAGTAATTATCAAACCATTCTACAAAATCAATGAACACGATTAAAATTTTTTAAAAAAACTGAACTATTGTTACACAATTTGTGTAGAAATGCAAATAGGTTGTATTGCAACGATTCTGTATTTTTTTTAGCGGCTGGTGCTTTGTTTTGAATCCCTTTTAATACTCATACAATTTGATTAGTTGTTTTTGTTGAATAATAAGTTCCAGCTTAAAAACTTAGTGTAACATTTACACAAGCGGTTATATCTACCAGATTGTGGTTGCAAACTAAAAGCATAATTTCGTGGAATGTTATGAAATTTATTGATTAAAATCTTAAATATTTAAGTACAATGCTAATGCGCTACAATACTACTATACAGTTAATTTCGCAAACCGTTTAATTTAGAATTACTCGAAAGAACAATGGTTATCTTTATAGCAATAGATAATATTTATATTATCGATAACGATCAATCGAGATTTAATATCTTAGAAAAAGAACAAAATATAACTTAAAAGTTACAGATTTTTTTGTGAAATTCATACACACACACACACTTGTAGATTTGATATAAAAACAAGTGTAGACTATAATAATTTTATATGAATAAATTATAGAATTAAAAATTATATTAAACAAACTGTTAGTAGGTTGTTTTATTATCTATGGTGATAAGTTAAGTTGAGATAATGAAACAAATATTAACGTCGTATGTATTAATTTTCAAGTAAACTCTTAGTATACCTTATATGAAATAACAATGCAGGAGTAAATTTGTATTAATTATATAGTTTTAAAAAATTACCTTTTAAATAAAGTTTCATCTAAAATCTAAGTTATAACCATACGCGCATATGTATCGAAATTGCATAACCTGAGTGCCGTCTTCAATGTTGATGTAACACAATTAGTTGACAATATTTTTTTTTTTTAGATCAAGACGTGTTCATTATAAAAAAAATGTATCAATACGAAAGAAATTCGAACTTTTATTTATTGTAATGAAAACTTTTCATTAGTACTTAATCAACTTCGAAAAACAAGCGGTATCCTCTGTATTGGTCAATAATATTTTACCTGTTATATTTGTCCCAAACTTGTTGTTGAAGAGAATGGAGCTAAATTATAAATAAGGGTTGATACGTCAATACTGTTTTTCTAATATACATATAATAAAAATTACTATAAATAAAACTTTAAACAAAAAAAATCGTCGTTCTTGTGAGAAATATATAATCACTTAGTTTTTTCAAAACAAGATAACTAATGATTTTTACTGATGATTAAATAAACATTTTAATAAAGCCACTATCTATATGCAGTGACGTCCCATGATGCGCAAGTGTATTTATTTGAATTCATTCGATTGTAGATACAAAAATAAAAGAGCAATTTAAACGTTATTTATGTATGTCTGTCTCGTGTACTATCTGCAATGGAAATCACATTATTATTACTGCATAAAACTTCGAAACATTCATAATAAAACTTTGATTCTAACGTCATCATTAGATGCCATTCATAATGACATAAATGTCAGCCATTACTTAACTTGTAGACTATAAGTTCACTTATATCCATACACACATTCGTCGGTTATTAATCGAGTTTTCTTATAATGCGGAAAATCCAAATTAAACATGAGACGAAAACAACATGAAACACCCACTACTTTAGTCTTTGCTATTTGAAGTAAATGGCTTACACCTACAAACATAATATTACATAAAATCAAGTTAAATTAATTTTTTTTTTTTCGAAAATTGCCGTAAAATAAATGGCATACACCCACAAACATGTTACATAAGTTAAAAAAAATTTTGTTGAAAAATTAATATTATTTTGCCTTTTTGCAAATGTAAAGTGTTTTCGTGGTCGGTCACCTTATGTATTAAACTCCATCGTATTCATGGAAGTACCTATGATTTAGAAACACTGTACATTCTGATAACTCGTCTAATTCCAGATACGTGATAAGAAAAAATTAGTTTTTAATAGACAAAATTGACGAGTCGTAATAAATTTAATGTAAAACTTTTAGTCGACCAATACAATAATTGCATTTATGTATTTGATCTTTAATTAGAATTATAAATCCTATAAATAGTTATCAGTTGTAACTAATATTATTCAGGTGCCTAATTATGATTCAGAATTTAATTAAAAATTGTGTTACATGTATAACCATCACAGCATTTCACATTAAAGCTAAAAGAAAATAAACAATTTTAAATGACTTAGGTATGTTATGATTATTCACTTATGACTTTATGACTTTATAAAGGAAATCCTACGCTTTTTTTATATGAAAAAAGATTAAAAATTAAACATATATTACATACAGGATGTTATAAAGGTAGCCAACTTTACACATAATATGTAGCGGGATAAAATGTCTAATAATTTTACACAAAACATTGTGTACTTTATTCAAAAATTTGAATAACATAATATCATAAGTATTCTTCATTTATTCATAAAACAATAATGCTTTATTTCCAGCAATCCTAGGCCAACGTTTATAAAGTATTTTAGAAACGTTTCTGAATAGTCGATAACGCAATGTAATACTATTTCATACATTTTTATTTAGTCTCGTTTCCGACACATTTTTTGGGTAAGTAGTTTACTGACAACGCTTTGCAATCAAAACATTTTTCGTTACGATAGTTAAACTTAAAAGTTAAAAACAATAGTGCATATGGTTAAGTCAATACACCATGCTTGCAAAAAAAAAACAGTAATTTTATGTTTATTATCCGAAAAATACATTAAAGCTAATTATAAATGAACGGACAATATTATATTTTTTCTCAAATTACATCACTCGTCCGTACCGTACGATAATTTATGTATATTAATGTTTTTATGAATATTTATGCGCTATTAATCTTTTATACCAACATAAATTGTGCATAAATCCGTTACACGAATTTCCTCCAGATAATGTGCAGATATTAGACGGAATTAAAACAATTAACTACCCAAAATTTGTACGTCATATAACTCTCATCAGCCGTTTCGGAGTATATTATTCATTGACATACTATACCTTTTAATAATATTTCTGAACTCACTGAGTTTTACATAATATGTTTGTTATTAATTTCATAAAATATATTATAAACTTCACAGATTTGACCTCAATTTGGCACACGATCTGTATTTTTTTTGCAGCTACAAATTTCTAAAGCCGTCCAATCGTTGAGTTTCTATTTGGTTTTTTTTACAATGAAAACCGCGTCAAACTGTGTTGCTTGAATAGCAGAAAATCATCTGGTATAAAAATAACTGCATATACTACAGCACGTGTACGACATGTCATACTCGGATTCTTACAGATAACGTGGCTATTTTTTCTATCTCAATTTACTGTAATCGGGTCTACCCAGGCTATACAATTCAATTGCAGAATATGCGAATAGTTGATAAAAAGCACTGAACGAACATATGAGTTTGCAATGACTATATTATTATTAATATAAACGGCGGATCGTTGCAACACATTCGTCTTTATAAATTGTCCTCCTACCGGCTGTATAAATCGTTCCTTTAATCTCTTTCGTCGTTTTCAATAAACGCTTACTGTTAAAAAGAATTCGCTTTTGAAACGCAATTCAGATGACCGATGACTAGAAATGCACGTCATCCGCAAAGGTTTCGTCACGCTAACCGACTTGTATATTATCCATAGTGACGTGTGTCCTTGGATCGTCACGTCTAACAAGTTCGTCTGGGATGCGGTTTCGTTGGCGCCAATTTGATTCGTAAAAAAATAATAATAAACTTCTAAGAGGAAAATTATAAAAATAAAACTGGTCCGTGTACTTTGGCGAGTAGTGTAAACGGAGACATTAATCTCTCGGCGCATCTTTTTCCACCCACTAACAGCGGTCGGTCGGTCATTAATATTTGACTCGGACAGGAGACTCAGAGGCTTTTGAAATAGCCAGAAACCATGGTAATGGTCGTCCGACCTTTTATTAGCTGCCCACAAACGGATGAGCCGATAGCCTATTAATGGTGTGTTTGTTTTGCATTGTCACTCCTACACGGGACTGATATCGTTATAGTTAATAAGCTCGACTAGACCGTGAGAAAACTGGCATTTGTCTCAGTATTTTCGACCATCATTCTTGTCCGGCAATTGTTCTTTCTTTTCATTTATTTGTTTTTTTGATGTCCACGAGCTCTCGTAGCGTTTACATCACCATGTTCAGCAGCTATAAGGTAAACTTTCTGTAATAATAATATATAAACTTCTCTCACACCGTAGTCGAACAGTAACAATTGTTTGTAAACGAATAAAAATTGAATTTTCCATGGATATTATAAACCTGTCTTGAAAATTATTTTATGTCGAGATTTTTACTATATAGTCTTACTCGATATTAGTACAACTGGTGGTTAGCTATTAATGTTTATAAAAAAACCACCATTTACATATTTTTAACCCCACCCCCACCCTCGACGGTGTTAGACAGTTTAACATGAAATTTGTTACATATAGTATTTATAATAACGCCTATATGATTTTAAGAAATAATACATAATTTATTGTAATTGTTTTAAATAATATTTCTATGTCAATATTACAGTAGGATAAATGTATAAAACTAACAATGATATTATATGATTATCAAGTTCATTGTAAACGTGTTATATAATTCTTAACACAAAGCTGTAATTGGTACAACTATATTTTTTAAGAATATCCAAATTGACTATATGAATTAGTAGACTAACTATAATAATTTGTTTTTATTATGTTTAGCGTACCAATGATGTACATGTTTTTATTTTGCACATTATGCTCGGCGGTTTTGTGGTCTGCATCTATTGCCGGACAAGATATGTTATTGGACGAACCACAGACAAATGCATTAGATTGTAACAAAAAACTGTATGCCTTCCAAGTGTCCAACACAGACATAAATGGCAGGTCATGTTCCGACGAAATTGAAGTGATGTCTTGCTGGGGACGGTGTGATTCTAACGAGGTAATTATATAACACTAACACAGCACTATTAGCTAAAAAAACAATAAAATATTGACATTTAAGTATATCAAAATTAATAACACAAAAAAAGATTATTAAATATTGCAGAGCCAAAGTCCTCCCTCCAAAAAAATGGAAAAATTAGTCTCTGTAAATTGTCACTTTATTAAATTGTATACAATATTATGTGTTGTTGACTATTTGATATTTTATATTTCAATAAAATCAACTTCGTTTAATTCGATTTTATTTCATTATCAAAGATAGTTTTTCTTGTTACATTTTATTATTTATCCATTCTGAATAAAAAGATATCTTATTTACTCAGGACTAGCATTCAAAGTAAAAAACGTATTTTCCGTTTCTGGCTATAATAAAAAGTTTAGTGTAATTTTACTTGATTGCATCTTATTCAGGCAGTACACTTATTGTAATTCCGCTGGTCTTCATTTTGAGAATATATAATATTACTTTTAGTTTAGATGTATGCAATTTTCAGAGAACACTTAGAGCAACCCAGAACACAGTAAGCTTAAGACATTAATGCCGGCATCAAGCTTAGTATTATGTTTATGTAGTACGAAGAACCCCCCCCCCCCCAGCACTATAAATAACACTGTCACCTTTTCCACAATGTACAACTTGTTATTTTAATGTGTTGCTTACCGGAGATCCATTTACTGAAATTATAATATTTTTAAACCTTATTCAGCACACCGTTCTCATGTCATTTCTCCACTTGAGCATAAACACCATACACGTTTTGCATTACGGATTACCCCAAAACATTTATAAATATCCAAAAGAAATTGAATTTTTAACAATCAATTTACCAAGAAAAAAATGCATATTATACCAGGTGCACGCAACATGGGCCTCACCGTGGTTTGTTCTTTGGTTGTGTTGTTTTGAATAGCAACTCGTGTTTTGTAAAACGTATAAAACATTATTACCTACTTAGGTATTAAGTAACCTTTATTTGAACGGCTTTCAAACGTGAATTTTCGGCATAGTGTAAGATTGGTGCAAAACTTGAATATTTTATTTCTATTCGCTACATGAATGATTCATTCTAGCAGATATTATCATTAGTTATAAGTTATAACTTATAACTAAAACTAACAATGATTTCATCAATAAACTAACGCTAAATTGATAATATATAATTACTGACTATCATAACTAAATTATAGTCATTATACTAAAATGTTAAATAATATGTACAAAAGCAATCGAATATGTGTAAGTATAGTGAGCAGCGAGTTAATCATGTATTGACTATTGTCCATGTTCTCGGTAAAAATAGGAATATATCAAACATTAATATTATGTTTTTATTAGCATAACCTTATTAGAGCCATAAACTATAAAAATTTGTTAACACTGTGCATTTTTATATAATGTAGTAGTTTTTGTGGAGAAATGAGATTTATTGGTTACTAGGTGTAAAATGAAATACTTGGAGTTCAAGTTGAGTAGTAATACAAATATAGATAAAGTTATATATCAGTATTAACAACTAGGATGAAGTAATTGAGGTAAAAAAATGAAAATTAGTGATTTACGAACACTGTTATTAAAGTCGAAGTAATTGTAATACTTGAATTGATAAGTCTGTAGTGATAGTACAGATAATAAATGAAAGCAAGAGTTGGCCAATGTCTAAATTTAAAATGCATGAAAAACATCAAAATATGGAAGTACCTTCCATACAAATTTTAAAATAGACTTACGTCATTATGGAATAACTAGCGACTTGGGTAGAAATAGGAATAGATTTATTCGATAGAAGGCGACTTGAGAATTGAGCTGTAGGCAAAAAAGGAGGGGGGGGGGAAATTAAAAACCGACTACACGATAGTTAAGACAGAAAATACGTAAGCCTACGAATGAAAGTATTGTGGACACAGAATAGGCGATGATTTATTGTTATTGCATCGCCTACCTCGGGTGTAACAGTACTTTGGATATATTTTGATAGTCATAAAATTGTTTAACGGATCATTGCGTTTATCCGCAGGTGTCCGACTGGCGGTTTCCTTACAAACGTTCGCATCATCCGGTGTGCATACACGGGGGCCGGAAGTTGACCAGGTACATACTGAGGAACTGCGAGCCGGGAGTCGAACCAGGAACAGAAGTGTATGTTTTTCAGCAAGCCACCTCGTGCAAATGCCACGCTTGCAAGTCGTCCGAGGCGTCTTGTGAAGGATATAGATTCAGAGATTTTCAGTTTATACCCTCCAATGAAATTTAAATTGCCAATGCGTTACCGCCGCATCGATGAGCTACTCTCTATTATTTATAATGTAATAACATTGAACCATACCAAACGTAATACATTATTTTACTTTGTCTCCTAATAAATAGTTTACCTTGCCGGTATTTTATGTTACCTTTATTATTATATTATAATATAGTAATATAAGAAATTGGCAAAAGTTGTTGGTTTTGTATTTATTTTTTGTGATTCCATTACCTTTTATGGTCCAAATACATTTCGTCTGTGGTAGTGACGCATGTAATAAAGGCGATTCTGATATTTTTGCGGTGCTCGTGTAAAGGAATAAAATAAAACCAAAAGTTCCAAACTGAAACTGTGTAATATGCCTCGAGACATATTATGCCTATGCGGAGAAACGTAGTTTTCTCAGACAAAACCTAGCGTTGCGTTAATTCGATAATATTTCACATCTCGTTGCGGCGTTCCCCCGCAAAATGTGCAAAAAGGTGACAAATGAACTTGTTAACCGACTTGAGTAAAAAAAAAAAAAAAGGAAGCAAAACGATGATATAGTTTTTGTGGAACGTAACGTGACGCTGTCATAACACAGGTCAGGGACAAGTTTGACTGACACGGGATACACCGCTTGGTAACATACACGTCGTCGTTGTGGTAAACTGTTAATCGTTTTTAAAAAAAAACTTTACGTTGAATACTTCATAAGACTTAAGAACTCGTGACCTCCTCGAGTAAACGGACGACTGTAAACTTTATCATAAACTCACATAATACTATATAATATGTACCTGTTAACTACTATATAAGTCTTTTCATCCAACGTCATGGTAATTGAAAAAAATAGAACTTGTTATTGACTGAATTGTTTTTCAGTAGCTGTGATGTTGACTAAATTAGTCGTTGTGTAATTATATACAATGATGACAATAACGATATATAGGCTAGATGCTAGCGCCTACCCTATATAGGTCCTCCACAACTTTATAACACGAATTAAAACAACAATATTGCACGCGACTCGAGAAAGTAAAAAAAAACCGCGGTAGGGAGTTAATATTACATGAAAGTTTTAAATTCCTGGCCATCTCGAAAAGTATGGTTAAAATTATGGTCATGTACATATTCATTCAATTCATTAAATATAAAGAACTTGTATACCAAAAAAAAAACTACTTTATTGCAGCACAACTTAAAAAAACTTTATGAAATGTATGTTACACTATTAAACACATTACCAAAAGTATAAACGTATCGCTATTATGTCCAATTAAAATTTTTAAAAAACCCAATTATTTATTATTTTGAGTACACAAATGAAATTATTGAATGTATAATTTACATATCCAACGGTCAACCAAAAATCGCATGTGCTTTAAAAGTGACACCAGTAAACAAAATTGTGTTTATCAATCCTCAAATAAAAATCATATTTTTAGATTTTCGTTTATTTTTTGACTTGTGTCCTTTTCGAAACACACGTGGAACAAGATAATTTTCTGATATTTTATCAAAATACTTGAAGTCACGTGGTATTTATAATTTGTATACTCTTGAGTTTTTGTACAAACTCCAATTGCCAATGGTTATTTTTCACACAACAATTTAAAAATAAATTAAATTTCTAATTGTTTTGTTGAAATTTGGCATAAACTATTAATAGTAAAAAAATATAATATAATAGTTTTTATAAGATAATATTCTTCTTCTCAGTCGTAACTCGATTCCGAGTGTCGTCGTGACCATATGCATTGAGTTCTGCATGATGAGTTTTCTTGGGATTAATGTCATGGTAGGTTCCTTCTTCTTTCCATGTCACAGCTTCACAACCAGTAAAATCTCCCTGATTTTCGCTCGTGAATGCTCGATTTCGGCCCTTAGGGAAATCATCTTTCGATGACCTAACATCGTAATAGAATAGCTTGCTGCTTTGTTCCTTGTACTCGTAACCCGAGTATTACAGACGTCAACTCTTCCGGGCTAGAAGAGAACCTGGAACTGCTCATATCCCTGAGGCGGTACTAACTCTTGTGAGTGTACCTACCCCACTACACCAATAAAACAATATAATTTCCAGTAAAATATTATTAAAATATATTTTTGCTCTGTGGTATATAAATGGTAAAAAAAAAGTTATTTTTGTATGTAAATTAAAGTGAAAAATATGAACACTACCGAGGGGATCTATTAAAAATTATATTACATTGATGATTAACCGAACAAATTATGTCGATCAATAGGTATATTATTTTATGACACGTAAACAAAACAAATATATAATGGCTTGGACACCCAATGACCTACAATCATTAGTCTAGAAATTATATAAAGTCCATTAATGGTTTATAATTATAACGATTTTGCATGATGGCGAAACCGCCAGGGAAAATAATAACTAGGCAATATAACTATAATTTGTAAGGGTTCAATTGCAGTGTGATTATTATTGTTTCCAGACAGAATAAATTAATGTTACTTTCACTTTGTGCCTTATACCCAGAAAATAATACGGTAAAACGATTTTTCTTTAAACTTGTGACAAACTTACTTATATTTGCTATCACTCATTCGGTTTTCGATAAGCCAATGATGAATTTACCCGTCGGAGTTTGTCGCCTGTTGTCCCCAACGACAAAGTACATGTCAACATTAACTAACGGTATACAGCTAAACAACAACTTTATTACCCTATATACAAGCCCTTTACACACAATCATCTTACACCTGCGCCCTTATTGGATAATATGTGTTTTACAAGTGTAACTACTATATAAGTGTCTTCTAAACTTCATAAGCGCAGACTATAAAATCGTGATCAAACACGGACAGTTATATTAATTAGAAGAAGGATCACAAACGTCCTGCTTCGTGTTTCAAAAAATTTAGTATAAACATTTTTCTAAAACAACTGTGGACTATGCCTATGCCCTATAGGCTATAATAGGCTTTATATTAACACAAATATGTATTGTTTCAACACTGAAATTGTTTGCCAAGCCTTTGCACGATTTATGTATACCATATTCTAGTATAAAACGATTTCTATTAGCTTCATAAGTACTTACAGATTTATTAAAGGTTTTAAAAATAATACATTTTATATTTTAAACAATAAGTATTTTTTAAATTGAACATTTTGAACACTTTTGGGGATGTTAAATTTTTTAAATTATGTGTTGTATTCACAACGATCAAACTATAACTAAAAAACAAATTCAATAATTTAACAGGTCATATTCCCTATGAATTGTTTTAGGCCAGATATTATGAAAACACTAAAATATTAGCCAGAAACTTGATATGTTTACTAGCCACCTTAGATACTAGCTTGTTACTGCTTGTTAATATACTATTTTATTATCTATAATTCCACCACTACTCTAAATTTACTTCAACGTGACATGAAAATGCTCTTTCGTGGTCGCAGACTCGGCTGAAAAATGTTTTTTTTATTTAAACAATTGACGATGACACTTAACAATTTAACTAAAGAGAAATGGTAAATATCATATTATTAAGAGCTATGATTATTATAAACTATCAATGTTTGCTATTGTTCCTGAGCTTTAAAGTTAACTTCAAAGTTTCTATGCTAATTGTCATTAATGTTTAACAAGTAGTAGATAGATAATAATAATTATTAATAACTGTTAATCTTTATTCAAAAAGTAGAATATTTTCATATCAAAAGTGTATGCGGTATTATTAAAAATAAAAACTAATTGCTTAGTGTTTTTTTGGGTGGCTTAACACTTTTGGTTATTTCGGGCTTAGTGAACTTTCATTTAGTCCAATGTTAAGTACAAATAATAGTCTGTTAAATCGATTCGTTTCGGTATTGTTGATCACCAACGATACCGATACAGACGCATGGAACATTTTTTGTTTCAATTAATCGACGCCACTTATATTGTCTTAGAAAATAAAACACAGCCGATAGAGACGTTTATTTTCGAATTGGGATACAGTGAACATGAAAAAAATACTTCGCTAACGACGAGTCGGATAAATGATCATAATGCTCGAGCCCATAAAGATCGTTTGTCATTCGGTAATTGCAAGACCTCCATAACAATTCGCAGTCATCTTCTCAGCTGTATTGTTTATGGTGAGCTTTGGTTAGACGGCGGCCCAGCAAACGATTTGCAGCTATTGTTTATCAATTGCTTTACAGCAGTAGTTTAATGTTGCGTATCAAAAAACTTTAAAATAAAACGGCCGGACTTCAGAGTGTATATTAATTGTTGGGCAATTCCACGTCGCTCTGTAGTAAGTGGTTTTTATTTGCCGTAGATGTATATGTAGGGCGTATTGCGATCATCTGAAAACATTGCACTAAAATCAATGTAAATCTGTCAGATCACATCCATTGATGCAAACTATCCCAGTTAAATTTGCATAAGTTGTTGTGTTTATCTTACCGAGAATGCCATGCAGCTAGGAAACTAGGAAGTTAAGCATGCCGTGTACACCCAAAATAGGTATGTAATTGCTCATTGGCAAACATCTCTGCCAAAAAGTAATTGCACATTTGGGACGCGATATAGCACAGACAGGTATCATGATCAAGTTGCGCCAGGAACGCATCGACACCCTCTTAAAGTCTGTAAGTGAAGAGTGGAAGGTAGTGACTGGAAACAGCAGAAAAATGTCAATAAATTTCGAAATCTCCAATACCATTGAAAATACTTCAATTTCCTATTCGTTTGGCTTTCGCGATGGCCATAAATAAGTCTCAGGGACAAACAATAGCCATTTGCGGCTTGAACTTGAAAAATTCATGTTTATCACATGGGCAACTCACGGGTACACACGGGCAGCTAGTGAACGATTATAATTTTATTTTTTGATGGTTTTTTTAAATAAATCTAACTAATACCTAAATAAAAAAATTGGCCTTTTAAACCCATAGATAAAATAGTAAGCTTTTCATAAACAAAATAAAAATTGAAATCCGTCTAATAGTTACGCCGGAAAATGACTTCTACGAAAGCCATTTTTTATCAAACATTCGCCATAACCGAGCGAAAAATAACTATACAAATTTTATCACTAGAAAAACTTAATAATATCTTTTTACATTAAAATTAGTCGGCATAATTAAAATGGTTACTAAATCAATTTTTGTCAAAATATATTGTCTGACCACTGCCCCTTAATAAATAGTGCTTTCCGTTCCCCTTCTGTGACTCTTTCATTAATCGGATGTATAATAACTCTTGTGACAGCAGCCCTGCGTCGCGTCCAGTTGATTACCGGTCTAATATAAATCATTAATATTATGAGCTCGGTCAAACCTACTAAATAGGTGTTTACAAATAGCTATTGTTGTTACACTTTAAATACTCTGCTATAAGCCGCGTTAAGCCCAGAATCTATATAGCTATTACAACTTAAATACAAAGTAATTATTCAACGTCTAGTGCAATTTGCATTGACCATTACCTATCTACTAAGTTTTCCAATAACTGAATGAGTATAGTTCCTTTAATGCTTCTATGCCTTAAGTCTATTTCATTCGATACTTTGATCGATTGTTGACTAAACTCTAAAAGCGCCTAATCAATTTTGCTGCAACTTTGAGGACTCCATAGTGTTTAAATTAATTATTAAATAATACAGTTACGCTATCATGTATTTATTTTAATTAAGTTAAAATAGCCACATGCAATAACTATATTTATTGAAAATATAATATAATGTGTGTAATTATTTTAAAATACATCAAAAACCACTGCCAAATCATTGACACATGACTTTCTCAAACTGAATTCTATAGGAAATGAAATTACTAGAAACCCAAAAGACAATAGATTGTCATGCTAACATAACTGATAAAATCTCTTTTCAAAGTCAGAAATTATAAGGTAAAGTCGACTAATAACAGCAAAAATAGATCAACAACCTTTGAGCTAGGTAACCGAAATGTTTAACACATAATGATTTCAGTTATCCACATAATCTATGCAAATTTCAGATGACTAAGTTTAATACTTCGCGAAAAAAAAACTTAAATGCCCATTTGACAGTAAGACATATTAATATAGTCATACTCCTATCCCGAGATTCGACAAACAAATGGTCCAGGGAGCCGTAGCTTCCTATTTGAGTAAACAATGCATGTATTTTGATAATTGTATAATATAGTTACCAAAGTATATACCTATCTATGTATTTAATATTAATAATTTATTTCTATAATTATTATTCAATATTCTACAACTATTTCTAATAATATACCTTTAGCCAGATGTTTTCTTTTGTATTCGTTATTTTTCGGAGCCCTTATCTTATACAACTTGAGGATTATAACTCGAAGTATGCAAAAATATCAAATTCTGACTATGTGTATAATAATCAGAACCGTTAAGTCTTATGAGAATTGTAAGTATGCAATTAATTTTAAAGACAAATATGCGTAAGGAACATATATATTTTTCAAAGTACTTAATCCGTTTAACTTAATTTTTATACTTCTCGTTTATAATTGAATAAAAGGAATTTACAGCAGCTTAAAATGTATGTTGTTAAAATACAAATTATATTTTACTTCAATTTACTCTAACCACTTTTAGGTGATCGTTTAAATTTTACTAACATATATTTTACTTACTATTAATATAATCAACTGGAGTAGGTACTAGTAGTACATTAATAAAATTCGGTCATCAAATTATTTGATTAAGAATATTATTTATAAATGATTTAAACCCATAATCATCGTTAATGAAATACTCGAAACACCCAAATAGGAAGTAAATAATCGGATTTTACGTTTGTCTTTTCATTGGAGGTCTAAAAAATATACCCCTTTGAGTGCGATTGTGTCCATTATAAGTGTCATGAACAAATTATTTAATTTGCTACGATAAAGAACTGGAAATAGTGTAGGTAAACCCTAAAAAACCGTCGATGGATATTACTTTCATTTTCATCGTCCCGGGGGACCGCAAACGTGTATTATAGCCAAAAGAAGCAATGAAAACCATATATGAAATGATCGGTCTTGTAAAGGAAGTAGATTTTAGCGGAAAATCGAAAAAATCTCAAGGGAAGCGTGATGAGAAGAAGTGTTTTGGCTTGATTCTGTGTCGTTAGGATACGTATCCGACTATGTAATACGTGTTTTTATTTTGATTAGAACGATATAGCACGTGCAATACTCGTTTGAACTTTTTTTTTTATATAAAAAAAATCTCGCCTCATTCAGTTTTTTCGGTGGACTTGAATAACACAACTTCTGGAGTAGATTTAATGAAAATAAAACTGAGTTGTGGCAATCAATGCAACATTGTCATGGAATAAACTCTTCTCGTGACATAGGTTCAAACTGCTTGCATATTTTATTTAAATTTTCTGTTGTTAAAGATGGTTTTGTAAAGCATTATGGCTGTGACATCATTTTTTTTTTATTTGAAAATATTTACAATCTATATTTTATATACAATAAGAAAAATTTAGGGCTAATTTATTTACAACGCTGGACGACTTGATTGAAGGAGGTGTCCATTGACACTACTTCAGTATAATAAAAAATTAACAATCGACCACATCCACATGATCAGTCAATCTGCAGAAAAATACAATGAAATAAATCGAGAAGTATTTACATATCTTGTTACAAATAAAAACTTTTGAAGAAGAATATATTTTATTTGATTTAAGTTAGCGAGCCGAAATGTTAAATACATGTCGCGTGTATCATACTGCGTGGCTTTTGTTCTTGTTGTTGTTCCTATTGTAATTCATAAATTCCGCCACTACCTAGACCATTACTGTGATGTTTTATTTTAACATTTAAATACAATTTTTAAATAGTTTTCTCACCCTTACTTTGTTGAACATGTTAAATAGTCTTAAATAATTAGGATACTATATGTTTCCACTTGTATTATATCTTACAGTGGTCAATTTTTTTATGAATTAGATAAATATACAGCAAAATACAGCGTTTACAGCAAAATATTGTATTTTTTTATCTAATAAAATCTATTTCTTAGATAAATTAGCAATACTGTTGAATGTCTGTATGAACAGATATGAGTATAATTCGTTCTATAAAGTTTTCAATTAATAAAAAGACCCTTTAATATTATAATTTATATCGTTTACTTAATATTGGATTGTGTATTTACAGCTGTACATTTGTTTTTATCAGATATGCGAGTTAGCCTAGAATTATACGAAGCAACAGAACCGCCTTAAATACGGATATTTGTATAAAACTAAATTACTAGTATTACAATCTTATATCATACACGATATTTTTTTTAATAACTCTATGTATAAAAACTGATAATTGTTTGATATTGGCTATGGTGTATTCTGTATCAATTGTTACTAAATTAGTTACAAACCATCAATGGTTTGGCTTATTATTGCTTTATCAAAGAGGTAGCTGCGCTTGCCTGGAAAATGTGTGTTTCGAATCTCGGGTTGGAGAATACCTTATGATTTCTCGTGACCCATTGAGTCTATAAGCACCTGAAATTTGCGTTTTATTTGCTTAGCTGAACTTAGTATGTGTTATAATAACCCAAACATTTCGGCTATCTAGCTCAATAACTGTAGAAGTCATAACTATTTATGCAACTTGCGGTTACTGCGGTACCGTGGTTTCCTGTATAATCAGTCTACAGGAAACCACCGTACGAACTACGAGCAACCTCCAACCAGTTTTTAAAATGGAATGTGCATGTATTAGGAAACGTTGGCAGACCAATCAAACTACTCAAGTTGTGTAAATACTATACCACACTCAAGTTTTAATAATATTTTGCTGTTATCAGTCAAGTTCGACTTAACTTATACCTTTTGACCTTGATGGTAGATTTTTGTTTAATTATGTTAGGATGGCAACCAATAGTCTTTAGGTAAATAGTATTGTAATTAAAAAAAAAAAATTTAATATTGGATAAGTTATGAGCCAATGATTTAGCACCGTTTTTTTTTTTGCTTTTATTAACACGGAATCATTATTAATTCAGGTGGAACTGATAATTGTTGATACCCATATTAACATGTACGACCCATGCAAAAAACTCAGTCAGAGTAGGTTGAAACTTCCACATCAATCGTATTACATAAATGAGTGTACCCGAATTACCTTTCAAGTTTCAAAGGATTAAATTGTCTTCAAATTTCGATAACTTGCTGTCAAAACATCACTAAATATATAGGTTTTTCGTTAATACGTTGTATTGTTTCTTTAATTATAAAATTCACCTATAAAGAAAATTATTTTTAACAGCTTTAAATGCTTAAAACCCCATAAAAAAAATATGCGCGTTCCATAAATACGACGAAAAGCTTAAAACATTATCTATACACGCTCATTTTGTCTGGAGCGTTTCCATCAGTAATAATACTGAAATAAACATTAAATACATTGAGCTACTCATTTAGTATTCTTTTTTTATCCAACTACGGGAATCAAGAATAATATGTGGGTGTTTTAAATTGAAACACGCGTAAATACTGATGTATAATTAATAATATTATATTCACTCATAGTTATAATTGATTTGTAAGCCTAATTTATCCTTCGCATAAACACTGTGATTTTATGTTCAACAATGCTCATAATTTGTATTATATTTTGGTTTTTCGGGGTTAGTGATGCCTCCATATAGGGAGACTATACAGTCTATACAGAGTATGAATAAATCTTTTAAGTATACGTTCAAATTATAACAGTAAGTACCATAGGACTTAGTAGCGTTATAAATGAAAACAGTATCCACGAAAATAACATACTACATGTGTGTGTTATAAAACTAATTATTTATATTGTTATTATTTCAATATACAAATTAGTTCAAATAAATAAAGGCATATCAAATACAACGAGTGCATTTGTGCATCTTTGACTGCTACATTATCAGTAACATCCTCCGTAACTTCCATAGCCGTTACCACAAGCACCGTTACCAAAACCGTTACCATAACCGTTACATCCACCACCATAAACGTTTTTCCTCATTGCAGTAGCTTCCGTAGTCGGCAACACGTAAACGATGAACAACTGTAATAAAAACATATAATATAAAATAAGTACAAAATTAAAAATAATACATACACAGTACACACATATATCATTATAAGTTAATGAATAAATTAATTAATTAATACAAAACGAAAACATATTTTTCAAATTTAACGAAATCGTCGTTGGCGAAGTGGCTTACATCCCTTCAAGGTTGAGAATAATTAGTCAAATTCAGTTTCTCTCCAACATACAGTGACACATTACTGTTATTGTTGTGTTTTTGCATACAAATTTCATTGAGCTCATATTTTACTTAATTTTTGTAAGTTAATATGGCGAACACACGTACCATTTATATTTATTTAAAATCCGGTATTTAAATGTATAACATGAAGAAATCCTATATTATCTTATAATTTGTATGATAAACAAAAATGTTGCGTCGTTACTTACTTGGCATACATATTGATGTACAATTATAGTTTCGAATATCGGATACTGTTTTCAAATTGGAACCTGCAGACACTATATGTGACTTTTTACCTAGTTTGGATCTCAAAAAAAAACCTCAGTCGTATACCATAGTCAATATTCTGGCGCCCTTATCTTATTTTTAAACTAAAAAAGTAGTCTTATTCTGTCATATTTTATTTTATTATAATCTCATCATCAATAATGCAAATACGCTACAAAAACAAAAATATTGAAATAAAATAAAAAAATACTCTCGATTGATTGCTCTTGCATTATTCTTTACGCATACACTTTGTCGGTCAACCCTAATGAATACCATATTATACTAACAATAAGTTGACGTTTATAAATAGTACCACACAAGTCTACCAGTTAAGTGTTACAAAATCAACGCAGATAAATATCGAAAAATAAATATATTATTATGTTTACATTAGATACACCTAGTGTGCATCCCACTAACTCACATAACATCATTCAATTGTACTCAAATAATGTTGAAATTTGTGATGAACAAAATAAATATTCTACTAACGTAATATTTGATTATGAAATAAAAATGTTAACTGTACATGCTTTTGTACTGGACAATAATGTTTTATTTGGTGAACCTAGAAACTCAAACTTTTACTAGGTAAACAGTTTTTAAACAATCGCTGTCTATACAAGTAGAGAAAACATGAACAAGAGATCAATACAACTCTTTAGTACAAGGTTTTTCCAAATTTTCAGGATAAACGATGGCGTACTACTAAACAATTTAAGTATAACTTCAACAATAATGCACATTTCGTGGACTCAGAATAAAAGAGTTAATTTTAGCAGAATATCGTTGTTAGTTTGTTATAATGATTAAATCCACATATTTTATACAATGCCTATACAATGTGCCTTAATAAATGCTAGTGTAGAGGCCCCTTAACCAATCTATATTTTTTAATTTTTTCTTACGATTGCAAACTACAATATGGGAACCTAAAATATAAAAATTAACGTTAGTACCTACTCTTTTATTCTGAGCCTACGATTTATAAAAAAACACGTATATTTTAACTAATTAACCAATTCATTATTCGATTGCACAACTTGGGAACTTTTATGTTCATAATTTTGTCAGATCAATATGTGAGTTTGTTGATTCATTAGAAGCGTATTTATTATAGCTCAACACAAAACAAATGCATGACGTGATAGCATTTTATATCAATATATAAAATACTTAAACTTGAACCTTTATTTTTGAAACCTCTTAATAACCATTAACATAATCGGTTCACTTCCTTCCGACATTTTCATGACATCATTTCAAGTGGACGTATTTATATCGAAACGAAGACGCCAGTAAAGATGTCTACAGTTAACATAACTATTCAATTATTTTATTTTGCTAACCAAGTCCTAAGAACATAAACCCCAATTCCCTCCGGTGATTTTATTAGCTATATTTTAAATACCATTTTATTGTATTCATTTCTTCAGTATATAGCCAAGTGATACACTTATAAATATATTTTGTATATTTATTAGTATCTAACGCTGTTATAAAACACTCACAACACACAAAAATCAAAATTAGGCGTTTTATATTATTTTTAATATAAAATTATATATTAATTTTAAAATGCATATAATAAGTAATTATAAGTGCTAAAATTAATTATTAGTAACAAGTGATAAATAACAAATAACAACAAATGGTGTGCATTAATAAAAATGAGTGCAGTAAATTCAAACGGTCTCTGCAGCAATCTATTTATATTAATTGTCTTACTGTTAAATTTAAAACAATAAAAAATGTATTGGTTATTTTTAATTCAACTCGTAGTTGGTACGTGAATGTTTCATATTCATTCAATAAGTCAAAACCTCTTAATTTGAGCTATTTGTTTTTGTACACAACAGGTGGTAACACATTTAAAATACGATTGAACATCATATAGGTAGGTATTTTCTTAAATTATTTTTATCAAATTTTTCTTAATTATGCGCCGCAAAACCATTATATTTAACTAATTAGAAACAACTATTGTTATTTGTTTTTTTTTTTATAATTCATAAATAGTGCAAAAATAATTCAAAATATAATGTATTAAAAAAAAAACAGCGGCGTAATTATTTGAATCTAATCAACTGCGGTTATATTATTTTACTAGATTTTGTTTTTTTAAACTATATTGATATCACTAGCCTTAAAATGAAATTGTTTCAAAAAAAATTGCATTTTTTGTGGAAAAATATCTTTGGTGCAGCATGTTTGTACGAACATGAATGTTCATCAACAATAATCGTCGCAGTTTCCACCTCGTCCACCACCGTGTCCACCACCGTGTCCACCACCGTGTCCACCACCGTGTCCACCACAGTATTCACCACCACGTCCACTATGGTGTCCACTATGGTGTCCACTATGGTGTCCACTATCGCGTCCACTGTCGTGTCTACTATCGCTTCCACTATCGCTTCCACTATCGCATTCGTTGGAACACTCGCTATGGCAGCGTTTTTCTAGCGCGACGGCATTAATATGACCGAAGACGGCTAAGAGCAACTGTAACATAAGAACACTTGTACTGGATTTATATTTGTATGCATTATGCATAGTATATGTGGTGTATTCATTTATATATATAAGTGAATTCCACATCTCGAACCTGAGAGCAATACTTTCGTGGTGCACTCTAACCGAGAGGACAAAAAGAATTTCGTTTGTCCTTATCAGCCGCCCCTCAGTTACTGTTATAAATTATGTCCGACCATATCCGGCATACCTCGACCACTGAACTGAATGATTAATTAGTATGTACATTTCACACATGAAAATGGGCATGTGTTTGGATGGAAAAACAATTTCTGCTACTATATGAAAATATCAGTCTATCCCATGCTCTTATAACCAGATCTGGTAACTCACTATACGAAAAAGTGTGGCCGATTTGTTTATCAATTGCACCTGATAAGATTTTAGAAACAAAATACAGGCCTACTGCCCTGTTTAAACGCGAGTCAAGTATTATTTTAACTCGGCAAGTTTCAGTATTAAACGCAGATTAAATTTAGTTTCCATAGATAACATGCACCTAACGTTTTCGGTATTACTGCAATCGACACCGACGGTCTAAAGGTATTAACTTTCAAAAAACTTAATGCAGTTGCGCTGAACCACGTAAAGGTAATGTTTTTAATTATAAATCGTCTACCATTGTTCTAAAATTTCATATTGCCGTTATTGTATATATTCTTCCGTAAACTCTATGCATTTACAATAATTATATTTACACATTAATGTTTTATTTGTTTGGCGAGCGAAGATAGGAAAATGCGTCGAGCAAACTGATATTTTTGGCGCTCGCAACCGCTGTGCTGTTTGTATAGATTTCGATAAAGATATAGGACATGTATAATAGTATCCTGAGGGATTTTCGAGAAGCCCACGTACTCGCTCGTAGAGTTGAACCTACGTCGCGTGACGCGTACTCGAATTATTCATGAACCGCTAATTATTTTTTTCCATTAAACGCGCAATGTTTTTTTTATTTTTTATTAGTAATTATTGTTTTTTTTATTCACACGAAGCTCTCACATAGGTGTTATATATACTGTATGGGTGGTCGAAAAGCAAGGCAAAATTAATAAAAAATTCCACTCCAGTCTTCGACAAACAACACCGGCACACACTTACCGCGGCGGCGACAATGGTCCATTTCCGGATTTGAAACATACTGAAAGCCATTATAGTGTTATGCGTTGTATCGCTGATTTGTGTGGTATACTTGTTGATGACAGGAATGCAAAATGCTCACTGATGCATTCCAATGGTACCGCCGCTGCCTTTTATAGGCAACCGATTTTGTTTTTGACAAAGTTCACTCACCACCAAATTCTATGCGATTCGATGAGATACCATATTTTTGAACGTTGAAATTTTGACGTTTGTCAAATAGGGTTTTTTTTGGTCTATACACACACAGAGGCACGTAGTACATCAGAAATGATACGTTTTACTGCACTTAGTCATATCGGTAAACATTGTATTTTAATGACGCAGATCAACACATATTATCGAGTATGTATTTAACAGCCGTAATGTCTACACATTAATTAATCTAAATGCCAAACATTAAGACTGATTTCGTTAATTTCAATAATATTACATGTGACAATCTAATTATTAGCGTTATTTATTTACTAACCGTGTATATTACAGCCCATAGACGATAGTTTTACTCGCCGGTGCTCATTTTAACACATAAGGAATTCATTTGCAACACTTGTGGGTTAAATATTTAGCAAAGAAATAAAATAATGAAATATTTAAAAAAACCTTAACTACAAAAATAATACTCTTTAGCATATACGTACTCTGGCCTGCTGAGCAAAAGTGCCATTACAATTTTTTTAAACACCAATTAAACGAAGTAAACCCCTATTTTACTTGGTTTTATCATTTTTTTTTTTTAGTTACGGCACTTTTGCTTAGCAGGGCAGTATTTTGACAGTATTTACCATCATGAGTGCATACAACAGACTTGGTTTTCGAAAGGTTTTCTATAAAAATCTGTCTTCAGATATTATATACCATATTATTTACTATATCACAGCTTAGTAAAATAGGATTTGTAAAAATGATTAGTTTGTTGCAATGTGATTGGAATCGACGAATAGCCCCGCTGTGGCCATTGATACTCAAATCACTTATTCACAAGAACTGAACAAACAACAAAAGTTACATTAAACTTTCCATTTTCATTTGGGCTAAGTTAAATAATTACCTATCTTCAATCCTTGGACAATTGGTTTTGATACAAAACAATTGTAGGTCAATTGCTTATTTAAATTGATAAAATTAAGCACAATCGTGTAACACAAAAACAAATACACTCATTCTCATTGTTATGATAAGTATTTTTTCAGTATATATTAACTTTGTCGCTAGAAACAATGACCGGTTAAATCGTTATAAAAAATAATAACTCAAAAGCGATAAATATTCCATATAAAAATCCACCTGTATAATGAATTTATATTTTAACTGGACTGATGCACCAGCCACCAGCCACAAGGGATTCATGTTTTCAAACCAAATTAAATTGTCTATAGAGAAAATCCACTATAAATACGTTTATCATTGGTTTTTTTACCTAAATTATCTTATGTCACAGTTTAAAAAAAAAGAACATGATAGTGGGTTATACTGTTTACGTAATGTTTTACTTAGTTGTATAACTATTATAATAGTGAAATAAATAAACAAATAGTTTGTTAAAAATATTTTAAGTATTGCTTTGAATGAATAATTGTATGTTTTTAAATATTACAATAGAAAACATACTTTTGACCAATTGTCCGTTTTATACTTACCTTATTTGTGCAACTGCACGATTTCTTTAAAACATTGCATTTTTATTAGTTTTAATTTTTTAAGCTTAAAAATACTTCTGCAACAACTTATTGCACAACATAACAATGTATAGAAAAAAATCCTATATTAGTAACTGAGTAAACTCAGTTAAGGGTATCCACACTTACAGATACATCAATTCATGGATATGTCCTGATAATTTATGATTATTTTCTATCTATAATTTCCTTGCGATATATGATGATAGTATAGTCTTAATTATATGTTCTGGCTAAACGTTTTTCATTAGTTTTATAATATCTGGCCTGAATCGATTTACTGGCAACATTATCAGTATTTAACCATTCTCATAAATCAATTTCCGTAGTTCGCCAGTAAGTAAGTGCCTAAAAAACTCATTTCACCATCCTTATACATAATATATCGATATATTCTTATATATCCTGCAACTTGATGTACCTTCGGATCATCCAAGTGTGGATACTCTTAACTTTATTTTCAGAATGACCCTCCATAATCCATATCTATTATCTCTAATATTATATATATATATATATATATACATAAATATACAACAAATAAATAAAGTTCCTAGTTTAAGTGATTTTTCCTTAACTTAGTGAAATAAAAGAGGGATTTCACTTAAATAATAACTTTTAACCAATTTTATTTTCACCGGTACATTCGATTGTATCTAGTACCGCTAATAGATACTGTTTTTTTTTTTTATGACAAAAATTATTTAAATAATATTTAGGTTAAGTGTATTCAAATACGCCATTTCTTACTATGGCATGTACAACGATTCTTGCGGGCACCAGTATTTTACCTAATACCTAATAGAATAATTGCTCTACAAATATTTGTCGAACTATATAATGTATGTTTGTACAAATGTCTGTTAATTTTAATACTATAATATTTTATAGATTATTTAATTATCTATTAATTATTCAATTCATAATGGTTCGGCTATTAGTTAGTTTATTTAATTTAGTAAACATGACGTCTGAAATTGAGCTGTATTAATTATTATGGTGTCAATAAACCTTTATAACCTATTATAGCTTTCATAAAATCTACTTAACTATTACAAACAGGTCTAAGCAAGCAGTATATAGTACTTTGCATTCGAAGCGTAACACACTAAACATTGTATGCTAGGTACTTAGGGCAATTAATTGGTTTATTCATCTGTCAAATAAAGTACTTTATTATAAGTAAATAACTGAAAACAATTCGTTTGTATATTGTGTTACAAAATAAAACTTTTTAAAATTTACTACAATTAATTAATTGACCGATACGCGAAAAAATGTTTCTACATTAAAACGAATGAATTATGTATATGAATTTTTAACGATGACATCATAGATGTTTTTTGCCAATCCATTGGTAATAATATAATTATTGTTGTTGTATTTTAATTCTGCTTCCTGATATTTCGATTAAATATTTATTTAACTTTATAAATGATGGTCGTGATACTATTTTAATGTAATATTTGCCTTTCGATCAATCAGTTATGCACAACAAATTATTAGGTATTAAATTATTTTATATCGTTTTAACAGTTTTTAATAATTAAATAAAAAATTAACGACCTTAGTTAAAAAAAACGTTCTATAAAAAAAATAATTTTTTTAAGTAAAAACCATTATGACTTTTATTTTTAAATTAATATTACGTTTTTCGAAAATATTTTTTTTCAACATTTCAAACAGGTGTTATTGTATTTGACATAACCATAATTTATAGGCATACATTACCTTTATATACACTCATATGTTTTCATACTACGTACGTCGTACATGTTAATATATGCTAATAACATTAACCCAATTTCTCTTGTCTACTTCAATTTGTTTTATTTGATGATATTAACAACGTTTTTATATTGACGAATATGTGGGATGAAAGCACGGGTAAGGCATAAGTTTCGTATAGTGAATTGCACTGTGCATTATATCTTAATTAAAGAGTTGTTTTAGTGTACGTTTTGATCAGCTCAATATGATGATTTTTTACTGGATATGATTTTATTTACAACTAGACTAATAAAATATATTAGTATCACTAATGAAGATTCAAGTAGGTATATATATTATAGTCAATGATGTCGTAAACGTTTTGTATTAGACTTGTAGAATCCATTGTTAAGTTTAAAAATAAATGAAAACTTCCTATTTTTAATCTTGATAATTGTGATAAATTTTGTAAAGCTCTTCTAGACGGTTTTAAATTGATTTATCCATCAAACTCACGAAGAAATTATTTTTTCTACTCTTTTTGTATGGCCGATAACCGATTTGTTGTAATTTTATAGCCGACAGTCAATATATATTTCCTAGGTATTTATTTATTTAGTTTAATTATTTGTTTACCAAAAAGTATTGACAAGTGTAATAAAATGTCTCGATAACATGTGGGGAGATTTTTTTAAGCTTCTGTCTTTTGTACCGCACACGTTAAACATATTTTTTCTTGAAAATATGACCAAACAAAACATATCTAGTAATAGGATCACTCTGCGGGCAATAGCCGTGGGCGACGATCGTAAAAACGACTGCTGGCACGACAAAAACACAATTCGTCGAGTAAATTTATTTTCGTCCAAAAAGAAAAATTCGGAACACTAGTTTATTTACATCAATGCGATTGTATAAAGGCTTGACAGAAAAAAAATTATAAAACCTCTGGAGTTTGAGTTTCGCTTAAAATAAATGTATTTTAATAAAAACATCATATTATCAATGAAAAAAAATAAACGAATAAGTAAATAAGTAGGTAACGCGTCAATATATTATTTTTTTAACGTCTAATATAATAATAATAACTTATAAATTATATAGATAAGATTTGTGATTTAATGTTATACTCGAATGGAAATTATATTCAATTTATTATTTCTATTTCAGGTAAAACAAAGGCAATAAATATGTTACGCGAAGTATTTATAAACAATAAACTGCAAGTAACATAATGGTAAAGGTAACTATGAGCAGAGAATATTACATAAGTATTATAATTAGATATTCTTCGATGTTCGTAGGTTCTAATTATTAAAAAATGGTATTGTATTTATCTTAAAGGTTTTACGGTGCACTTCTAGGATGATTAATCTTTCTTACAGTGGTAACAAGAACAACTAATGGCCGATTTGAACACCAACTTTCTAACGCCTTCCAAACAAAGAACATTGACCTCCACCTGCAAAAAAAAATGTTTTTATTGAATTAAGTAAAGTTGTTAATGGTTTTTCTTTTGTTCGTTAAAGTTATAACTTTAGAACTCTAACGCTTTGAATATTAATATGAATTATAAATTCGTTTTAACACTGTTACAATCTAATATCTATAATCAACAAATTAAGCTTGCTATTATTGTAGAGAGAGGTAAGTATGGTAAATGAGAATGTTAGTTACAAAGTTTTAATTACAATTACATCAAAGTATTAAACATAATAACTGACATGTACTTTTGAAACGCACGTTCTTGGCGTATGATAAAGAGTGATTTTGTGTATATTAGTTTTTCTCTTTTCGAGTATAAAAATACAGACCAACGGGGTAGTTGAATACTAAACAAACCGAGATTAAACTGCAAAATTAAATATTTGAATATAAATGTAAAAAAAAAACATACTATTGCGGGCATACGAGTAAACGAATTTCGTTATAAGAAAAAAACCGAAATAAAAATGTACACAATATTACAGTTTACATAACATTTACTCTAAGCAAAATAAAATGTGAACATTTTATTATCAGAACATGATTGTAATTATTTTTAACAAGAACATAGTATTAACGCAGAAAACCCTTTCCAGATTAACATTGTGAAACTAAACTTGACGTTTATGCAAATTAAATATTCTGTTTACTTAAATAAAATAAAAAATACACTTGGGAAACCGGGCTAAGTTGATTAAAAATACCAAACACTGGTTCGATACTAATATTATTGTACAGTATACCAATTATAAATAATTAGGTTTGAATGTAAATTTTTTTTTTGGCATTTTGGTTATTTCGGTTTTTTCATTTTAAAATAAACTTTTTCGGTTTTTAATTAGTTTACATGGTTATATAACAAAACAAATATAAACTCGTTGCATAAAATGTTCATGAAACTTTTCTAACATTGTATAATTAGATAATTTATTAAAACATCAACCTCATTGAGCAAACTGATTGTGTTATTTTCAATTAATATAATATATATATACAAGCTTGTCCGACCCGGCGTTGCCCGTGTATTAGAATAGACACACAATCAGCTGATCGGATCACTGTATCCCTGAGGTATGAAAAACCATAGAGATGTATTAATAACTATTGATATTATTGATAATCATTTAAATTAATTAAAAATTAAAAACATGTTCTATCGGATCAAATTTTGAATCTAAACCTTTCTCGAATTAATTCAATCGCGCACACAAAATTTCATAAATATCTATCCAGCCGTTTAGGAGGAGTTTGCATACTTACACACGAACAGAAGAAATTTCTATATAAAGATATATATATATATATATATATATATACATATATATTGTCTCTCTCCGATACATTTATAGGTGAGCGTTTAAGTGGATATTCATTAAATAGTCAATAGAATATACTGTAAACATATATTTAAAAAAAAAAGTCCCGAAAAACCAATACTACTAAACAACTAACGATTACATTAGATATTACATAATAATATATGTATAATTAATTGTTTAACTACCATTAGTGGCCCTATGGCGTGTGTACTGATTACTGCGCATTAATATGAAATTAGTATATTTTTCAACTTTTCCCAATCATATTTTACAAGGGACTTAATATAAGCCATCCAAATTTAAAAATAAGTGTCGGCGAGTATAAATGTTGTAAAAATAATAATCCAGTGTGGGTTGCCAAACGATTAGCATAGGTTTCAATATAAAACGCCAAATATGAACAAACGTTCGGAGTGACCCCCCTTCGATTTTTTTGAAAATTACACTGCATGTCTGTTACGATGAAAAAAGTGTTCTCAATTTTTTTGGATTTTAAGCATGGAACATGCTTTAGCCTTATCCCCCAGCCCGAAAACGACACTAAAGTAGCGCGCCTACTTTAAACGTATAATAAAATATAAGATGCCATCGAAATAATAGCAAGTCGTCGTCATGCAAACGTTTGACCAGAACATATAATTAAGACTATACTATCATACCTCGCAAAGAAATTGTAGATATAAATTAATCACTATTCAGGAGCCAGCAGGCTAAAGCATGTTCCATGTTTTATAGTTGTAGCCGTTAGGCTTTAAGTAGACTGTAACTATTTTTTTTTTTCGATTATATTGGCCATTATTTCGGTCGTCAAAAGTATTTGAATTTTTTTTCTTGAACCATATTTTTTATAGCATCTTCCGCCATCAAAGAATTTTATTAAAAATCAGTTTCTTATGTAAAATTCTTAAAGCTTTCTGAAAAAATATTGATTTTTTTTTTCGAGTTTTTTTCGAAAAATAAGCAAAATTAGTCATTAAAATTGCGTTTATAATCTGAAAATTTGTTTTTTTTTGTGTTTTCAAAAATTTAAGAATTGTTTTAATTATTTTTACAGAAAACTGAGATAATTTTACATAAGAAACGTAGATTCAAATCGGGTTCTCCATAAAAACGATAGGAAAGTCGAAAAACGAAAAGTTATCTTATTTGTACCTACACAAAATTATTTTAACTATTTTAATTAATGTGGTCGTTTTTCCCGTTTTTTAGAGCATAAACTGTAATATGTAATTACACATATTATTAGTTTAATAATTAGGACTTTTTTTTGTAGTTATTTTATTTTTCGAAGCTTACTGTTTTCTCTATGTGGCCTAAAAAGCCGATTTCTGACTTAGCTATTAGATAATAAATTAGATTTATTAGAAAATTTTAAAAACAAAAATAAAAAATTTTCTTTTTAGCTTCATAGAGAAAATAATGACAATTAAGTCACGGAACATCACTCAAAATATACTTTGAGACGTAGCGTATATATATATATAGCCTATATCGGTAAGAGGTAACAATCGTCTCAATGTATAATTTTGTCTCGTGCCGTCTTGTCGGTGTTAATCCGTTGGCATCGTCAAAGCTGCTAAACTCATAACGGATTTAATTAAACGTAAGTTGACACTGTTATTTTTACGAGCCGCTCCGTGACCGATTAATCTCCACAATGATGGCGTAACCAGATCACGATTAATTAAAAACGTTTCGTTATTAAGTATATGTAAAAGAAACACCCAGAACAATAAACGGTAATGTGGTTCGTTACCCGGAAGAGAAAAGAACAGGGTTGAGAGCAAAAAACTACAATTTTTTCTGTTGAAAAAATTACTAGACATTTGCACAATACAAAATTCTTAAAATCATAAATTTGTATACTGTTAAAGTTTTGACTTAAAACTAATGCGTGATTTATAAAAAGCTCTATTTAAATTTGCATTGTCCGATCCTTTGTTTGACATTTTTCTTACATAAATATTTGTAATATTTCGTATAAAAAATTATTTGAAATAGATAAACTGAAAAATTGTACTGCACTTCATTAAATGAAATAAATTAGTCTTAACAATCGAATAGTGAAAATATAACTTACAAACAAAACAAAACTTGACAAGTTCAGTTAAATAAGCTTGAATTTTTTTAACCGGGTATTGACAAATACGCTAAAGCCGTTTACTAATATAAATAAAGAAGTACTCAATGCAAAATCTATCCTCAAGAAAACATTAGAATTTATCTCGCTGTGACGTTATTTTACGGCTACAACTACGCGGAATGAATAAGATAAGCAAATAGAGTTTGAAAACAAAATGTCGTTCAGCCCAAAATAATTACCGACTTCAGGTTGATCAACATATTTATCACAGCCCTAAAATGTTGTCTCAATAGTTTGACGGTCCTATATCGGTCTCTGGCTTTTAATATGGATGTTTCCTAAGCAATGGGCGTTAGCGATACCACTTTATGCCTGTTGTGTTTAAGTTCGAAACTAGACATACAACATTATCATAACTCTCCGCTTTATTATATTATAGTACTTTCGATAATCTAAGTTCACATGTATTTTCTCGAGTATAATTTTATGTGGATATGATTTTAATGTTGAACTTTTCCCTTTGATAAACTGCTTAAATGGGTAAGGAAACACCGCTCAAGGACAGATGCGGGTAGTGTACAAAATATTTAAAACGAACAAAACACAACGATATATCTGCATACCTGTAGTTTATAGTTTAGAGATTTGAAAAGGAAATTCATCCATGTGAAATTAATTTGTCTTTGTCTAGATTTTGGCCAAAGTTATAAAACATCGACAGTTTAGGAGATTCATATAACTCACCTTCTAATAACTTACTCAAAAATTACCCATGTCAAAAATCTAGATAAAATTTCGATATCTCATTTTGTATGCGCTTAGTTTTACGCTAAGAACTTTCTGAGAAAGTACAACTCTTTAAATGTTTTTGTAAAATAAAAGCTTTACTATTGCGTTTTACAACTTGGAAACAAAATGATGCACCATGTTTGAAAACGTATAATGCGTGATTATTTCATCATACTGCATACATTACATATAGCCTACAGGTAATATTATTAACACACACAGTCTCTGACATCCAATATAATATAATGTAATGCAGGCGTTTAGGTATCTATTATTATACATAGCTAAATTTCTCCAAAAAATACACTATAACCCTCGGCTTTTACGTTCCTCGATTAAACTAGTCATGATCACCGTTAAAAAGTAGATGTAATGTAAAGTGTTCAAAATGATAAAATTTCAAACAGTTTTTTATAGTATGTCTAGTAATTAATCGCCTTATCATATGTTCTGTCAGCGTCACTCTGCCACAAACTGGCGATTTCCTACAATAAAGTGGTAAAATGTTGGCTACCTAATTTGACCTACTGTTACTTACGTCTTCGGTATCCATAATGTTGCAACATTGTCCTACAGATGTGATGCTCTGGTGCGGGTTTATGATTAAAGTATCGGTTGGCGACGGAACTGCCCACGATTCACAATATCCTCGACATGCGTTCGTTGTGATACGGAACTCCACGCAATTTGGTATGCTGATCTTCCTCGTGTGACCTATAACAATACATTTTAATGTAAATCGCGTTCAGTTTTCACGAATACGTTTCTTTTAGACTAGTTTAATGTATTTACAAAAGTCCACTTATGCTAATTAATATATATATATATATATATATATGCATATACATTCATGGCGTACAGACGCGCAAGGAAAAATATAGCATGTCTTAATAAAAAACTGACAGATAATGATTGATTATCAGGTGTTATTATTGGGTTTGAAAGGTTCTTCGTTGCAAATAATGACAATTAATAATCTGTTTATAGCGTTTAATTGAAATGCGTAAACGTAACACTCATTATTATTATATTATTGTCACTAATAATTCATAATATCTTTTCTAAACTATACTAAAGGGCAAAAATTGAATTAATTTTTTTTTTTAATGTCACTAACTCAAAGCTTCATTTACATTTAACTGAATTATTACCGTAATAAAAGTATTAAAATCTCAGTAGAAAAACAATTTAAAAAAAATAACATCTTTTAAATCATTTAAAAAGTCTCAACGCGTCGCCGTTGTTGAGAGTAATGGCCCGTAAATAAGTCATCACTTAGACTGGAGTAATAAATGGCGATAACAAGTGATGAGAATTTAAATGAAACTACACAACTAAAGAAAATTGCATTAAGTCTTCTAATTTGATTGGCAATTAGGTTACACTACATTAGATCTATGACCTGCAAATCCATGTGACTGTCAAAAAATATTTCTTTACCCAATTTAACTATGGATTTTAATAATAAATTAACTTTTCAAGTACTTAACTATATTTCGACGTCATAAGATCACAGTGACTTATCACGCAAAAAAAATATATTTTTTAACGCATATTAACTATTTTTTTCTGTAGAATTTAGTAGTAAAACACCGTAGCTCTAAGAGTACCAGAACACAGCACTCAAAATGACGTAATAAAATAGCACATAATTTCAATTTAGCCTCTCTTGAAATGTATGAATTTCGTTGCTATGATCTTACAGCGACGATTTAAAACTTAAAAAATAACTTAAATAAAAATATATGTATATAATAAATTTGAGTCATAAAAAGGGTTCATGTTGAGTTTCACAATTTTTTTTTGCATACAAATGCGATCTGACCAATCCACTATAATGGTTTTGTTAAAAAGTTAAACTTATTAATTTTTGTACAACCCGTCATTATTATAGTTACATTGATTCAAAAATAGCCTCCCGAAAAATGGGGATTCTTTAAATGGTCAAATAGTAAATTTTAATGTACTCACCTACTTTGTGACAGCCAGGTTTTTGCCAAGTGTCGGAACCGGACACAGCCAAAATCGACAAACATGTCAAAAAGAATATCATCATAGTGCTTACTGCCCACCGGCTTTTGTCCACCACCATTTTGCAGACTCGATCTAGACAAAGAAATGAAACACTATGACAACAAAATTTATAATATCTAAAATTATAATCACTTATAATTCAATCAGAGAGTATGATTTATATTTTTTTATTTTATTTATTCCCAACAGACATTAAATAATGTACCAAAATTCTGCCTAGTATTTAATATACTATATAGAACTTATCAAGTAACAATAACACACAAAGTTAAATGATTGAAAAACAACGATTAACATTTTTTTTTAGTAAAAAAATGTATAAAGACATAAACTTTTTAAGTCTTTCTTACAGCTACGCCCATGATAAAAACACTATATCTAAGTACTACTTGGTTTTTTATTAAATGTATACGTGTCGTGTATAGTTGAAGTTCTTAGTTCATAAGTATAGTTTTTCGCACTTCCGACCAAAACTATTGCATTAGATGTTATCAAGCGATTGGTTATAAATTATAATGCAATTTCTACAAATGTTCGGAAATTGCGTTAATGAAATTGTGTTTTTAGACAATGTAGTTTATTAGACCTCCTTCATTAAATAATTCGACTTCCTAACCTAACCAATGGCAATCACGTCGTTCAAACTCCGTAGGTACTCGTTAAAACACTTATATTTACTTCATTTGCCATAAACAACGATGCGTGTTCTAGTAAACTTTTCTTTCGGGCTGCCGAATTCGAATTCCAAACACATAACAATTGATGATTAAAAACAATACAATAGTAACAACTTAATTACTAGACGAACTGTAATACAGGCCGTGTTTCAAACTTGAAACTTTAATTCAATAATAATATACCGCGCTTAATATATTATTATAATTTCTCTAAAGCGTCACCGCCACTTTGAACACACGCAAGTATTTACTATTGTAGGTATAAAATCTTAGAAATGGCTCGAAAGTTTGTTGGGGTTTTCTATAGGAATAAATTGTATAATTATTATGAATTTACTCGAGTGTGCTGGAGAATTCGGTTTGATATTGTACTCGCGCGGTTTATTAATCTACTTGTCGTCGTCGTCCCTCAACACGCTGACAAATAAATAGAACTCGACTTATTTGTCTGAGTCTCAAGTTTCCAGTTAGTTTCTATGGAAAACTTGACAACACATACGGTGTGTAACACGAATCGAACAGAGTTAAAAAGACTGCGTATCGTGAAACATCCTAAACTTAGGTGTAAGCTGACATAAAAATATGAAGAATATTATATTAAGCGCATTGTTGTACGAGGAAAGGACAACATCGCATTGGATTCCCAGTAAGGATCGTATTGTAAAATACAAGTAAAAAAAAAAACCGATCATTTATCTTCAGTAGAAAACAAAAAAACACATCGCACTGTTTTTACATAGACAATTATGACGAAATAAAACCGTCATTGTTGGCGTCGTTACAAATGGTCTGAAACGACTACACTAAAGCTGCATAATATCTAGAAGGACATGGCACAATTTTTTCTGTCATAGTCGCCTCAAAGGATTTTTACAATCGTTTTTTTTTTTTTATATTATAGATAAACGTTTTCAGTGCCTTTCAACGTTTTGTTTTTGCCATTAATAAACAGCGTGTGACGGGCTTGTATTTTTTAGTACTGTAACATCTTTAAAAACTGTGTTTATCTGTAAAAAATAATAATACACATAATATTGTATTGTAGAGCAGCAAACCCGCCGACATTTATTTCCACTGCATTATTAAATCAATGTATCATATAGTTTCGGTATCAGTCAAACAAACTTATAATTATACTAAATAGTAAGATTTCTGTACGCGCAATATGCTTGTAGCCTAACCTTATCCACCTTGCCACAAAACAATTATTCTAATAAGTAAATTTATAGTTTTATTTGTGCAATCTAATTTTTATATACGTGTACCTGTTTAAGTAGCTAATGTGTCTGACGTCTGTAGTTCACTGTGAATTAAGCAATTATATACATATGCGTTAAGTTAAGAAATTATTCCCATTTTCTATTCTCCCTTATATGCGATTTAAAATTGAATATATTTTAGACATGTTTTTAAAAGTAGGCAGTAATATATATTTTGTAAAAGTAGCATTATGCTTTTTGGTAACATGTATAGCCACAGTATTCTGAAATGGACCAATAACTTGACATGCTTCCATTTGTAAAAAAAAAAAAAACTTTCGCTTTACTAAACTACGACAACATTTTTCGAGAGACAGTTCCATTACAATAGCCCTACAATAAAGATGATAAATTTGTTGAGACTCAAATCCAATTCGCTATTGCGCACACAATGATTGATGGCGCACATCTTTTGGGTTTGCTGGCCATTTCATTTCAAACAGATAAACTGGACAGGTTTTTAAAAGCCTATACCATTTAAACACAAATTGTGTATAATATGTGGTGTGTTTATTTTGTGACAGTAATTTCAAAAAAGGCATTCTACACAGTGTACAAATTAGAATTTCAAACGGATAGTATATAGACACACAACATTTAATGTATTAGCTGTAATCGCTAATTGGTCAATAAAATTCCCATTCATTTTGACTGTATAGATTATGGAACACTTGTACCAAGTTCTTCGTACACATAAAAAAAAAAGACCGCCACATTACTCTAAGATCTTATTTATCTATATGTAAAAGAAAATATAGCGTAAAGTTCTATTATCTACCATATTTTGTACCACTATTTTGAAATGTCATTCTGCACATATAAAGATGCTTCGCATCGAAACTTAAATAAAAAATTCATAATGTATCTAAGTTTTTTTTTTAACAGTAAGTTTGTTATAGGGGTATAACAAATATTAAAAAATAAATTTAATCAATTTAATAAATTTAATTTTTTTAAGTTTCTGTTTTCATTACAATTTTGTAAGCTTCATTAAAGAGATGTAATTAAAATTTCATAATGGTATAACTATTATCTTAAGTGTCAAGTTAGGTTTTCTCTTGAAAAAATTCATCAGAGTGGAATTATTGTCCTTTGCGTAGTTTTAGCCGTCCATTCGTATTTATAATATTATACGATAGAAATAATTTAAACGAACTTTTAATGACACATAAACAACATTTTAGACACTTTCACAGAAACACAAACGTGCATAGTTGTACAATACATATTTTTATGTGATTACTGTTTTTTTATTCGTAGATGATCTATTATCAATTCCAACACGAGAATTCGCCCTTCGCAGAACTTCGAACAGGAGAATTTATACTAATAAACCATAACCCACTCGTCTTATCTTATGTACCACAAAGTAGATGTATAGAAATCCTAAATATTAACGACCTTCTTGAAAGCTTAAACGAAATTAAAAGGTTATAGCCCGTTTATGAGTCTTTCGCAGATGGTGAGCTTTTTCCTGGAGACAGCGCCCTATAATATATTATATGCACTGAACTCTCACATTTACCTCGCTGGAAGTATTCGAGTGCTTAGCATGCATTTGTTTATTCATATTTATTGGATAAAAACAAAAACCTTAACATACTCTTAGCAATTTTCTTAGCAGCGTTCAAAACGTTTTGTCAGAAATATGAGTGCAAATTATAGTAAATAATTATTTCATTTTGTTTATAATGGTTTTGTTAATTGCCTTATAAAATAATACATTAATAATAAAAATAGACACAACTACTTAACACAAAACACATTAAAATAAATTGTAGTATCTGCCGTAAATCTGCCATTTGCTCAATACAATTGAACAAGCTCGTTTCCACAGTTGACATAGATCGTGTTTTAACCTACCTTTAAATCACTGTCATTTAAAAAAATTCTATTCCACTTCCAAGTCTAATTCAATCGCTTAAGATAGATAAGGATGAAGTTTGTTTTTATAGCTAATATTATTTGTCCATGTATATTATTTATGAAAACTTTATATAATATATTGTTTATGAAATAAGAAAAACAAACTAAAATTAAAATAACGTGTGCACTGCAGTTATACATTTTTTGACACCGCCAAAATTATTCCACCTTACTAATGATATGAACATACATAAATAACATAATGAATATTGCTGAGGAAACTTTTATTCGCTTTACCGCAATGATATAGAGTAATAACGTATTTTTATTGTAAAAATTAAATGATGACGAATGCGTGCAAAATAGGGTTAAAAAACGTGTTAACTAAAAAACAGCTAAAATGACGGCTGTCGGGTTGTTTTACTCGTATTTCAAATTAAGGTTATTTAAATGTGTAACACGTTCAGCAAGGGAAGCAAACGAATAATAGGTGTAATGTTAAATGGGTTTTGTAGATTTGTACCCACTTAGAACTATAAACTATTGAAAGCTTATGTTAATTGTATTGTTATTTTCAAACTCAAGTAAAATATCGCATTTTATGTACTAATGAGTAGTTGAGACTTAAGTAATCGCGTCTAGACTAGGTAGTTTTTAATTAAAATGCGCATAAAAACCTTATAACGATTACAGAGTGTAGGCGAGTACATTAAATTAGATATCTGACCGTTTTTTACACTCCTATAATAATGCGTCATAATATGTTTACTATTCTTTTAATACCAAAAGTATTTTAAATCTAATAGTTACTGTTTTATTTATGTTTGAAAATTTGTATACGGTTAAATTAGAATTGTCTATAATCGCAATACTGAACGTACACAGCGAGTACAAAAATAAACGGAATGTTCATTTGTATTAAGTAATTAAAGGAAAAATGGATTATTACTTTACATATCACACATGTGCTTTAAAACTAACACAAATTAAAAAAAAATCAATTGAGAAAATTGCGAAAAACTGTTAAGTGAGTTTTACAAAGTTTAACATAACTAATAATATTTCCAAATTGTTTACTCATGTCATCAGTTTTATGGTGACATTTCGAAATCATTGCAGAGTCCATATACCGAATTCCACATCCGAAAATTATCTACATAATGCATGTAATCTTTAACACGATCATTGCTATTCGTATAATTATAAAGACATAAATGTTTAAATTATTTAATTGAATTCGTTGAGAAAACTTGTTCCCAAGAAATAAACATTTATAAAATTAATCATCTACTGAAAGAAAAGCCGAGGGTGTAAACACTTTCTAAAAATCATGAACTATAAATAATAATCAACGGTTAAAGTATACCTACACTATGTAATGCAGAAACACTAAATCATTCGCAGTTTTCTGAATACAACTACTAGTGAGAAGTTTAAGTTATTATAACTTAAATATTATAATACATGACATTAAAAAGTATTCAATATTTATGAACCGTTATAACTTTTAAGTTCGTATCTTTTTTTTAAATTTATTATTTTTAATCGTTAAAACTTTAACAACTTATTTTATAATTTATTTTAAAAATTGTTTTATTCGGACAAAAAGAAATGTAATGAATGTATCTTCACGGTAAACTCTTGTACATATAATAGCACAGTACATAATATAAAATATTATGTTAAACTGAGGTCAAAATTTCGCTACAATAGTGTAACTGACAACCATATTTTAGTACGGTGGGTTATGAAATTGAACAGTTGACCGAGTTACAGCTATGTATGGTCGAATGTTTAACAAGAACAGATGAAAAAAACGTTGCATAATATTATTTATTTCTAAGACTAACCGCTCGAGTAGACTTCATTTTCCCACGGTAAGGTAAAAATATATACATAGGCCATAGCATGTCATTTCAAAGATGTATACCGACTATACTAAAAATTGTACTAATTACTATCGTAATGTAAATAAAATATTGCAACTCTAATGTTTGCAAGACATTAGTTTAAATCATTATTATTTGGGAATAGATGCAAATTTGTAAGAACTCCATTAAAAAATAGTACATTAAAATACAATATAGTACAATTATTTTGTGTTTCAACAACTCGCTATTAACAAATCGCATTTCAATAAGTAATTTATTAGCACAAAACTAAATTTGTATTACTAAATTGACACTAAAAAAGTGCTATTAAAACCAGCTCTTCTCCGAAACATGGATGTGCCTAAATTGCCTATACGCGTCGCCGGGTTTATTTTATTTAAAACTGAATGTTGTTTCACAAATAATTGCAGGAAATACTTACATAATGATGACATTTTTTTATGTTCCGAATTCTTCGAAGCAATAAAACTGATTATTCTCTTTGAGAATAGTTTTTTGACAAAAAAATACTTTTTTAAATGAAAAGATAATAAACAGTAAAATTAGTTTGTATTTTGCAACAACGAAAATATTAATTAGATTGCTTAATAATTTGAAATATACAGTTTTTTCAGAAAATTACGGTTTGATAAAGTATAAAAAAAACATCAAAACTAGGAATATTTTTTATTTTTAATTGCAAAAATGTAATACAATTATTTTAATGACAACTTCGTGTTATAATAACTTGGCTCTGATTGTATTTCCAAGTAATAATGAATATTAATAACTAATTTTTCTTAATCCCAACATTTGTTTAGTCCAAACTCGTTACCAGAGAATGTTTGTTTAAAAAGCCAAGTGAAAACTATTTCAGTTTGTTAAGAAAAACTAAAATGATTTAAAGCTAAGGTCTAATGTCCAACATAACATACACTACAGGCAAATCAATATTCTTGTGGTTTTTAATATTAAACACTTCATTTAATCTAATTCTTATGTTTATACAACATTTTATAAGAAACCCCAATAAATAAGTATATATTTAATACAATTTAGACTTATTAGGAAATATTAAATTTGTTTAAGGTCATATCAATCAGTGATCATTAGCTTGTTGATTGGTCGGTTCGCTTGGGCCGCCGCTACATAAGTTATGTTTAATTAGTCATAAAAGAATGTTGAATACTTAAAAATTAAATTAATGAGCTGAATTTCTTTTACTGTGCATTTTTGTAATCTCATTGTTTTTTGTTTTGTGATTTCTATGCAAACTAAGAATGAAGATAGAGCCATTGACCGTTGACCGTTTTAAGAATGGAAATATTATTAAATAGTAGTACAAATATAGAGACTGATCGTTTTAGAAAACAGCAAGTTGTTGAAATATAAAAAATTGCTGAATAATGTGGTAGTTATAACGCATTATATTTTTATTTTTATCACACTTATTAACATAGAAAAATAAATAAACAGTAAGTAGATATTTAATATGTACGCATTCTTTTGGCTTAACACAAATCTCCTAACATGAGATAACAAGAATCTTATATCTAGTCAGTGGACGTACGTTGTTGGCGCTCAATAAAATTGAATTCTTACATTTTTTAAAATCACTTTTTTCCGTATAAAATAGGTGCGTACATGCTAACAATACAGTTGAATGACTCACAACTTTGTTGTCTCAAAACCTATTCGAACACATTTTATTCCAGAAAAAATGTTGAAACAAACTAAATGAATAAGTCTTTCTCAATATTCTTAAGTCGATGTCTTTGCGTCCTATTTCCCCAAATCTTATTTATAACTTAGAAATCTTATCTAGTCCGTTTTCGAAAAAAGTTTACCACAAAAATATCATAAATTATTTTATGTAACACATTTTCTTGTTTCTTGTCTCATATAACATAAGAAAAAAATATCTGGCACGTGTACATTTTTTTAGGAAAAATTCGTTAACGAAAAAATAAAACGATATTCTCTAAAAAAATCGTTTCATCCGAAAACAACCCCTACGGTTTGTATGAGTTTTTTGTCCATCGCTTATTCCACGTGGACCCCCGTCGGTGCGATTGACTATGAAATAAAATTTGAATGAACTTTTGATGAGTCCGACACAATAATAGCCAGAGAGATATGTCAGCACTTTTATCACGTCTCCCGGTAGCTCCACCCCTCGACCAATGAGGGACGACAGATGTTGTCTCATAGTGATGACGTAAGCAGTTCGTTTAGAGTACTGAATATAATCGTGTGTACACATAATATTGTTATGATTAAATATATATATATATATATATTATTGGAAAAAAAACTTTTATAAATACATATATAGTTGTATAAAAATTAAATATTAACAACTAGGTGTTTGTACTCACCACCACTTTGGGTCTTGGTCGATCGGCGGTCGTGTTCAGAGTTTCGGCCGCGAAATATGATGATGATAAATAAACGCACCACTGACTAGCGTTCCCCCCAGAACGGTACTGAACAACCCCAAGGCGGATATTACACGGGCTCAACATGCGGACTTTAGCGCCACCCACGCCAGTTGATTCCCAGCAGATCCACGCGCTATGACGTGCACGAACGGCGGCAGCTTCAACAAAATAATATCGTCTTTTACACACATAAATAAATGTATACTTATATTATGTAAAAACAAAATACACCACGATAACGAAACCCTCGTGTGCACAACGGTAGAAGTCGTATACAAAAGCCATTTGATGAGACGCAATAATACGTGTTCAGTTTTAATTTCTATTGTTTTTTTGAATAAATATCAGCACAGCGCTATCAAAAATTAAAAACTCAATCCTATTTTGTTCTTGAAACTACTCGGGATTTTGCCAAAAGAAAATATTTGTCATACCCAGTCAAATCCGGTCGACACCCAATTAATATTGATGTACACTGTATATTTTGCGATGTGCCTGTAACCGGATGTTTCGGCTAATTTTTAAGTATTCAACATTCTTTTATGACTAATTAAACATAACTTATGAAGCGGCGACCCAAGCGAACCGACCAATCAACAAGCTAATGATCACTGCTTGACATGACCTTAAACAAATTTAATACTTCTTAATAAGTCTAAATTGTATTAAAAATAGCGTGAATTTGTGTACGACCTAGGCAAATTGTTTACGACTCGCAATTTTTTTCTTAAAGATTTAACAACTTTAATTCACACATCCATATAAAAAACTATACATACCAAACTAAAGTGCTGGCGTAAACGTCAGCTAAGAATAATTACTAATTTACTACCCCATCAAAAGGAAAAATTACCACGAAATTTACTTGACGCAAACCAGTCCAATTATTTTTAGCACACATCTGCGATTATATTCTTCAAACTTATCTACTTTATTTTTTTAAATCACATTTATGTGAATGTTGGTGGCCAATGCGTCCTGTAAAATAATTATCTCTTTTAAACAAAACATAAGTTATCGAATTATTTCGATCACTTTAACTAGGCGTCATCGTTTTTCCCGCGAGGCTTGTTTTTTAACAAAAAAAATCATGTCAATACGGCAATCTTAAACAGCCAACAAGTAGATGGTAAAATAAATGATAATTGAATCGACCAACCCTGAAAATTGTTTTGTCATGAAATACTAAAAAGATAAAACAATATAGCCATGAATAGCGAATGGAATACAAGGGATTAGGAATTCCAAAGATGAATTACTCGGATAATATAGGAGTTTCAATTTTCAGAGATGACAATTCATACGTAAAATCTACAATTGTATGTCTTATCCTCGAAAGAAGGAATGGACCCACAAAAACCCAGAGTTGTACAAATAGAAAGTTATTTTAATTAAAATCATTTGTAGAAAAGGCTAAAAAAAATCTGAAGGATAAATTTAAATAATATATTTTTTGGTATAACATTTAAGAAACTCTCATAAAATATTCCTTTTTAACATATTATTAATCGATTTTTGAAATTACAAAAATTGGATTTATTATTTTTTTTTAAATCCTAATTTTTTAACTCCTGTTACTAATGTTAAGCACTTTAATTCTGTTTCATTGAAAAGTAACAAAAATACAGAGCTATTGAATAAGTAGTTAATTTAACTCAAATCATGTTTCTGAATTTCCAATAATACTCCCAACTATATTGTTCATATACTACTACATCAGTTAATAAAATAATACATAATTGTGCTAATTTCACAGGCGAAAAATCACCGTTTAAACAAATAGTAAGATGACATTTACGTCTTTCAGATTGTGTTATTTTAAGCATAAATATGTTTAGAATAAACTTGGTTTAAATTTACTTATTAAAAAATATCAATATTAAAACATAATAATCGCTTACATTTCTAACTTACAAGTAAAGGCTTAATAAATAAACTTGTATAAGAAAATAAATATCCCCATACTATACTTAATATAATATTAAGTATTACTATTTTGTTATAATATTTACACGAGAACAAGTTTAAAAAAAATTAATTTGTATTAAAATAATTGAGTAAAATATTTGTAAACAAAAATTAAAAGGTAAATTAATATTAACCATATAATTAAAATGTCTTTAGAATTCACTTTTTCAATGATAAAGATAATTAAAGTAAAACCGAATTTATATTATTTCCTCGAGAATACTTCTTCTTTGATTTTTGACATTTTCTCTTGGAGTTCTGAATAATAATCCTAAAAATTATAAATAAATTATAATATTTCAATCGTTTTCTTTTTTAAATTAAGCCAGCCAAACAATTAGCTAGTAAACTTTATTGTACTTATTACTATTAAATAATTTAACAAAACAAACCTTAACATATAGTTCAAGATCTTTAAGTTGGTCAACATGCTCTTGTATACTCATAGTTGTTTTCATTTTAATGTACTCTCTTTCCTCTTCCATCTCTGCAAGACTTTAACAAAACGGTCATATTTTAAATTAAAGTTGTTTGGAAAAAGACTTACATTTTCATTGAGTTATCTTTCTTCTCTTTAATAGCTTCGATTTCTGTTTCATCAATATGGATACTTTTTATTTCTGCTTGAATATTGGCTAATTTCTTTTCTAATTCTTTCTTCGCCTAGATTGTATTATAATTATAAAACGAAAATTTGAATTTAATTAAACCCCTTCTCCTACTGTAAAAAATCTAAAAATTAAAAAGTTGGTTAATACACTTTAATTTCTTTAAAATGTGGTAGAATGTGAAATTGAATGTTGCAGTCGTCGGTTTCTTGTTCTCTTTTGCTTATTTTGATGTTTATAACAGAAGATACAAATTAGAGCAACCAACAGCCGCAACATTCAATTTACATATTCTAACACATTTAAAACAAATTTTAATGTATTAAGCAACTTTTTTATTTTTAGAACTTTTTAACAGTGTTTTTTTTAGTTAAATTAAAATTTGTATTTTACACTTTATTGTAAACATAAAAATACAGCCTCAGGAAGTAGAGGTTTTGACTTGAGTTAAACTTGGGCAAAAATATACATAATGTTTTAGGGAACTTTTTAGTTTTTATTTAAACAAAATTAATTAAATGGTCTAGATAAAAATTGATAATAACTGGTTGAAAACAAAGCAAAAAGTTAAAAATCACGGCCGAGGATTGAACTGTAATAGTTTTGATCAGCGTCTTGCCCTAGGCAATTACCAGACGTTACCATTGCATCCAAACAGAATTCTAGTCATTTAAAAGAGCTCTGTAGATTCAAAAATCTAGCTTTTTTTATTTTATCAAAATCGGTTTAGTGATTTAAGTGGAAAAATTAACGAATTTGAACATTTCTTATTAAAGATTGAAGTAATACCTATCATATGAATAATACATTTATAAGTTATAACCTTTTAAATTGTCATTTTTTTTCTTGAAACTTTATATATGTGTTAAAAAAAGATAATTTGAATTGTATTATTAAAAACTTATAATGATAATAATTATTCACTCACTTCAAATCGACGATCGGTAAGTTCCGATAACTTTTTTTTGTCTTCGTCAAACTCTGGAAGTAGTTTTTCCAGCGTTTTTGTTATATTTTTATGCTCTATTTGAACCTAAACAAGAAATTCAATAAAACATAAGTACAATTTTAAAATTTCATAACTTAAAATTTTGTTTACCGTTTCAAGCTCGATATTAACAGCTTTAGATTTTTGTTCAATGGCTTTGTATCGCTCTGAAATTTTGTTCTTTAAGCTTTTTAGAATTTCATCAACTTCTTTCAGAGATTCTCTTACATGAAAGACCAAAACATTTTTGTCGGCTATTGCATTTTCCAATTCCGGTAAAACAACCATATTTTCAGCTACTAATGCATTGTACGCAACAAACAGTTTGTCCAGCTAAAATTTAAACATAATCATTATGGATTTCATTAACTATTTCAGTTTTTGTGATAAATCCTTTATTAAAAATATTAGCTGATAGCTACATTTTAACAGTGTGTAAAAGAACAATGAAAATAGTAAAAAAGACTAACCTCCATTCGCACTTTTACCACATTCAAATCTTCACTATAAACAATATTTGAAAATTTTGATAAACATTCTTCTTCATATTGTATATCGTTTTTTAAATTAATCATTTCTGCTTCGATAATTTTTTTATCTTCTTGAGTAATTTGTTGCCCATTAATACAACCTTTAACCACATCCAATTCCTTTTTAAGATTTTCAATTTCTCTCTCTAAAAAAAAATTAATAATAAATTAAACAGTTTACCATTATTAACTTAAATTTGCATGAATTAATATATAACATTGTGATAAATATATCTATAATATACATGTAATTACTATATTAATTTATTAATCACTGTTTTTTTAGCAACAACAATTAAATTATTACCTTGAAAAACTCTTTCATCATTTTTTTTTGTAATGTATTCTTGTACTTCACCAATACAAATCTGTAGGTCTTTTACATATTTCTTTGTTGATACAATATCTTTTTGAATAGCCATTTTCATAGCTTTCATTTCCTATTATTACGATATAATAACCAATTAATAAATTACTTAAATATAATTAATTTATTAGTAAACTACCAAATGAAATTAAATTAATAATCCTATTTACTTCTAATTTTCTCTCTTCAGTAGTGTCAACGAGTGAAGCTAGTTCCGCTTGGTATTCGGCCACTTCAGCTTCCAATTTGTGTAATTCTTGTTCATCAACACCAAGTGTATTCTCTACAACATATACAATTTTATTAATATGAATGCGTTAAATGCTTTAAATTTAATACGAACTATAATTTTCTAATAGAAGATCTTCTTGTTTTTGAAGGAACTCTATATCTGCTGGTTTCTTTATTTCTCTAGTTTCAACTTGATACGAGTTTAACAGAAATGGTAAATACATCTGGAAAATCAACGTTTATAGATACTTAATCTATCCACACATCTTATAAATACAATTAATACCAACCTTGAATTCTACAGTTTGCTCATAATCTTCATCTTCCACTTCATCAGGATCAATTATTGAAGGGTATAAAGTTTCCATAACATTAAATCGATTTTGAGTTTCACACAGCTCTACTAACCAAAGAAGCAAGCCAACAACTTGAGGAAATGAATGACTTGCATTTACTAAAAAAAAAAAAAATAATAAATAATGATTTAAAATAACAACATTGTGAGCGTTTTAATTTATGAACAGATGAGTGGTTTTTATTTAAAATTATACTTTAAAATATACAAAAATCAGCTTAAATGTGTTCTGAAATACCTATGTGAAGATATAAATGAAAATTGCTTAAAAAATTAGTATAAAATTACCTGTAATCAGCCAAGATTTGTCAACTTTTCCTTTGTAATAATATTTTTTCATAATCTTTGGAAGCTCTTCCATGTATTTTGTTTTGTTAAGAACCTGATTTCGATCTAGTTTATGTAGCAAATATTCACACATATCGGTAAACATAGTGGTGGTCATTGGACGCATGTTACCATTATTTAGAATATGACTAGCATTAGGAGCTGTCAAAAAGTAATTCTGAATCTGTCATTAAAATTAAAAGAATAATATAAATTTATAAATGATGGCGTTTTAAATCAGTTTAAGAATTATTATGCTTAAATGTGTCTTATTCTCCATTTTATCGGAAAGAATACTTTTAAAATTCTATTGCTATATTTGTCACTGAAAAATACTTACTTGATTAACATTTCAGTTATTATAAATAACATAAGTAAAATATGTAAATACATAAAATTTTAATTAAACATAATGTTTAAATGTTTAAAACACTCGAGCAAATATGATATAAAATTCACGTGATCAGTGAGGAAAATGATGAAAACATTATAATTATAAATAAATAATATAAGTATTTACCTTGTTTTAAATTTTCTAGGGCTCTATTAACTTTTAAAACTTAAATGGTATAGCATAAAGATGGCAATTATGACTGGTCAATAAACAGTTTTGGATAATTACATAATTACTTAATTACTTAATAAGTTATTAAATTTAGGACAGGAGCACGAGTGGAGTGTAGTACTATTTTTATAAGCGCACATTACTCTACAGCGATCCACCTTCCGTCCTAATACTAATTAATTGAGCTCTGGAAAAAAAGATAAAAATATGAATATTGTCTAATGTTGTAAATTAACACCAACTGAAGTGTCTCCAAAAAGAAAATCGACAAAGTTGCATTTATTTTATGAGAAAATGAGTGTCTTAAGTAAATTTATCATACTGTATAAATATATTTTTATATATTTATATTTATATTTTTTAATATATAAATAAAAAAAGGGATACATTCCAGAACAAATAGAGGAACAGATTGTTTAGAAGAATTCGCTCCAGAACAAATAAAGAAATATAACTTTTAAAACTATTATACATGGAGCTTGAAAATGAATCTTGGCACTAGGTCCAAAATTAATTTTGAAACCCTGTTTCTCACCACGAGAATAAAATATTATTTCTTATGAATTCATAAACTCATAATTAACTAGTTTATTTGACATGATATTTTACTAATAATAGAAAATAAAAGAGCTAAGACCTACCTTTTGTATCGCTGCTTGTTGAAAATCTTTTTCAGTTAATGGACGCACTTCTTTTCTATTTTTCACTACTCCATAACTACTGTAGCGTGATTCAGTACTCAATCTACGATTTCTAAAATAATTGAATTAATTAAAAATTAGAAAAAAACTCACTAACATCAAAATTATTTACTTGTAACTAGAGTTAATGCCAGGTAAATTTGGGTTGTAGCCTGGAGTAACACATGGAGTAGATGCAACAAGATTGACACCTGTCATATTCATTGAATTAGTTGAACGAACTATAGTGTGTCTCGATGCAGTTGATGGTTTTTTAACAGTAGATGACCATTGCTTAGGATCATGAGCAGCAAGATTATCTGACGAAACAGATTTTTTCGCTGAAAAACCTGGTTTTAGGAGCATACTGGATTTTTTTTCTACGCCACGGCTTTCTCTACGAGTTATTCTATTTTTGAAACAAATTTTTATTATTAGTTAATTATGACTTATTCTTTAAATTGTAATTCCTAATAACTATATCAGTACACGCTAGTTTTTAATTTCAATCATTATTTCATGAGTTAATATAAAATAATACCTTATATCACTGCCATCAAATGAACTTTGTCTTCCAAATGTAGAGCCACCAAATGTATTACGGCCAGCAGCAGATGACCGTCTACCACAAGACGCCTTCCTCATGATTACAACTCTACAAAAATATTTCTTAATTTTACAATAAAATTAGATAAACCTTATGTATATAAAATACGAAAATAATACTATTTACTCATTTGCATTAATTATCCATTATATTTATGCCTAATAATACTAATCACAAACATTTTATCGACAATTAGAATGGTTGATATTATTTTAAGTATTTGGGTAACGTTAGATGACCTGACGCAAGTGCAGGTGTTTTTTTTTTTAAATATCTTTCCGTAAATTCATTGATAACTGAAAATATTGAAAGGGCAAAAACTTGCATACTGTAGTCAACGACAAAAAATGTGGTTGTTTCTATCTAAACATGGCATAGAAAAACAAACAGAATGTCAACCCGTGCCAAATGACGACAGAGACAGTAAAAACAGAAAAAGATGGCACTTAGTGCAAGCACCAAAAATAATAAATATTCACAGAGATGTAATAAATGTAAAGAAGTTATAAGTCAAATTTACTTAGAAATAATATGTTCAACTTGCAATGAAAATTAATCATAAATTATAAGTTTTAAAATAATAAACATTTTTTGTTATATTTGAGTTTATACGTATTTAATTATCAAAATAAGTTTGTAAGTTTATTAAAAAAAAAAATGTATTTTTATTTATAATATTATACTTACTTTCAAATTAAATGCAAACGAATTATTGATGATAGTTATAATATAATGAATACAAATTTTTTTTTTTTAATAATGGTGGGTTGTTATGTGATATTCATACACACGAGTAATTAGGGAATAATTCAAATTATGTAAAATACAAAATTGCAAATTTAACCGAACTGGAAAGAAAGATGAAATTAAAATTCAAATCACAAGAAAACGTTATCTTCTCATAACAAATAAACAGCGTAACCAACTAACCGACGAGTGAGATAAAAAATATTGTATATTTTCTAACCGTCATGTTTGCAATATTGTTTTACTATCCAGAACACATTACTAGGCCGCTGTAGATAGACTGGATGGCGGTTGCATATCGAGCTATACTATGAAAAAGTCAGAGACTCGTAGCGCTCCTCATGGATAAGTCGTGGATCTCTCCACTGATAAACCGGCTGTTATCATATAACAGCGACATAACAAGGATCATCAGTGAAAGATAAATAAGATTCAAGATTTATCCACAAGGGGCGCTAGTAGTATCTCACTTTTCATACTTTTAGATAAGAACTCTTGTAGCCGCCGATCGAATATTGCGAGGTATAAGCGGATGTGAAACCGTTTATCTATAGCCGTGGTTGTATATTAGCGTTGTATGATCTGCAATCTACTGTTTGTTGTTACCTACACTTTTGTACAAATACACTACTAGATTTCAGCACAACGTTAAATTGGAACCATAGTAACTTGGTATACCTATTTATTATTATTATTATTATAGGCTAATTATTTATTCGGATTTTAAAGTTCTAAAACTAAAATGTTTAAAACAGGTCAACAGGATATCAAAAATCAAAACTTATTTTTAATCTTAAGAGGACGTCACACACCCGTTATCTTCTTCAAAAAACCCGCCTGATTAATTTTAGAAAGGCTATAATCAAAACTAAGAAACCAAATTTTTACATAATATAGACAACATTGTCTGTGTTCTACCATCGCCTTTTTTTTAAATATTTTAACCAGTTAATGAATAATTAATTAATTAAGAAAGGACTTTTTTTAAAATGATATAGCGTTGGTTGTGTATTAGGTATATCGAAAAAATACGGATGATGGAACACAGATAATTTTATCATAAATAATATGTATGAATTTCTTTCCTTAACTAAATAATATGAAACCTGAGAAAACAACCGTCCTCTTAAAAATCTGGGGTACTTACGTGGGCGTCACACCGTCCATTTTTAAGGAGTAAAGTATAGGCAATTTTGTACAAAATCTTAATTTAAAGCTTAAACTTTGATGTGTAAATATTAGTTCAATAACTAGGACACTATTTTGGTAGTTAATTAATTTTTTGGACTATCACAGCATCCTTGAAAGCGATTTAAAAATGTTTCTTTATCTCTACTTATTTAAGCAGACTGAAAATAACTCGCTCACTTAATTTTGGTTTTAGAGTAAAAGCACCTAATATAAAATTTGAAGAAAACAATATTCCGGAGAGCAAGACGGTGCGTTTTTTTCATTTTTCCAAGTATAACGCTCAATACATAGTTTAGAAATAACGACTATTTTAACATTTTAAAATGACTGTAACTTTTCAAAAAATGAATTTTTTTTTTAAAAACGCACCGTCTTGCTCTCCGGAATATTGTTCTCTTTTAATTATATAATGGGTGCTTTTACTCTATATAAAGATTAGATACAGGAAAAAAACAGAAAACAATAACGTATTTAAAAAAGGTAAAAAATGTGTAAAATTGCAATACATCAAAACAAATTGTAAGACACCAAAACACCTTTTTTTTCTAATAAACACGATTTGTACATTTCGTGCAATGTTAAATTTTTGAAGACACTTTCCAATGCAGTGTTATTAAATACACATGAATGTGTAACGTAAAAATAATAATGGTAAGCTCTAAAATCCCCTAGGTTTTTTTTTCTAATCCATTATATTATGTAAGTAAAGTATAATTTCTGTAATTGAAGAGTACAGGGAAAAACCAAGAAAGTCACTTTTTAAAAATGGCAATTTTGTTGTTATAAAATTCGTTTTGATACTAAAAAAATCTGTTCTTTCTTATTAAGCATGACTATAAACAAAAATTAAACATTATTTTAAAAGTTTTAAATATTTTTTTAACATTTTAAAACATTTTTTAGCATCATTTAAACATGTTTTTTTTTATATTAAAACTGTGAGGCACGGTTGAGCAAAATCTGATTTTACGACATTTAGAAAATATCAAATCAAAATGTTTTTAAAATCAGGAATAAAATTTACTTTTAATTTTAAAAAAAGCCAGTACAGTGGGGTGGAGACATAGTGGGGACGGAGAGGTCACAGGTTTACAGATTTTTTTATAACTAAAAGTCATTAAATCACTTTTAAATAAACGCTTCGATGCGAATTTGTGGATAGTATGTTCAAACCAGTTATAGCGGTTTAGAAGATATCGTGGGACCAGCAATAATGTACTTAAAATTTAATATTTAGTCTTGTGCAGGGTGGATACGATAAGGATTGATCGTCTGTCTATAAAAATGTAGTGTCATAGTTACCTATATATCGTAATTAACAATATAATGAAAATATTTTCATTACCCGTTGACTGTTGATTCACTCACACATAGCAACCTAGAAACAGACTACGGCCAAAGTGTAAATTTACCCTATTTTTGGTGTTTTTCCTAAATTAAAAAAAAATTTGACTACTGATTTTTGAAAAAATTGTATATGTTATAGTTCTATTGTAGATTTACCTTCGGTCTAATTTTCAGATCTAAATCTTTAAAACTGCTTGAAAAAGTAAAATAAAGAAAAAAATTCCATCCCTTCTAGGGAAAAGGGTTTATGATATTTTTTTGGTTTGTTAATGTTTATCGATAGTACTATGTTTTAAGAACAATTCATATAAATTTGGAACTTTTTCGACTATTTTTAAAAAAGTTATAGAGTATCGTAATTTTAAGTTGAAAAATTTGTAAATTTTTTTTCTCGATTTTGATGGGGAAGGTTATTATAGTACATTACAGGTATGATTTCTGATCTATAAAGTTACTACACGAAGAAATCGGTTCAGCGGCTTACGAGATATCGTGGGTCCCGACACAAAAATGAAAAAAAAACACATCATAGTAAAAACAATGCCTTCTCAGCTTCACATCGAAGCTAAAAAATACTGTTAGAACATTGATACCTTCCTAACTTTTTTTCTTTTAACTAAATTTTCTTTTATAATACTTTTAGTTTTACGTTATTTTATGTGCATAAATAAAATTCTAGTATTATTACATAATACTAGAAACACATAATGAAATATTTAATATTCATGGTCATATACACAACTCGTACCAACATCAAATTAACGTACGAATGCATTGTATATTATATAGGTAGGTTACCTATTATTATATATGTGTGTAAATAAATGTAAGCTATATCTGTATACAATTAAAATTATACTAGAAAAATAAAGTGGAATCGTATTCAGTTACGGTAATTTATGAGGTTGAAAATTGAATACATTCACTTTTTCCCTTGTTAATAAGGAAGATTCCCCAATCAATTTGCTGATTTTTCATACTTCGAACTAAAACCACTTCGTGCAAATGACGTGGTCGAGGTGAATTGTTTTTTTTAAGTAATGTTTAGATGCTGCACTGTGACTAATATACAAGGAAGTCCTCTGTTTTTCAGACATGCCCTATCTAGCTTACTGCTATATGTGTATTAAGAGATGGGTATTGGGTACCGTTATGACTTATGACACTTCTTAAAAAAAATGTATGTGCCCCTTTGTCAGTCTTTTATTTATATATTATATATATACCTAATATATTAGTACATATTATATAGACCCTATTATTACGACCATGTGTGATGTGAATACGGAAAACACTTTTTTTTTTAATTCAGAAATAATCTGCCAAAGTACGTGCGCACCTCAAATTATTTAAAATTTAACTTCCCAATAAAACTATGACCTTCAGGCTTGAATAAAGGTACGGTGTTGTAGCTAACTTAAAGTTAGCCCGCAGTGGGCAATGTGATGTATAGCTAATAATTAATATAATTTAAGTGACATTAGTTACGATGAATCAGTATTTGACTTAAACAAATGTGTAAGACATGCTAGTAATTTTTAAAACAAGGACAACTAATTTGAAAGTTTAACAGAGCCGCACTAATATGACAACTAGGATTTTATTTCTGTGGGTTGGAGCAAGAAGGGCCAATGTCACTCTTTGCAACTTTCGGAAAATGAGCTTTGAAGTTTTTATTTTCCATTAGGCTCTATGTTAATTTTTTTTATCAAACTCTTCATGAGTAATTCATTTTTTGGACTCAGAGTGTGATTTTTTCACAGTATATAAAGAATGATTCAATTATTGCAATTAGCGGACTAACTCGTTTATGCACAAAATTGACATTTGCCCTTCTTGCTCCAAGCCACAGATTTTTATTATGCAGTTATTCAATTATTAGTTTGAAAACCAGGTTCTAAAAGTATTCAAACGGGTATAGTTGTTTTAAACTTATTATTACACCCTGTAAATTTAAACTGCGCTTTATAACTAATTTGTAAAAATATTAATTACCTGTATAAAAGTACGCATGTGTGGGTTAATTTAGGGTTTTTACTTAAGAGCGGTACATAGAAGACAAAACACCTATATTTAAGTATAAAAACTAGTCGCGTAAATCTTGTTTTATACATATTTCGAGTAGTTTTAGAATTAAAACACATATTGATAAATCTGTAGGATATTCTTAGTGATGAGCGTTAGTGGATTATTAAAATTGTATCAAATCTATTTTGTTTAAGAAATATTGAAAAAAAACCTTATCAAAAATAAACCAACTCAAAATAGATTTTTGTCTGAAAGAGCCAAGGACTAAGAAAAACTTGTTCTGCGTAGCAGTTATAACAGTTAGGTTATAAAAATATAAAATAAAATTTGTTTGATTTCCTCTTTGGCTTGTGTACGTAGTGACTCTGTTGCCCTCCTCAGGCCTCAGAACATCATGAGCTAGTTCCATTGACTGTGGCAAATTCATATTATCCCGTATTAATGTCTATGGTATTTATAATTTATTGATTTACTGAATAGTACGATCAATTATGTAGGAATGTGGAATCGAAACAAAAACAAATTGAATTAATAACACGGCTGACGCGGGGTGTTACAACAACTGTAACACCCCCCTCCTTACACGCCTGATAATTAACCTTGGAAAGTAAAGTAAGTAATTTGAATTACTCGTTATAGTAAATTATTTCAACGTTTATGTTTAGTTCAGGAGCATGTGTACGCTGGAAAATTGTACAAAGAAAAGCGTTTTGCAGTAAAACTGTTGGACTTTTTCAAAAAACCTTCAACAAAGTTGCAATAATTGCAGTATAAAAATACACTATGAAACAAAATGATACATTTTTTTTCTTCACTATTGTCCGAGTCATTTAACATTTTTGTCCGTTGAAAAGAAGTAGGACGTAGGTAAACAATCTTAAACTTTATTCCAAATTAGAAATGAAGGAGTTAAATAGTTGTTGACTCTTATGGGAAAAAAATATATTTAATATTAGTATTGGCGAGTGAGTATAGTTAATTTCACCATCACTTAATTTGATGTGGAGGGGCTAAGCCCCCTCTCTGAAATAGTAATTCAGGTCCTCCTATGGCTGTCATCATGAAAATTGGACTTCTCATTTAAGTATATTTACAATTTTTCAACTGCGTACACACATTTTCAAGGTTATGCTGCATCCATTGTAATGTACAATAGTATTATAGACAGCAATATATTACAGTCTTTAATACCAGTAAATTTAATTATGTCTGTCTATTCAAAGCATTTATTACATGACTTGTACATCAACTATATCATCAAAATGACTTGTATGACTAGTTTTCAAATATTAAAAAGTGTCAATTAATGATATGAATTATTATATGTATTTTTTAATTTTTTTAATTTATTGAGATTCTGAATTATTATATGTATACATATATAACCATATACATATACATTTACGACTTATGAGCCTGTGTTATAACTTAGGCACGAGCTTATAAACGTATACCTACTACGAACTCCAAAAATATAAGTAGGTACGTGATATCAATAAATATATAATAGTTGTATGGTGTAAAAGCTAGTACGCTTAATGAAACCATTCTAATGGCACAATTGCATGATAATATGTGGTCAGAAGTCACAAAAATGAGTATTTTCATATTCTGGTATAACAACTATTTAAATTGACTTAATTATCAACATTTGGTACATCAAAATAAAAATAATGGTATTTTTTAAGTGAATCTCAACGTCATTAACGGCATTCATACTAATATTATTTACATGCGTGTGTTAAATAATCGACTAACAACTGGTTTTAAAATTAAATTACACGTCAAGTTATACCGAACAGACTACTATATGATACATATTATAGTAATTCATTATACTTAAATTTACTTATAACTTTTCCATAAACGATAAGAGCAAGGTGCATTTTACAATCGACGGATCAGTTCCATACTAATAAGTAATAACTATATGTCAATACACACTATTCGATAGTTTAAAATCAAGCGGTTTGAGAGAAAAAAATATTAAACAAAATAAATTATCAACCGTTCTTTAGCTTTAAATCTTCTAATTTCAATTTCATTATTACTAATTTAATACTTTATTATTAGTACTCTTAATAAGAACTCTAGAAGAACTCTTTAGAACTCAGACTCCGATACTATTCTTTATTTTGACTTAGACTTAGAAATTTAACTATACGTTTTACAAAATTTTGCATGATCACAATTCGTAAGTAAATAATACACGAGTATACATAGATACATTTATCATTTCGTATTGTGTCACATAACAGGTGTTATATTGTTTATCAAGCATCACTTATGTTCGTATATTAAGTATGGATATAAATTTCACTTTTACCACACGTGGTTAAGCAGTAGCTATTATAATATTTAACTATAGTTGTTTAAAAATATTCAACTGTAAAAAAGATGGGGAGGTAAAGTACGTAATAACTAATACCATTGATCAATGCTAATACTGTGATAATTCATATTATATTAATAATTCATTCGCCATGAACAATGGCAATAATAAATTATTTTAATACAGCGTGTGCTTTGAGGCGAAGCACCGCCTTACTAATTATTCAAATGAAAATGATTTTTAAACAATATATATATTTTTTACGGTTTTTTTTAACTGAATAGTTAACACAAAATTAATAAATCTGATTATACATAACTTATAAGTTAATAAGAATAATTTTAGGTATAGATTACTTCCTCCATAAACAATTAAACGAAAATTGTAAACAAAATACAAGAACAGTATCAACTAATTCCTAAAGCACAGCCGGGAAAATGGATAATTCAAATCTTAATAATTAAGGTTAATTTTGTTAAAATTCTCACGTTTTTTAATTTTCTTTTTGGTTTATTCACTTTAAAGTTAAATATGTTTAAAATTCTAACATTATTAAATTTTCTTTTTAATTAATTCTACTTAAAATTAATGTCTGTTATATACACCTGTTACGGAGTAACATTGCTCTGAAGGTTCGGATTCTTATAATAAGTCAAGGCCAGATTTATGACTAAAGAACTAATATGTTTTGTGATTATTTACACAATCGACGCATGAATATTATAATTATTGTAAAAAATTATTATAAATACAAGTTTCATTTAAGAAATTAAAAGTTTTATTTAAATACTACTTTGAAGTTATAATTACCATTATAATCTATAATTAATGATATTAGACACAGAGCTCTAAACAGCACATTACTTCAGTATTCACAAATCACGACTGCCGTACAATATCATTAATACATCGAGTCAAAGATCCATAGGCTAAAATAACAAGGCTTCTCTGGGGGTTCCTCATATTATAATTTATCATTTATCAACAATAAACATGTGTTACGTGTCTAGCGTAAAGATGATGAATGGGTTATTTTTTTTTTATTAATAATAACAAACCAAAAAATTCTTCTTTGCCAAAAATTAATGTCTTATTATTCTTTACACAACAAAATATAAAAAAATTACAAAGTTCACAATGATATAAACTTACAATTCAGAGCGACGAGTAGAGTGCTTGGCTTTGAGCTGTTTGAATCCGCCTAAGGAAGATGCGCTTGATGGCTTGTATTTATTATGCTGACCCTCACCCTCGTTCATGGAAAATTATCAAAGGGTAGTCGGTGATCTCGCATTGTCATTTTCGTTCCAGTGACGGTAGTGTCTCAAATGCATCCTAAGATTATACTAAATTTACAATTTTTTTATTTTATTAACGTCTAAAAGTGGCTGGGATTAAAGACCAATTCATGCATTTACAATTACATTTGCAATTGAATTCAATTGTCTTTCACTTACAATGTATGAATATATGTGAAATTGTTTACAGTATAATGAAACAATTTACATGTATAATTTATGCATTTACACAGGAAGAGTTCTTCTATAAAGTTTTAGAATGCCAACGGACTAATTTCCTTAAACAAAGAAGGTTACCCACAACACTAATTACAACTTAAAATATTTGAGTATATCACATTTTTGCTAATTTTATTGACATGATTTGAGAGCAAATTGGTATGATGACAGCCGTTTGGCCTTCGAGGTCTGTTAAGCTACATAATGACGATTAAGAGCCGATTGAATTTTGATAATAAAATAGAGTAAATATGAAATATATTCAACGAAACAATCTGCTCTTTTTCGGTCAATGCTGTTTCAAGTTTTATTTCAGCTTCTTTCAACATTTTTTTTCTGAATGTCAGAAAATTATGTATTTCCACAAAATAGTTATTTTCAAATAATTGATAAAATATTTTGACAAATATTTGATAAATTGACCTCTGTGAAAAGCAAAAATAATTTTAGAAAAAGTTATTGCAATTATTTGTTGAAAGTTATATCGGTAGAAAGAGTATTGATCTTACGTGACTTTAAAAATGACTCAAATGTATTCCCATTTTACTTCAAATATAGTTTACTGGCATTGCATTTAATTAACACACTGCTTATATAATCTGCTAATATTTGGACGTATTTCACCTTTTTAACTTCTTATTCATCTGACACCGTGATTTTTTTATAGTACCAAATCAGCTAACATATTATAGACTTAAATAGGATATGCATACTTTTACGTTTTGGCGTTGTTCAAATTTAATAAGTTATATACAATAATTATAATTATCATTTTTAAGTTAAGACATTGTAATAAAAATATGCATACACATTTTTTAATATGGTTAAGGTAGTGATTTTGTTTAAATAACTTTACAAGTACCTACAATTTGATTGTAGGTGTATAGTTTTATGAATACTAGATCCAGAATGTATGTTTTTTCATATTACACAAAAGAAATAAGAATTCTGAGTAATAATTAGTAATAATCATGACTATTTGTGTACCAAGTACTTAAATATATAAATGTCCTATTTAGTTTACCCTGTAGGATATATATATATATATGTGTGTGTGTGTGTGTCATGTGTGTTATATATAATATATTTATACCATAGATTATGATAAGTTGTCCATAATGTGATTGGCGCTAGTAGTACTATTGTAGTAGGTAGAGAGTTTTAGAGTGTTAGTGAGCATGTACTATACTATTGTAGTATATGGGAGCAGCTGTACCTGCTTATATAATAACATTATTAAAAAAAACCGTGAAGAGAACTGCTGCCTATGACTGTTGTGTGACTGTTTAGTGCGTGTACGCGACCCTCAGACCTCAGTTGGTACTCGCACGTTTTAAGTGTAGTACCTAACTACCTGTACGATATTCTTACTAAAATTGAAATTACCAAAAGTATACATTTTTACATCAATAAATACTAATATTCCATCGAATCTCGACAGGGTAAGTTTTCTTTTATAAATAAATGTATGTATATAATATACATACAGTATACTAATTACTACTAATTATATTATTTCTTATAATAAGATGTAGAAATAAGATACAGTCATAACTCATACAGACGTTTTAATTACAAATTTTGTAGCTTAGGTAGTATGTATCAAACATTATATTATTATTATTATAAAAAATTCGTCATAAATCGTAAAAATATTATTATGTTATAACTAACTTAGTTAAATCGTGGTAGGTATTAAAATTTTGGTTTTAAAACAAAAAATACATAAAATGTACTCACTTATAAAACCAGCTAAGGCTATTAAAAAGTATGTACTAAACTATAAGAGGCTTCAAAATAGGTAAATACATTTTTTGTAGTCGTTGGTTTCAAATTTAGTCAGTTTTTAATTATACCTCTTACTGATGGTTATATATATTTTTTTATGTTCTATACTTATTATTTATTTAGTATTTATATGATGGACCGCATACTAAACTTCAAGTTTGTAACCCAAAATAGCCATCAAAATTCATACCTCAAGTTCTTGAGTCACTTTTGTGGCTTTTACACAACACATTTTAGTGATAATTTTGTTATGTTAGGTGTAGACAAAGACAGTAAAAAATAAAACCAAAAAAATCCAACCCCAAGAATAAAAACTCTATTTAGAATAGGTTTTGGAAAATATTTTAAAGTTATAAATTCGCTAAAAATACTACAATAGAAATACTACTTCAATATTTTGGAGAAAATTAAAAAATCATTAGATTTGTTAAAATGCTAATTCGTCGAATCTTCGTGGTTTTTCCTCTTAAAACTAAGCGAGGACCCGAGAGATTAGAGGACTCAAGTGTAGCGCAATGAACGAGACCTGGGGGTCCCTAGTCTTAATTATGAATGAAAGATCATAATAACCATCACCATATAATAGAAATCGATACTCCTAAGTTACGAAAAAGAACTAAGTTTTACTATTTTTATCAAGGTTAAATTACTTTTAACAAAAAGATATCAGATTTTCAAGAAATTTAAGAACCATATTCTTGCTAACCTTATTCAAATTAGCCCCTCCGAAACTTGTATAAAAAATAATTTAACGTGCCAAGGAATTTTTAAGACCAAATTCGGAATTCGCGAAAAAAAATTAAAAAAATTTTAAACTTAAAAAAAGGAATGTAAAAAAAACATTATTAAGTTAAGTCATGCCTTTTGAACAACTTAAACGTTTTGATTCAAGAACAATGTTTGATATCATTCCAAATTACATAAGTTCACCATTTTGTGAAATATTGGATTTTTGTTAATTATTTAACTATTTGATTATACTGCCTTTATAATATATAGGCATCCTACCAACTTGGGAGATGACTAGATAACAGTTTTCAACATGCCATCATTACGACACAATTAAGTGATTTAACTTTTACGTTAAATTAATTGTAATATAACTACACAGTTTTTTTTCTTAATATTAAAATTTATAATGGGTAAACACAGTGTCTACATTCATAAAGTGTTTTGTTTCTTTATTTAGAAGTGACAAAAAATAATAAAACTGTAATAAAGAAAGTTTGCAACAAAATTTAAACAGGAATGCAGTAAAAAATGACATTCGTCAAAAAATGTTACTGATTGTAATCAAAACAATTTATAGTGAAAGAAATATTTTTAATACTGCTAAATAAAAGTTTTTTTTATATTATAACATGTTTTAAGTTAAAATTTAAAAATGAGGAAAAAATGTGTGTCAGTGAAATATTTAATTTGTTTTGTTTAACTATTTTACAAGACAAAACACCAAAATAATAATAATAAAAATAAATGTTGAAATATTTTATTGAAATATTTCAAATTTTATATTTCTTGAAATTTTCAAACACTAGGTGTGGTACACTTTATTGTGTTATTTAGTTACAATTTTTTAATTGACAGAAATGGCCTGAAAATTATACTGAAGCGAAGGTAGGTTTTGTATGTAAAAACGTGTTATCATTCAATTATTTGTGTTTATTGAGGAATAATCGAAAACATTAATAATATGGTTACAATTATAATAATATTGCCTTCATTGCGATTTTTAATTTTAATTAAAATGTTTAGCATTTATAGATTTGTATTATCAAGTTATTTTCAGTAATATTCTTACATACCTATGATATGACTACTATGCCTTCTACAGCTTACCTTCTCCCTACTATCCCCTACTAAGCCGACTAAACATTTTCGTTATCTGCATTATAAAAGTTTATAAAATTATTATTATTTTAAACTTGATAATGCGTGTTGTAAATAGTTTCAGTACTTTTAGCAGTCTCTCGACAAAATCGTTTAAAATTCGTGATCATCAACCAAAACAAACTTCGAATAACCAAGAGTAATAGGCCTATATTAAAACGTGACTTTAGAATGTTGTTATAGTAAACAAACACGAATAATGAATTCCTCACACCGATTAGAATAAATAATACTATCCAAGTTATCCTTCACGTATCACAGGGCTATTATCAATTATTGGGGGGGGATTTAAAACTGCACAAACCATAAAGGTTTATATTATAAGAACTAGTTAACTTCAAAAAAAGTATTTTCTTTGAATAGTGCTTATTTATGGTATGTTATAATACCTGTGACCAAATAAAATATATAAATCGCCCTTGCATTTGCTCCATTTGCTCACAGATAACCCACTTGACCTTAATTAATTTACTTCTTTAACTTTATTCTAACTCTTTTTTGTAACTTATTATTAAAATCTATGATATTTAAACTGATAAGTGTTAACACCGGTCTCCGAGTAAATATTAAAAAAAAAGAAAAAACTAAAATTAAATTATTATTATTATTATTAGATTTTCATATTTAATATTATGAATTTAAAATATGAGTTAAAGAAGTATAATTAATAATACAAATATTTAAACACATTTAAATATTACAACACACTATAATACTACAATACCCTTCACTATTAAACTGGTTTGGTATAAATACCTTGAAATGTTTTCTTTATCAGTGTTCAAAGTATAAAACATTGACGAATAACGACAATAACAAAAAAATTGTAATTTTTACAATGTTAAATTGTTTATCATAAATGTTTTTAACCTAATTTCCGTGATCTTTTGACTCGACTATTAGCTAGTTTATATTATTGTTAGGTTAACAAATACCTATAATATAGTAATTAGTATTAACTATTGAGACAGAACATTTGCAACAAAGTAGAGTTTTCAAAAAAAAAAAACAAAACTTAACAAATGTTTGGTTTTTAAGCAAAAATGCTGGTTTTATTGGAACTTATTAACTTGATGTATAGCAAAAAGTTCCTACTTTAAATGTATACATTAAAATATAATATTAAGTGACTAAAATATTTTATAAAACTATTTTATACTAGTCTTAAGTTGAAAGTCATGTTTATAGATTACATAATAATAATTTTAATTAATAACTCGTAGTAATATTTTACAATTTATAAAAAAACTATTATACAGTGTATAAATAAAAATAATAAAACTGCATTAAATAGCATTGCATGTCTGTAATAGTAAATTTTAATTAATTCTAAACATACTTGTACTTTTTATACCGAAGTATAAGTATTAAGTTATAAAAATATACGTTTTTGTTATAATGTATTATGATTTTAATTCTTAAAAATGTATAAACCTTTAGAGACTTTAAACGATTTGAATAGTCCCTATTCCCTAAGGTGCAGATTTTGCTATAAACGCGTAATATTTTATTCGGTAAATTCGATTATAAGAGCACTCTAAATAATTTATAACTATAATAATAGCGTATATCACGTATCATGTGCATTTTAAACGTAACCTATTAAAAGATGATTTAAGATGATAAAACTCACAAATGTAGCATAAAATGTGTTATGTACGTTTGAGACGATCAATAACAAAAAATGTATAAAAAAATTAATATTTCCGTTTTTTTAAGTATCGATGCGTTATACAAGACAAACGTTTGAGGGGGACTGCATTTAAAAAAAGTGAAAGTGTTTGTCTGCATATAATATAGATACACCCAACGAAAATACGGAGCGTTCGAAAACAGTTCTACGCGCTGCTAGAAAGAAAGTAAAAGTGTTTGCTATGGATATTTAATGTGCTACCGTAGCTAAAGAATATAACCTCATAATATATTTTACATAAAGTAAATGCTAAATCTTAATACGTTTTCGTTTTAAGTAAGTTAATTTTACTTTAGTTGTCAATTAGTGTGGTAATAAATTTAATAGGTATGTTAAAAATAAATGATCGGATAAGTAAGTACGATATTATTATATTGCCTATACTAATAAATATCAAGTAATTGAAGGTATTTCCATTGTCCACTGTGAACCGGAGATGTGGTTCTACAGCAATTTACGACCAACAAAATGTATTTTCTACTATATTTTAAAACGTAAAGGCGGTTTCTAACACAATAATAAAAAAATGCAAATAGGAAAAACTAGTACAATTATCCAGGGTCACCTAGTTACTAGTGGCTAATTAAAATTGTAGTTGTCTGGCTTTAATAATTATTATTACCAAATTATATACTTGATCTTTAATTCTTAATTAAACTAATTTTTTAGACAATGACATAAATGTCAAACAACAAAGTGGTTTTTCTAAATTTTTTAATTAATTAATTTTTTTATTTATTGTTGTCTTAACACCAAACGGCAATTATGTAAGTAAACATAAATATAAGATGAATATATGTAATAACAAGTATTAAAATTAAAATTAAGTGATTAACAACAAAGTATATTAATTCTAAACAAGTATCTTAAACTTAACATTAATCATTAAGGTAAAAAATACGTGTAGAGTATGGTTATAACCATAAGAGGTTAATTGATAAAATATATATATTTTTTTTTTTTTAGTTGCATCGAAATGATTTTAGTTAGATTATTAAAAAAAGTTAATTTAATTTGTGAGAATGTTATGGAAACAAATGCAAATAATATTTTACACAAAATTGTAACGGCGTGTTGAAAAAAAGACGAAAAATAAGAGTTTTTTGATAATTTTATATTAAAGCTTTTAGATTTTTTAATTTATTGACATAATAACAGATAGTATAGGCGCATTGCAATAAGCATACATGGTATTATTAAAACGTGCTACAATAAATATATATATATTCTACTATTAGTATACTTAATTCATAATTATTAGTTTTTACTTAGCCGTAAGTAATGTAAATATTTGTTTATCTTTTTTAGATACTTATTAGTTATTTCTATAATAATTATATAAATATAAAATTTTAACATACATCATAATTATGAAGTATGTGTTACGGAAAAAACATAATTATTTTCTAGCATCTAGGATCATAGTTTGTCATCAAAATAATACCTTACAATTAATTTGTTATAACTAATTAATTATGATATTAATTCGATTTTGTTTTAAATAGTTATACCATTAAACATTGGCTCACGGCGATACTACTGTCATTATCAAAATAAGAAATGTAAATATATTTTCTAAATCGTATTATAGTAATTATGAATACACTATAAATACAAAATAGATAGATGAAAATATTATTTATTTATAATTCGTTTTTTCTAGGGCTGATCAAATGGATAATCTAAAGGATATAATGGCTCTTTTGGTAGAAATATTGGTATTAATAATCAAAAGCTTTTTTTATATGGTCGAATCTGTCTATCGCAGGATAAATCCACAGCCCGAAAAATCAATAACCGATGATATCGTTTTGGTATAAACACTTATTTTTTAATCTAAAAGAGGAAACTATAAATATGATATTATTTTTGTAATAGATAACAGGCACAGGACACGGAATTGGCAAAGCGTTGGCATTACAATTTGCCGAGTTGTCTGCCAAAGTCGTTTGCGTCGATATCAACGAACAATCAAATTTAGAGACTGTCAAAGAAATTAACGCCAAATCAAAAGCAAAAGCTTATGCTTACAGGTAAATAATTATCATTCCTATTTTTTTTTTTTTGAAATTGAAATAAAACTAGGGGTGGATTTGTCATTGGAGACTAGACTCGGGACATCGTCAGGACTTCATCTAAACTTTTTGAGCTGCCCTGACAACAATTTTAATTAATTATGATTTACATCAGTCGCCAACTATAATTATTAAGAAATTAAAAATTATATAATATATAACAGTGAGTTACAAAATATTGTATAAATATTTTATAGATACCTTTAAAATATAAATTAAAATTACATGGAGTGTTCTACTCTTCAAGTCATTATTAAATCGTTATTTCAGAAACCCCACAAGTCTACTAATTCACTTTTTGAGATGATCAGTAAAAACGGTCTCACGACTCTAGAACTGTTTCTTCAAACTCCCTAAAAGTAATACAAATACTAGACTACTCACTCAATCAGATACCAGTGTCGTTTTTGCTCAATGAGATACATGGGGAGAAGAAAAAATATTTTGTAATTTCCTCATATGGGGTTTCTGAAGTAAATTACCTTACCACGACCTGCTAATTAAATTTTTTCCTTCTGATTAATCAAACAATTAGTGCTAAGGTATAAATAATAATTTAAAAACAAGCAGTTATGATATAAATTGAGTATATTTTTTATGAACAAAATCGCATTTTAAATCTTATAAGAATATTATTTTTTTTACATTTTAAAAAATATGTATTACTTTTTATAACAAGAAACGTAAATGTTGATATTTTATTATCTATATAATATATTGATATTTTATTATCTGCCCAAAGTTTCGTCCGTATTGGGATGTGTTTTATTGTAGAATCGTGGCCACCAGGTTTCAAAATCAAGAATGAACAAACTTCATCTGGCGATTTGTTTACTTCTTCTTCGTGGCACACATATAGCTTGGCTTTGTTACTTTTCAAATCGTGAATATAAAACACGTTGACTTAAAATTGACGCGAGTAAAAGACTTCCTGGACAGGTAGTGGTAATTTTTGCATATAGTCGAAGCCCAATACCGAAATGTCACCGTCAGTGTTTTCTGTGGCAATTTTCAACTCGCCGTAGAACTTTTTTGCCTTTCTCTTATGTATAATGTGAGCATTATACATAAGCAGTGAGCTTTTATAAAAATATATAACTTGCAGACAAGAAAGAATGAACACCTTGAGATGATATTATGTCTAGTCGTAATTTGTTTTTAATTGCTTAGGACTCATACTTACATCTTGAGATGACGTTGTACTTTCTTCCGATAAATTTGCATCATTAACGGGTTGAGCAGGATGAACGCGACGATTTTTTACCTGTTGTTCTGTATCAATGTTTTGCATCTTGTTAATTTTTGCTATTTATAGAAAAGAAAATGTTCCAAATCGATTTTGCAACATGGCATGTGACTTTTAAATAAAATATTTGGGTGCATTTGTCCATAATTTCTTGACGGATAGCTCGAGAAGGGACTTCTTTGATAGAATGTGCTTTCGTTTATATATTTCTGGATGAACTACATCTTTTCACCTCTTTACAGTTGGCTCCTGGTCAGATTTCGAGATGGGCATGTTTTGACACTCTACGCAAAGGTTACACTTAAAACAAAACGCAAGCATACACCGCAAAACGTAAACATACGAAAACAATAGCGTGCCGTGAACTGACTATTGCTGTGTGTGCCTTGAACTTAGTTTTAGTTTTATTAAGTAAAAAGTTTTTCAGCCGAGTCTGCAACCATGAAAGAGCATTTTCATGTCTCATTGAAGTACCGAATAAATTTAGAGTAGTGGTGGAATTATAAATAATGATATAGTATATTAAGAAGCAGTAACAAGCTATTATATTAAAACATCAAATTTCTGGCTAATATTGTAGTGCTTAATATTTGGCTTAAAACAATTCATAAAGAATTTGGGCCCTTAATTTATTTTGAATTTATTATTTAGTTCTAATTTGAACGTTGATCGTACAAAATATCTCTTATCTTTTATCAAATAACAGCGTAACGCTTTTTTTGGTAACACTTTTTTCGTTATGCTTTTTTCGATTATTTGCCACAGCTAATTCCCACCCCAACCCCATTCCCACCCCCAACCTCATCTTCATCCCCATTTCTTTTTTGGTAACACTTTTTTTGTTATAATTTTTTCGGTTAAGTGCCAGAGCAAAGACATGAAAATGTCAAAAACTGAGTTATTTATAGTATTATCAGTCGCCAATTAACGTTTAGCGCAGAAATCGCCTAAACAACTGTGCTCAGTGGGTTTCTGCGGTAAACTAACATTTCAAGGTCATAGAAAAGAAGCAAGGGCCACTAGCCATCTATAGGGTTTCTGTTGTAAGCTAACAATTAAACGCAAAATTGTCGATTTTGGCGTTAGGTTTTTTTTTTTAAAATAAGCGATTCAATTATTATAATTGTTTATTGAAGCGACCGTCAAAGAAATAAATTATTATTTATAATAAACAAATAACATATCAATGAGAAACGCACGGAAAAAATTCTAATAGTGTATATTCACGACCGGGGTTGAACCGTGAACCGGTCGCGCTAACGGCTTAATTAACATATCACACTCGGCTATTGTACGAGGAAACGCAAAAAGTATTACCCGAATTTGTCCACCCAAAAGAAAAGTTGACACCAAGGAAAAATACGTCATGAACATGTCAAAAAGTATCAAGTTAATTCTAGATAAAATAGGTGACGTGGAATTTAAAAAAAAAACATTTTTTTTAAATGCATGCGTGCCATATTTGTCAAAAATAAATTATAATAAGAAAAAATTAAGGTACGTCTTCTTAGGGTTTAACGCGTGTTATAACTTATAAATCACATTCACGTCGGGTAACTGACTACTACTTAGTGCGTTAAATTAATTGATTTCTCGAGTTTACTCAAAATAGATGGATAAACATTTTCACAATACAGTGTAAAATACCTAATAGAATGATTAATATGTAATGTTAAACTTTAATCACGATAACATGATTCGATTATAATAATATCTAATAAGTACGCTCAGACCCCCAGGGAGGTATATATCATTTTATAATGCAAAATAAATCAAAAACTAAATTACTAACCCTCATTTTTAGATGTGATGTATCGTCATTGGAAAATGTAAGAGAACTCGGCGATAAAGTGAAAAGTGAAGTGGGCACAGTCACGATACTAGTCAATAATGCGGGAATAATGCCTTGCAAACCCTTGGAAGCTCACAATGAGGCGACCATAAGAAAACTTTTCGACATAAATGTGTTCGCTCACTTTTGGGTAAGAACGTTAAAACAAATCTCAACCACCTTTAACTATTAATAGTCTAATATCCATACAAAATAATTAACTAACTATGAGCTGGTAATTATATATTAAGATTGAAATAGTTATTAATATTACTCTCTATCTCTTCTCCTCTCGTCTGCTATTCAAGATTCGTAAAAATTAAAATTGTGCAAATAGATCCCACACGATGTACCTACCTGTTCAGTGTTCTTGAGCTTTTTAAATTAATGATATTTGTTTATTTCATTCGAGTCATTAAAAATACAAATATTAGTATCTGATAATTTATGTTATTCAATAACTAATTTTCAACCTAGAATTAAAATGGTTCAATTTTGAAGGAAAAATATAGAAATGTAGAGAAATTACATTTTTAAGTTATCTGAAAAAGAGTATATAACAAAGAGTAATTAATAAATAAAATGTATATACGTGTGCGCGTAAAAGCAATAACAATTATGCAAGATAAACTACTGCAATATTTAGGTACTTCTTGTACATCTACAATCTACCTATAGCGTATACACGAGGACATTTTACTTATTGCAATTTCTGTTGCAAATTATCTTAGAGTTTAGACAGTAGCAAAAATAAGTAACGGTAACATTCTAATATCTTCGATCTACTGATAATATTGTTACTCAAATTACTACTAAAGTAACTCATTTTTGTAGGTACACAACCGCTTTGTTAATAATCAGAATAAACGTTTTACAAAATACATACATGAATGAAAACCAACAGTTAGCGGTTAGCATTAATTTGTTTCGAAAAACATATTCACTAGAGGGAAAAACAGCTATTATTGTAGTTACCACTTCTACACAGACTACTGGCTCCCAATAGATCTTCTCATGGGCAACAAAAGATTTTCCGTATAATTTATCGTTTCTGGAAACAACGAGAGTATTTTTAGAATTAACCACGAAGTTTACAACGCGTTATCTGCAAGTTTAAAGTCCACAAGTTATTTTATGATTTATACAAAATATTTAGTTATCCCACATGCCAGCATGACGCAAATGTTTCCGTACACGTTGTGATATGCCAATATTTTCCATTTATATGTTTAACAATAATGTATTTCAACAGTATGACTTATGAGATACATATACATATTTATATTCTTTGAAAATAATTTGAATAAACCAAAAACATACAATACATATTATGCACATTATAAGAAAAGAATAGTTATTTTTGTTCGTCATGACCCGGAAAGCAGGGTAGATAAAAATATAGATTAAAACATAATATTATGTGAACAGTAAACAAGATTAATTATGAAATCAATAGCAAATAACTGGTACCCAAGTGAGATAAGTAATTATTTTATGTATATTATGTTTAATCTATGTAATAGAAAGGTCGCTTCGTTAGACAATAGGCTTTATGTAGGTTTCCGTTTTAAAACGTTATATTAAGTTATTATATTTTAAAGGTTTCAATTTCTTCGATATGTCACACGTATACAATAATATTGATTAAATTATAAGCAATATAATATGTTATGTTATGTGTTATGTAATAATAACGAGAAACTTTACTTTAACTTTTTTCGTGGAGATAGAATTTATAACTTTAGTACCTACTATACATTTATCACTACCGTAGGGAGTTACATGCATTATAAATTTAAGTTATCACTTCTCTACTACCTATAGAGACTAACATGAAATATCATTAAGTACAGATTAATAACTATTAATCATCGGTAAATAAACATGTTGTGGTTAAGAATGTTTGATTTTCAATTAACACGAATCTCTTCTGAAAACATTCGATCGTTGCACTGGTACTTGAAGATGTGGAGATACAAAGATACTCTCATACTCGAGGATGGAACGTACCAGTGTAAATAAAGTTCTTGAGAGAGGCGTGGTAAAGTGGAAGAATTCTGTGGTATAAAGAAATAGCGCTATAAGTTGTTATGGAGATGGTCTTTTATAGAGAGAAGTGTCCATGGAAAATTCAGCTTAGTGCGATGAAAGACAGTAGGGCAGAATTGACAAACTGGTTGAATAGATGTGGAAATAATGTCAATAAAATGTAACGATCAACCATTTTAAGAGAGCAATGGATTGCCTCTTAAGGAGGTCTTTAAGTTTTGACCGGGAGAGTGATAAACCCGGTTAAACGATTTGGAAAAATCGATTATGTCAACTAGCAGTTATATAGATAGGAAAAGTTGTATGTTGTTATTAAGTTAAACTACCCGGACGTAAACCGTGTTGTTTATTAAAAGGATTTGATTGTGGTATACCCACACCGGGTAAATGAATTTCTGAAATACAATAATTTCAAACAATTTTGAATGATGAGCAGTTGAGGTAAGATGCTAACAGGATGATAGTTGGCAAGAGACTAGTAGATAGGAGTATTGCAATCAAGTTAAAAAAAAAAGGTAGACAAATAGGAGAATCAAAGGATAGTTATAGTCCAAGCAACAACATTTTTTAAACTTAAAGAGGAACTAGAAAGGCCTTGGATTGGCCCAGATACAAAACATAAATTGTACTTTATTTACGGATGATTTGTTATATACAAATACATAGACTGGTAGACAGATAAATAATAAACCGTGCTCAAGCCTCAATACTTGTAGTCTGTCTTATGTCTAAACTCTAAATCACAAGGGGAAAATGTAACTTAAATTTTATTTTAATAATAGATAATTTAATTTCGAATGGATTAATACTGATAAGTGAAGGTTGTATTTTAAATGTTGTTAAGGAAAGTACGTTTTAATTTAATTTTTAAATTCTAGATGCTTGATACATTTTTACCTGGTATGAAAGCTTTGAAAAAAGGACATGTAGTAAGTTTGTCATCAATGGCTGGAATAATTGGTTTGCAGAATTTAGTACCTTACTGCGCATCTAAATTCGCCGTGAGAGGTAATTATTATGTAAATTGATTAGGTATGTAACGTATATAAATATAATAAATACATCATACATATATATGTGTATATATATAAATAAATATATGTTACTTCATACTCGTGCTGAAGAATATAAAGCATAACAAATGAAAGAAATGCTTGTTTAAACCTTCATCATTTGTTTTAGGACTCAACGAAGCAATGGTTGACGAATGCCAAGAAAATGGTTTCAAAGATATAAAATTCACTTGTATATATCCTTATATGGTGGATACAGGATTGTGTCAAAAACCTAAAATTCGGTAATTTTTAATTTTTATAACAATCACGTGGCTAAGTTAAAAACATAAATCTCCAATTTATTGGTATAAAAAAAAATATAATTTAACAATTTGTTAAATATATTCAACTTTTAATATCCACCTCAAAATAATGTATTTTATGCATTATGTGTTCGACGACTTATTAATGTGTATTTATTACTTATTAAACATATTTCTTCTATAAGGTTTCCAAGTTTACTACCACTAGTCACACCAGAATCAACTGCTAAAGAGATAATATCGGCGGTTCGAAGGGACTATCTTGAAACAACAATTCCTAGTTCGTTACTACTAATAAACAACATATTTAGGTATATAATTAAAACTTAGGTAACACTGTTTAGGAACAACTACAGTATTAAATTGTTTTTAGGTGTGTACCAGTGAAAATGGCTTTTGACTTTAAAGAATTTATGGGAGGAGGTGTGGACGCTCATGAAGATTGATTCACCTACTAAAAATGTTGTTTATATATTGGTTATTGTTAAACATAATCAATAATTATTAATTAAGTTAATTAGTAATAATTAGTTAGTTTATAATAATAACGTTGTTATTATGAATTTTTTTCATGTGTATCATTAATACAGCTGGTTATTGTAAAATATAATAATTTATTGTTTTAATAATAGTTTTATAAGATATATATATATATAATTAGTTACCTACTAATTATTACATATTATAAAAAACTATTAGATATTTAATTCTTACAATACAGCATCTGGTTGAAAACGAAAATGCCTACTCAATAGTTAAGTGTTCACATGAACTCAACAAAAACCAAATAACTTTTTAAGTTTTGTATTTTTCAATTATAAGTCTATTTAAACCAGAAAGTGCAATTAAGAAGGTAAACCTTAAGTCTGACGACAATGAAATATAAAACGAGAAGAACTTCTAATTTTAGAAACTTTACTTATCAACTATCTACTTAATTTGACAATGGCATAATTATGATTTAAACATAGTAAACTGTAAAATGATATGTACTTCAAAACGCCAACTTTGTTTATTATTTTCTTTACATTTGAATTAGTTTTGACTAATATTATAATTATCATGCACTTTTATTTTATGGAATATTGTAAAATAATAATTAAAAACTATATTAATTTAATATAATTACAATAATTATTAATAAATTAATTTTTATTATCCATTGTGTAATTGAAGTAGTTATTTTTTTTAAATTTCTTAGTCAAACTAGTTTATTAATAACAATTCAATTTTGAAAATTGAAAATTCTTACAAAAAATACACAGGATAAAAACGAAAATTCCCTTGGTTTGAACAATTTAAACTAATTTATTAGTTACGTTGCCATTGGTTCTGCGAAGACTTGCTATTTGTCACAATGTGACACTATGGTCTTTAGCAACACATTTCACTTTATTTTAATTATTAAAATTTATTTTTTTTAAATATCCCCCCTAAAAATAAAAATTGAGATTGCTATAGAATCGTAAACACATATTAAAGATGTGATCTTTTTTTTAATTCACTTAAAAAAAAAAAAACTGGATCAATAGGACCACTCTATACAGTTTCCAACCAGCTACGAACTTCTAATTTGTCATTGGTATAGTATTAGGTAATAGATACTTGCAATTAGAAAAATAAATACCAACAGGAATATTAATGTAAACAAACTTTGTTATAAATTATTATTTTTAAAAATACAAGTTAATTTTATATACTTTAACATAAAATAAGAGAGCTTGAACATAAGTTAACATTTTTTCCTTAGTGTTAGAGAATTAGTACATTTTCCAACTACTCTTATAGATAGTAAAAAAAATGTTTATTTATTAAAATATACAACACTAAATTATTTTAAAAAACTTACTATTGTTTTTAATTTAAATCGTCTAATTCAACAACACAAGGTTTCTTTCCTTCTATAGAATAATATTTCAACACCATTTTACCTTTATATAAGTACAATTTTCTCTCAGCAAATTTAATACCCTGAAAAAATATTCAACATCATAAAGCTAGTAGTAAAATCCCTCAAAAAAAAAAAAAAAAAAATACAAAGAGTGTCATACTTTTTCAATTTTTTCTTTTAACAAACGACATTTATTAGGATTCTCTCTTAGTGGTGCAACTTCGTGTGAAAGAACACCTATTAAGCGTTCTAAAACCTATAAATATATTATAGAACATTATTTCTATTATTCATTTCAACTTTCAAGTAAGTAGTTATAACTTACTGGTGTTGAAAACTCTACATCTTCATGTATTGTTCCGTAACTAATTTTACCAGAACAAATCCACTTGTTCTGTTTCACTTGAATTTTTGAAAGCTGAACTGTTTTAGCTTCATTTACTGTTTTATATTCAGGGAATTCAAAATCGATTGTATCCATTTCTACATCAGTCACTTGGAATTCTAATGATGATCGTTTAGGTTGAGCATGTACTGGAGAACTACTTGCTTCTCGTTTAGCTGATATTTGATTATCAGCTGAATTGTTAGTCTCAATTGATGTATTTAAAATATTACTAGTTGGGTGAACTGAGTGTCTAGAAGGTCCAGGGTTTTGTGAATTGAAAACATTTGATAATTTGGTTTGTTTGGTTACATTAGTCTTTTTTACAGTTGGTTTACTTATGTTTTCAGGAATTGAAGTGTTAATAATGTTTTTGTGTTGTTGAGGTAGGCTTAATTGTCTTGTTGAGCTCTCTGTTGACGTAGGTTGATTTAAGCGTGATTCAAGTTCTGCTACTTGAGTTAAACATAATAAATCTGCTTCATCATCATCCATAAAATCATCAAACTAAAAAAAATATTGCAGTTTAGTATTTTATAAGAGCAACCAGGAATTTTTATTTGGGAAGTAATTTAAAATCATAACATACAAGAAGAAAGTCCTACATATTTATGACTTTAGTCCAATGAGCTTAATGAAATTATGGCAAGTCATAATGAACTAATAGCTGGGTTTTTAATGAAATTATTACTTTTTGTGTTTATTTGACAAGTGTAGTTTCTTGTGTAAAAAACCCAGCACATGGCATAGTGGAGACAGAGCATAGTGTGATTAATTTAACCACAGGATTGTCAGAATTACTATAACTGACAGTGATCAAATCACTCACAAAGAAAACTAACGTGAATCTATTGATGGTGAAAGTATTTAGTATCAATAATTAATATTGTATTTTTAGTATTAGGATAGATACAATTAGGGTTGATTGTGTCTATAAAAATTTGTTGTCGTTGTTACCCATATATCGTAATTAATAATAAAATTAAAATATTTTTCTGAAGCTGTTGGCAGTTAATTCATTCACACATATAGCAACATAGAAATGTATTATGGTCAAAAAATAATTTCCCCCTTTTTTAATTTTTTCCTTCACAAAATTGTTTTTTTTTTATCAAAATTGAATATTTTAAAATATTTACAATTTTGTATAGCTTATAAATTAGTTTGTGACAATAATATTTTCTGCAATTCCTTTTTTTTAAAAAAAGTTAACTAAATAATTACAAGGTAGTAGGAGTCAAACTACACAAACTATAAGTTAATACTGTGTCTACCTCAAGCACTTGCCACTGTACCATTGGCAGAAAAAAAAACAATTCATTTAAGTTGTTTTTGGATGCTTAAATCAAATAAAATACTACAAAACCCATATTTTTGAGTAAATGCTTAACATTTGCTTGGCCAAACAATTAAATAACTGCCTCGACTTACTACTCTATATTTTATAAAAAGTAAAAACTATACATCTAGTATGTATTAAATATTGAATTACAAAAAAACATTTCATTCAATATAAGTTTAATTAAACCTAGTTGCATTGTATTTCTATGGTCATAATTTATAACAATGTATAATTACAGAAATTATGTCATTTCCATCCGTATTACATCTATTACTTTGATTAGAAATGGTGGGTGGTCCTAAATTACTTGGTGGTCTAACATTTTCTGCCGGCCTAGATTGGATGTTTTCGTGAGTTTCGTTTGTTTTTAGAGCTGTATTTTCAATTTCTATTTCAGAAAATGTATATGGATTAGCTAATAATGGTTTCTTCCTGTACAATACAAACAATCATAAATAACTATAATGTTTCATATAAGAATTAATGATATTAATATATTTACAAAATTTTGCATAACACATTTAATGGCGCATTCGAGATCAACAGATCATCAACTTCACCGCCTATTAAATGCAAATTTTGTGGTTTGAGCAATATAACTCCTTTTCTGTATTCAACTGGGCCAATCACAGTTATCTAAATTTTACGTACATAAGCAAACAATTTCAATCCATTTGATTTTAAAGGAATAAAAGTCCTACTTTAAATCCAGGTACAAATGGTTCTTTAAGGATAGGTAATGATTCATACTCCATAGCTAATACATCTTGCTGACCATCAGTGCATGACAATTTCAACATTCTATGTAATTTTGGCTCCCAAGCTGCTGGCTTAGAATCGTTGACTTCTGAGTTACTAATATCTTTCTTAAGTATTGTATTGTATTGTGAATAACATGACTGTCCTATATTGATAATAGTGTTTACCTATATCAAAATGTTCAATTTACAAAATAAATTATTATATTGTTAAGCAGGGGCGGCTCCAGAGACTTGGTTGGGCGCGGCCCCTAGGACCTCCCGTTGTTAAGATGTAGGCAAAACTTTTTTATTTATTTATGCATTAGACTTTTGGCTTAAGGTAGGCAAAACTAAACTATTGATTATATAAAAGATATAAAGTTAATAACTATTAGTCTGGTATTACAATTTTGTATACTTATAAAATATAAATTGTGTCATTACTTTATAAACATGATACAAATTATTGCAAACAATAAAAAAAAATTATGTACTTTTCTTCTCAGTCACTATACAAATTGATCCATTAGTAATCGTTAATATTTGATACTTAACTCCCTGTTTATTGCTTTTTTCGAGGGGGTCCCTAGTTCAATAAGGTATAAGGAAGGATAGGTCTCATGTACGAACAGAATCAATTTGTTTATATATGAAACGTAATGAGTAATAATTTTTTAGGAACTACTTATTTAAAATATGTTTTGTAGTTATAAATATATGGTTTGCTCTCTTATGTGAAACCTGTGGTATTCCTATATCATTTATTATCTGAATTTAGAAAATATGCAGAACACACAACACTCCAGATGCCATTTAACATCTCGGAAGCTCTCAGCCCAAATCCACATCAAATTTATACATCATAAACTTTAAATAATAATGTTGTATTATCAAAACAACATACTTGAAGACTATATGTTCCTTGTAAAACTGTATTTTCATTGTTGTTCAAATTGGTAGGTAAACAAGATAATGAAATTTGTTTAAAATCTGCTAAACTAAGTTGTTCAGCTACCTTTAAAGACAAATCTTTTATATTTATCTGTAAAAATAAATGTTCATCATTAAAATATCAAAATATGTCCAACAGATGAGTAAAAAAATCTGTAGGTATTAAGAAGGTTGCTTACATTTTGATTGTTTAATTTAAAAAAATCTATACATTGTTTGAACCATTCGTTTTCTCTTGATACTACAATATAATTTTTTTTTAATTGTTGAGATACCAGACCATACATATCGGTACTAGAAACTGTCATATTGCCGGCATAAATTCACAAAAAACATCTAACAATGCCTAAATATTCGGACAACACTATTACTAAAATAATAGTAATTCGTCAATAATATAGATTAACAAAATTTGAACATTTGTAGTAAACTGTACCTACAATGGCCGTGGTGCATACTAAGTACAAATTAAAATGTTAAAAACTGTAACATAATATGTTATTAAAGTATAATAAAATTAATTCATTGAAACGATAGGTATCATATAATATTCAAATTTCAAATAATATTAACCATAGTTGTGGAAAAATACGCGCTCGTTAGGAGCGCGCCGTAGTCTAGACGACAAATCAAGTTCAAATATCTTATCAAAACCTATTATCTGCACTCAAATTGATAAGAGCGCTCTGCGGACTGCGGGAAATGTAAGTTGTAATACAAATACTTATTGAGAGGGATTTGTTTGTACATTCAGTTCATACTTTATGCAGTCCATAAGCTAAAAATAAATATTATTTTATTTTGATCTAAAAAACGTAATGGACAGAGAAAAAGGGAAAAAATCCGACAATAAAAATCCAAGTAAGTTATGTATTTCAATTTCAATAAGTATTTAACGCTATTAGACTAGAGGCTTCCGATTATGTTGATAATAATAAAAAATTACCAAACAGTTTAATTTATATCTTATACGTTTTGGTATTGTTTTCTTTTGAAAAAGTTGAGTTTTGCATGTATTACATAAATGATTAAACAACATTTACAATTATTAATTATAATAGATGATTTTTATTTTTTCTTATTAAAGATTCAAACAACAGACAGTATTAAGCATAGACAAGTATACTGTCATTTAGTAAGATAGTAGATACATAATCAAAACGATCATAAAATGTAAACAATTATTCCATAAACCAATTTCCACACACCAGTGTGGCCAACCTCTAGGTGAAGATAAGTTATTATTGTAAAACTTAGCTCTACTGTAAATATTATTGTTATGTTATCATATTCGGCGTGTACAGACCACAGAATAACAGATTGTAACTAAATAAAAAGTACAAGACGTTATAACCACCATGTGGCTTCGTATCACATCACTTCGGTTTTTTGTAGGTATGTGTTTTTATCATGTGAAATGTGAATAATTTATCTTTTAAAAGTCGTCAGTTTTTTGTTATTCAAGTTTTTTAAAGTCTTTTAATAACGATTATGCTACGAAGACAAGCGAGACTCCGTAGGGAGTATCTGTACCGTAAAAGTTTGGAAACTCGTCAGAAAATAATTGAAGATAAAAAATTAAGATTGAAACAGTGTTTGGACGAAAACGTTCCTATTCATTATGATTTGCGAGCTGAAGCGTTAAACTTACAGGATAAACTCGAATGGGATGATGAAGCACCAGCATTATCGGGAAATGTTGGTGGCGAAGAAGGTGGTACTGGCATCACACACGAAGATGATGAGTATCGTTGGGCTGGCGTTGAAGATCCAAAAATTATGATAACTACATCACACGATCCATCTGCCAGGCTGAAAAAGTTTGTAAAAGAACTCAGGCTTATATTTCCTAATGCTCAGCGCATGAACCGTGGTAACTATGAAATTAAACAATTGGTTCAAGCATGTAGAGCCAATGAAGTTACAGATTTTATAGTTGTTCATGAGCACCGTGGTGTTCCCGATACATTAATAGTTTGTCATATGCCATATGGTCCAACAGCGTACTTCAACTTAACAGACGTTGTGATGAGACATGATGTGCCCGACATTGGTACAATGTCTGAACAATATCCACATTTAATTTTTCATAACTTTGAAACCAAACTTGGTAAAAGAACAATGAATATTTTAAAGTATTTATATCCAGTTCCTAAAGAAGACAGTAGAAGAGTTATAACATTTGCTAATCATGATGATTATATCTCATTTAGACATCATACTTACAAACAAGTAAAGACATATTTATTTTCTGTATTTACAGTTAATATCATTAATGTTATGTTTTTAGGTGGATGGTAATAAAATTGAAATGAATGAAGTTGGCCCACGGTTCCAGTTAAAACTTTACCAAATTAAATTGGGTACATTGGAGTCCGCTGATACTGCTGATACAGAATGGATGCTTAGACCATACATGAACACAGCAGCAAAACGTAGACATTTGTCTTTAAATGATGGATGGGCTCAAGATGATACTATTTTTTCATAATTATAGTTGATTTCTTGTATATGAACTGCAAATATATCTTCTTTTTTTTTTATAAAATAAAATATGTTAACCTTTCGGTATTTCATTGTTATTGTTCTCATTAAAAAAAAAATTACTTTAAACTGTAATATATAATTAAATCATCCAATAGTCTTAGTATGTAATTTAGTTGCTTCTTTAGAGTAACATATAGGTTTATTTAAATATTTCTATCTGTCAAAATTGATGCCAGAAAATTAAAATTTTACAAAAATTAGGTGTTTTTTGGTACTTTTTTAGCTAATTTTTAAACATAAGAGAACACAATGAGATGAGGCATTGTGAAATTTAAGTTTCAAAAGTTGCTATCAAAAAAACTAACTAGGGAGGGGAGGAAAAACAAAAAAAATTGTGGAAAATATAGATCACATTATATAAAAAGTAAAAATGTTATTTCTTATTAAACCCTGTGAGAAATTAACTGGTTCATGTTAAAATAATCACCCTGTATAAGAGGCGTTGAGCACAACAACGAACTAAGACACAAACTAAAATTAAATAGGTAATGAAATTGATGAAAAAACGCTAATTTTTTTAAAATTATCAAAACTTCAGCTCATACTAAGTAGTTGGAAAAAAGTTATGCGTTGATTTGTGTACAAGTGTCAAAATCCCATTTAAACTTCAACCCTTGTGGGGGCTGGGGCACGGGTTTAAATTAATATTTTTCAAATTTTTTTGTATTTAGAAACTTTTTAGGGGACCGGGCGTCGAGGTTAAAATTCGAAAATCGATTTTTTAAGTACTACCCTAATATATATATATATAACATTTTTAGCCAATTTCATTAAAGGCATATAATTATATATTTTGACATGTTAAAATGCATATTTCAATACATTTATGGTCATTAACACTGAGCTTTTAGAATATCAATGTATTTATGTATTGAAATATGCATTTTAAAATGTCAAACTTTGCAATTATATGTCTTTATTGAAATCGGCTAAAAATATATTTACAATTGATACTTACAAATATGCTATTAAATCTAGAAATAATCCTTATAGGCAATATATATTTAAAAGTGTCAAATATGCAATAAAAGTGCCGATTTTAAATCTATTCTTTGTGAATCTAATTTATATCATATTGGGTATAAATCTGATTTCACTAAAAAACTATGCAAAGTCATAAACATCCGAGCTATAGTTATTATAAGAGTGTATATATATATATATAATTAAGACACTAAAAAAAGAATTCCTTTTTCACAACAAATTTGTATGTTGTATGTATTAATGTATTTAATTCTACTAAGCTAATCAAATATTTTAAAACTGATTTTAATCCCAAATATGAAATTTAATAATATAAGATTGTTTCCTATAAGAGTTTCATAGTTATTCTACAAACTAGACACATATTGATACTTAAATTGCATTTTAGATGAACCAGAAGTCACTGCAGTATCGCGATCTGGGAGAATTATAAAAAAATCTTCAAAATTACTTGGATTTCAATCATCTGACATTTGTAAGTATCTATGTATGGACTATAGCAAAACAATTTTGTGTAATTAATGAATATTATATTTGTCATAATTGCATATTGTTTAAATTTCTATAGCAGAAGAAAAAGATAAGACCCCTAAAACTTCAAGACAAAGTGTAAAACGTAATTCAGCTAACCATGATGCTGTCGATCAAGTATATTATAATATAACGCAAACTATTAAAATAGTTTAAACTGTATATTTGTTATTATTTTCATCTATAAGGTCATATATTGGTTGTGAGTGGAGAGTAAAGATTAAAAACTACAAATTGTTGAGTAGTAGATCTTCACAAAGCCAATAGCTTCTTTTTTCAATATTATACTGTTAATTGAGTTATAAAAAGTTTAAACATAATATTTATAAATTTAAATGTGTTATTTTAGTTTAATGATGATGACAATAGCATGGAGTTTTTAGAAGAACAACAACACACTGAAAGTAGTGAATGGACTGTAGATACCAATGCGTGTAAGTTGATTTTAATTATTAAATTGCTATTGTTTGAAAAAAAAGACGTATTATTAAGTCGAATTTGATTTAATTATGTTTCCACTAACTCTTCTGTTCTCAACTAAAACATTTAAATTATTATGTGTTTAACATATTCATAACTTGTGTTATTTTCTGTACCTATATTGAACTATTTGTATGTCAATGTTTGTTACAGATGAATACATTGAACCAAGTGGCACCTCTGTTGCAGTTGGAGAACACAATCAAGTAATACATAAATACATTTTACAGTTATATAATATTAATATATTAACCAAATTATTTATAGTTCATGTATGCATTAAAAAATTTGAATATGAAAGAACCAGGATTTGTAGCTTATGCTTTATGGGCAAAAGAAGTTCGTAAGACGTTGATAAATGCATACCCCAATTTTAGTAAGTTATTCAAATTTGTATTTTACCAACATATGACCAGTTCCTTTTCAAATGTATTTTATTAAGGTTCATCTCAAATTAGTCAGCAGCTACGAGATATGTGGAAATCAGTACCAACTGAAGATAAAAGTGTAAATTAAATATTATAATTAGTACATTTCTTAGCGAATGACTTAAAGAATAAACATATTGATTTAAAATATATTTTTTTAATAGCGTTGGGTACGTAAGGCAAAGCGAATTCTGGATCGCGAAGGTATAGATAGTGGCAGTTCCACCGATTCTAAAGCCATAACAAAGAAGTCCGACAAAGATAATGCAGACCATTTAGCCGACAATAAGTGAGCTTTGTTACTATTATGTTTTACTATTAAATTAAAATGGGTTGCTATTTAAATGGATTGAATTTTTTGTATCCACAAAAAATGATTACCTAGTCTGCTGTCAATGGTTCAAAACACCCGTATTTAAGCAAAAATCTGTAAACCAAAACACAAAAACCCTAACAATATTAACAGTGTTTATGGTTTTTAATAATAATTTTAATAAATTAAGAATTTTAATGGTTTTTTTTATTATATTTTTTTAATTTATTAGATAATTAAACAAAAAAACAGTTGTGGGCCGTTTTTATCACCAAAAAATATTTGAGTTTAAACCACTGCTCAAAATGATTGATATTTTATAAATTAGGCTGACATGTTAAAGTCCAGTTGACCAGCTGCTATACCTAATATATAATTATTGCTCTTTATAACATTTACTTGTATAATTATAATATTGAGATAAGGTATTATGAATTATAAATATATTATTTAATTTTAATTATCGTTTTATTAAGTTAACTTGTTTCTTTAAATTTTTAGGAACAAAAGTAAAATTGATTTATTTAGATCAACACAGCCAATAGATGTAGCTGCTCATTTAGCATTACTTGGTGAATCGTTAGGCATCATTGGACAACGTTTAAAAGAACATCAAGTAAATTTGTTTATTTTTAAGCAACTTAAAATTTAAAATTAATTTTGCTTTTATTTATTTTTAGGGACAAATAGCTGTAAATGGTAGTGTTTCAGTACTGCTTGATTCACTTTTGTGTGCTTTGGGACCGTTGCTTTGTCTGACTCAACAAGTGACAGAAATTAATGTCAATTCACAAGAAACCATGTCTAAACTTATGGACGACATTGCCTACATAATGCCAGGATTATAATAATGTTACATCAACCTCTGTGTTTTTATCTGTTTTCATTTAAACGGATAAAAACACACATTTTTATACTTTGTAAATTACTTTACATCACTCACAAAACTGCCTCTATAGTTAAAATAAGAAGCTCTGAAGTGTATATGCTTTGATTTTCTATAGACTTAATAGGTAAAAGTGTGAGCATTTGGGGATTACGACGAGTCACTATATCAAAAATAATATATTTATATACCAACCAGTTGTTTTACATACATATATATATATTTTTTTTAAAGTGAATGAGGTATTTTAATTATGTCAATAACTTACAAGTAATATCTTGCACCATAGAATGATCTCTTATACAACATCCCTTCATTGTGCTAGATTTTGTTACCCTATTTTCCACAAAAACAGTATTATCTATACTTTTTTTTTAATTGAACAAATAATGTTAATAGATGTTTCTACTTAATAAAACTTTTTAAAAATAATTTCGCTGCTCTGAAAGTAAGAAAATATAAGTTTTGTTTTTTCATTGCGGCATCAATATTTTTATAAATTAAAGCCCCTGACCTCGAGCTTTAAGTCTACTTATTATTTTTTGAACTTATACACATATTATTGACTTTTTTAAATTGTTTTTACATGTATTATAAGTATATAATTAAAATATACAAATTTATTTTATGTTTATATTATAATAGAGATATTATTTCAAAACTGTAAAGGTTGTATGGTCAGTATGAATGTATTAAGTATCATTTAGAAATCTTTAATCAGTCCTAATATCTGTATTTTAGTATAAAAAAGTAATTACTAAAAATTTTGTTTTTTTGCTCTGTGTTGTTGAAGATTGATTAAAATGTACTAGGGAAAAATTAGTAATTCAGTGATACATTGAAAACTATAAAAAAAATAACTTAATAGTCAACATATTTAAATTTGGTTTACTTCTTAATACAATTTACATAATTATTATTATGTACATATACAAAAAACTTAGTTATTACATTTATAAATGTAAGTAAATTTTACTTATGTTGTTTTAAACGGTTTAATGTGTAAAATACACATTATTCTGATACTATACACTTTGCAATGGGACAGTATACTTGTTCAGAAAATCTTACTTGGAAAATCAATGATTTAATTAAAAATAAATTTAAATAATTTGTAACATTAATTTTTCAGTTACTGTGCAAACATACATTTTTAATGAAATTTTAAGAGAACACATTTTTAAGTTTTTAAATTAAAGTTCTTAATGAAAAAAAAAAATATATATATTTGATTTATAATAACATTTTACATACAAGTAAAAGTAATCAGTCTGTATTCTATTAAAATATGATAGGCAACAAGTGTTATAAGTATGAAATAGGATATTATTCAAATGTAAAACATTAATTTTTTCATTTAATCATTTTTAATATAGTAACAATTTGATAGTTATTAAAATAAAATAAAATTAGTTTTTATTTTAAGAATGAATAAAAATATAACCGATAACTATCACTTTTTTGTATACTGGTACCACTTTATTCAGTTCTGCTGCAACACAAATTGTACATGTATAAATTTAGAATTATTTTATATATACTTAGTAATTTAAACATACCTTAAAATTAATATCACAATTACTTCTTGAGTCGTTCAATTGAACTACTTTTTTGTGTATGTACAGCTATGTCCATTTCTCACTATAATAAATAAAATGAAAAACTATTAATATTCTGTATTATTAAAAAAACTACTGATTAGACATTACAGAACTGTAATAATAAGTTGAACAAGCAGAAGCAGATGTTAAATGACCATAATAATGTTTGCTGTTAGTTTTTACCATTACAAAGATTCTTTTTACACAAATAGTAGGTACCGACTACAGTGCACACGTTCAGTTAAAATTGTATTTTAAACTGATTATTTAAGCGATTTTTTGCAAGCTGTCGTGCAAATATAGTAGGAAAACAAATATTTTTAACTAAAAATGTTTAACATAAAACACAAATATGGTATAAATTGCAAATGATCAAACCATAAAAGCAACATTTCTAAACGTAAAAAAGAAGCAAAAATATAGCTTTATAACAAGTTCATTTCATATATTATCTAAGTACATAAATTAAAAAGTTAAACCTTTTTTTTTTTCCAAAAATAGTTTCAGCATCTGGTGTTCCCTTGTTTGGTGGTTTTTTATCTTTAATACTTGTAGAAATCGGTTTTTGTACTACTTGAGTCAAATCTTTATAATCCTCTTCTTCTTGTCTATTATTTATATCCAACGTTAATTGTTTTACCCTCCTTAACTCTGCTTGTTCAGCCATTTCTTGACTTTTTAAATTTGATGCCAATTCAGAATCCACGGGTACTTGCAAATTCTTGAATGTTTGTTTGTTACCTTTTTTTAACATAAGTATGAAAGACACCGAGTTATCTTCATTGGAGCTTTGTAACTGTTCATATGTTTTTTTGCTGTATTTTTTCAAATGAAAAGGTATGGATATTTCTGTTTGGGGGCGAGCTATTTCTTTGGTTCTTTCTTGTATGTTATCACTTACCATCCGATCAAAAGATTCTAAAAAGTCATAGTCTTCAGGATCTTCAATTTTACGCCTAACGGGTAGTTCCAAGACGTTTTCAATAGGTTTGTCACTGCAAACAGTTGCGTCACTGTCTTCATCGTCTGATGAATCGGCTTCAGAATCATCATCATCATAATTAACTTTCTGTCCATCATCTGTTTCTTCTTTAATAGTTGATAACTGTGTTTCTTCACTTTCTTTGAGATTATACTGTTGAATAAGTCTTTCTTGAAGTAGAATAACAGATTTTTGTGCTTCAAGGAAACAATTTTTCAATTTTAAGCCAGGTCTAAGCTTTTTTATTGTATCTGTAACTAAATAATCGATAGTCACAGGAAATGGATTTTGGTCATCCCAAATAGTACTGCACTTTTTTAACCAGAAATAGTACTGGAAATAAATAATAAAGCAATCGAGTTTGAGTTTGCCAGGACCTCGATTAAAAAATTCTCCACAAGTATCAAGTAACACACATATGAGCCTTAATCGAAATAGATTTTGAGGAGGATCAAATGTTGAAGAAAAATCTGGTTCATATACTACACCAAATGACACCAGACTATATAAAACTTTAAACACGTCATTACTTTCAATTAATCTATAATTGTAAAGTTCCCCAAAATACCTAATCATAGCAATTCTTCGTTGATTGAATTTTACTAAATTTGTTTCTAAACCAACACGTATGTCTTCCATAACACCATCCACAACTCTAGTTCCAATTGAGTCATCATAGTCAACAAATGCTGCAACCAAACATGCTAGATCTGAAATCATAGGATAAGTTACATTCCATGCCTCTGTCAAACACTTGATCAAATATGTTTTCTCCATTGGATTTTCCCAGTCCATTTGTTTGAGTAAACACAAAATAATGTTCTCTTTCTCAGGAGCATCTTTTAGCTCGTTATATAACAGATGTCTAATAAACTCGTGTAAGATTGGTCTTTGTTTCTTCAAAATGGCAGGCGAGTCGGTTGGATTGACAAAATAATATGCATTTTCTATCATCGTAACATAAACAGGTCTTAAAGCTGATATCGACTTAACTCTCATCATTTGCTCCAAGTATATTTTTGTGCGATGATGACTATCAAGAGAGCGATATAAAAATCTTCCTGCAGTTTCTAATAAAGCACAACCCATTTCAATATGATGATGTGTAAAATCATTAAGTAACATTTTGAAACAATGTAATGCTTCTGATTTTGCCATAAGGTTAAACTTCACCATTTCTCCAATAAAGCGGACAACTTTTAATTTAGTTTCAATGTTGATCTGATCTTTTTTTTTGACATTATACCTGAAGTCACATTTTAGTAGAGATCCTAATTCCAGTGCCACTTCAGGCATCAAAGGATTCAAAATGGCTACTAAACGCGTGTAGAATGGTAAAAGATCCACTCTTGTTCTAGGAACACTAAACAGGACTTTGACTAATTTTTTACGATTATTTTTGGTATTGAGATAGATTAGAAATTCAATAGCCAAATTGTCAATCATTTCTCGATTAACACATTTTGGCAGTTGTTCAACAAATGATTCAAATATAACTTTAGTACCAATATTTGATACTTCAACATCAATGGCATCTTTAACATCTGATAAACTCTTTTTAGTAGGTTCATTCTCCTCAGCTTCATCAATTTTCTTATTCTTTTCTGGAATATAATTGCTAAGATTTGGAAACTCTTCATAAAATTTTTGTGTTTCCTCGTCTTCCCAAAGGCTAGTTAATTCTGATGGTGTAGAACCAATTATATCTAATTCAGAGTCGGTCAAGTCTTCTGTTGAACTGCTCTTTTTTTCTTCTTTCAATACAATTACTGGTTCGCTTAAAATGTCAGAAAAGGTTATTGCAGAGTTATAAAGTTTTTGAAACGTTACATTCATTTGTTCATTTTTAGCCTTACGTTCAGGTCTGAGTTCTCCTTTAGTTTGTAATATCTTCTCATTTTGTTTTTCAGCATACTCTAGTTCGCTATGCATTCGTTTCACATGGTTGCAAAGAGACACATAATACTCTTTTAATAGAGCTCTTACATTTTTTTGTTTTTCATTTGTCAACATATTACTTCTTGGTATTTCAATATCATATTTCTCAGCTAAATCCTGCATTTCTTTTGTTATCAATCCGGCATAATCATCTCCACAATATTTACAAAAACTGAGTATTATGTTTATATTATTATGCTCCTGAAGGTCAGTACTAATCAAAATTGTGAGCACATTTCCTAACAATACAAGACCTTCTTTTTGAGGTATAATACCAGCCGATGTAAGCTCTGCAAAAAGTCTGAGATCTACCCTAAATTTGCTCATATTCGCTATTTTATCTTCTTTTTTTATATTTAATACTTTTTGCCATTGTTCGAAAAATACTTTTGAAAAATCCGAGTAAGTAATGTTTAATTCAGTACATAATGCTATCATTGCATCAATTTCTGTCATTTTAAGTTTAACTTCAGTAAGAGCGGATACAACTTCTGACAAATACTTTGTCAAATTTAGGGAGTTCATGTCTTTAATTAATTGATCTAATTGTGGAGGAGGGAAATTTTTCAGTTTTCTTATAAAAGCAGTGTTTTTTTTCAAACTGGAATCACGTTTAGAGATTTCTGATTCATCAGGAAACACACATTCTTGATTTTTCAATCTGTACTTTTTCTTTTCTTCATGTCTAGTTGTACAATCAGCAACAAAACTTAACAAAGTTTCTTTTTCTTTTTTTTCAATATCTTCTTCGGTTACTTGAACAGCAGCTGGCTGAGATTCAGATTTTGTCACATTAGTAGAAGGTGAAATAGGAATACTACCAATAGATTGGCGTACATTATCAACAATTTTTGAAATTTGTTGCAATGAGTCGGTCACTTCAACAGGTGTTTTGGATACTACTTTGGATCTCTTGGGTGGATCGTTCTTCATTTTGCATAATATTATTTAGTATATATTGTATAAAATGAATTATCTCAATACATTTAACGTAGTGCACCTATATTAATTCTTTACTATAGACGTACGAAGCCGTGCAAAAATTAATCAATTACCAAGTAAAACTTCAACGACAACTATAATTTCCAATTACCTTAATTGCAATGGCATCTGATAACGCATTAAATATTAGAAATAATAAACTCAACAATAAAATGTAAATAGAAAGTAGAATGTCAAAATGAAAGCACGAGTATCATCAACTATCAGTGTCTAAACTCTAAAAGAATGATAAATATTTTAAATAATAATATTATGAAGAAAATTATAAGTATATATACTACCATAGACATATTATACTACCGACGGTCAGTTTTATAGGTTATTAAAAACAAAAAATATATGATAAAAACAAAAAAATGATAAAGGTTATCTTGTGCTATAATCATATTAAGTCTCAAGCCTGTGGAAAACAATTAACAATATGATAATATATGAGCTATGCTTTGAGTCTTGTTTGATGTTACGAACAATTTGAGATCTTTGAAGTTATTTTTCGAAATCAGATTTGAAAGACATCTATTTTTGCTTTCCTCGTCACGATTCACAAATGTATATCTAAATTACCAGCTACCTTTGTTATAACTTATATTGTGTGTACGATGGTAAATTATTCTAAAATAGTGTAATACATTCTTATCCCCCGAGACATGTTTTTGTACAATAATTGTTATTCATAACTAAATTACTGCGCTGTAAGATTTGGAAATGCATATTAATATTATTAACATGGAGTCCGAAATTCAAATTCATCTGTCATTCATTCTATTATAGCTTTGAAATGGTAGAAAACAGATTGTACAGATTATTACAGTTTCGGCTTGTTTTTTCTTTACGATTAAATTTATTGTGATTTTTAATAATATATATTATTTTTACCACCTACAAATAAGCATTGAATCGTTTTCTATCATTATAATATCTTTACGCCTAAATAAATGGTCGCTCCAGTGCCATGCTAACCATTATGTTTATAAGTATCTTTTATTACAAAATACTAGTACTAATAACTTATCAAGTACATTTCTGTGATAGGTACCCTAGGGTAATATTTTTCTCTCTTCTTCAGCTGTATAGTTCCCCTTTCTCTGTAAATATTAATAATCGGGGGCGCCCTTAATTAATTTCGCCTTTGCATTCTACTTATTTATATAATTCAATTATTTAACACATTTATTAAGTACTCCACAGTATACATTTTTTTAATAAAAACTTTTTATTATAGTTAGTTGTATTTGCGTATAACATATAGGTATACTATTGTCATTTATTTAAATCACAATTTATTAGGAATTTCATTTGAATTGGCTTTACTAAAACATATAATAACACCTTACATAAAAACAATCGAATAGTTGTTTTATCTCTGTACAAGAATTCTATAAAACAAATAAGTTTTATGTAAAATTGGATAATGCAAGGCGTGTACGTGTTCCTTTGCAACTTTAAAACATTTGTTTTTAAACAGACAACTCCTATTATACTGCTATCATATTATAGTTGTATAGTATGATATAACTGGAATAATACATGACCAAATAGATCTATTTTGTCATAATATTACAATCATAATTATCAGCTGTCGAGTCTGTATGTTGGTGACATAAATTTACATTCTTATAGAACGTGTCACTGATTGAAATTGTATTTTATCCACGTTATTCAGACAAAAATATAGTGGGATCTCATAATGGGATATGTGTTAAATATTTACATTTCACTACCAGTGGCAACAAGTATAAAATTGAAGGTCCACAATTGTCTTAACTATTCTCTATTGTTCTGTCATAACTCAACAGCTATAATATGTATAATATCATGCCTGAATAGTGAATAATCATGAATAACAAAATAAAAAGGTATGTTAACAACTTGAGATTATCGCAAAATGGCAACTGGTGATGATTTTGGATGGTCGTATAATTTTTTATACAAAAAACTGGCAGCCATATTGTAAAAATTGATAATACGTGTTGCCGACAAACCTGTTTACTTATCATGGTCACGCGTTTGCATGAACCTCAATATTATTGTATCGATTTTTCTGTGGTCGTATCACAAATGGCGTATCAAGGCAAACGTGTGGTATATACAATTATATAAACAATATTTACAGCCTGCGCATGGTAACAGCAGCAGCTGCTTTTTGTCCCGACTCCTGAACCAACATTTCCACTTTCCAGTGTTGACAGTAGGTCGATAAAAGCGCAGCTGTTGCCCCACGACGGCCGTAGTTACTTTTTATTCAATACCTTTATCATGTTTTGCTCTATTGTTTGATTATTATGATAATAAAGACGCAGTTGCCAGTTATAAAGAGAGACGATTGACAAAAACCAATATTCCTGTATCTGTGGATTATACTATAAGCCCGTATTATAGTTAAAAAGCTACTGCGTTTTACATCAATATTATTGTGCCCGTACTATTTTCGTTTGTACACCAGTACAAACATTGTGTTATTTTTAGTTAATTATTGAGTTATAGTTACCGTACGTACATATTGTGTCCACTGCGAGCGTTACTTAATCATAAGTTATTCATTCTCAGTTATTTTAAGACACTAAGAACCGTCACCGTTTTCAAATATGTCTTACGCGTACTTGTTTAAATACATCATTATTGGAGATACGGGTAAGCTTTACATTGTTCATAGGCCATCACAGTGGGTAATTATACACTGACATATGTTACAGGTGTCGGAAAGTCTTGCCTCTTGCTGCAGTTCACTGACAAGAGATTTCAACCTGTTCACGATTTGACAATTGGTGATTAACTACATTGTACACAGCTGTCGATTGTTATGTTAACACAAGTTTATTTTAATTTAGGTGTTGAGTTCGGAGCACGCCTTATAACAATAGAGACCAAGCCAATAAAATTACAAATATGGGATACTGCAGGTCAAGAAGCTTTCCGATCAATAACTAGGTCTTATTATCGAGGCGCTGCTGGTGCACTTCTAGTCTACGATATCACGCGCCGTGATACGTTCAACCATTTGACTACGTGGTTAGAAGATGCTCGACAACATTCCAATTCCAATATGGTCATTATGCTTATTGGAAACAAAAGGTAATATTTATTATTACATTTTACTGATAGAAATAGATAAGAAAATATACATTAATTTTCAAGTGATTTGGAAGCTAAAAGAGAAGTTAAGAAAGAAGAAGGAGAGGCATTTGCTCGAGAACATGGGCTAATTTTTAAGGAAACTTCGGCTAAAACTTCCGACAATGTGGAAGAAGCATTTATAAATACTGCCAAAGAAATATATGACAAGATTCAAGAAGGAGTATTTGATATTAATAATGAGGTACGCATAGTAGTAATATTTAAAACCATTTATAGATGCAACAAATTAATTTGTGTTATTGTTGTATTTTTGTAGGCAAACGGAATTAAAATTGGACCACAGCATTCAACTGGTAATAGCAGTGTGCCAGGTAGTAATAAATCTAGTGGTAATGGTTGTTGTTAATCAGCATTAAAAGTCAACTATTTAGAATTTGTCCAGCCCTTTTTCCCCTAATTTCGCTTTTTCTAGAGGGCTCGAAACATTTTTTTGATTTCAGTAAATTGTTTTTAAATATTTATTAGGTTAAGCTATATATTCATATATCAACAAAAGTATAGTAATGCAAAATGTATCTATTTATATTTACATTATTTAATAATACTTATATTTAAATATTGCTGGTTTGGTTGTACACAAATAAAAATGTAAAAATGACCTTCATTACTTAGAATCTTAAAGCTGTCTTTTCTGTTTTCTTATATTATGTAAAATATACTCGTACTACACTTTCTCTCTTTATATAAGTTTTAGTAGTAAATCATTTTTGTATACTTTTTTTTTTTGTTCAATTGTATTTATTTGTCTCATTGTAACTTGTACAATGATTGTAACTGAAATATTTAGACATGATCAGTATTCAGTGTAATTACTACCTGGATGGTTTTGAGTTCTAATAGACATCTCTAAATCATATTACTCTAAAGTAACAAAAAGTGGTTCTTTTGATAAGTAATTCCCACTTGTACATAATTTATTAAATTCAAATGCAATGTAACTGATTATCAATTAATAATGCTTACTTATTTACAACGATTTTTTTTACATTTGTATGTTTAAATGTCATTGGTTTTTAAGTTAAACTCTAATTATATAATTAATAAACACTATTAGTGTGCATATTTACTTTGTTGTTATAATATTAGATCTTATAATTTTAACATACCTAATTTATAATTATTTGATTGTTTATTTTCATCATAATATAATTTTAACTTCTATCTTGACAACTGGTGTCATGTGATTTTTTCAAGTTGCAACATAGCTATACAAATTAATAGTATTTTATTTTCGGTGTTCCAATTCCATTAAATATTTTAATATTAGATCCATTAATGTAGATGACCGGATGAGTATCTAAAAAATACATACAGTTAAGTATTTTTATTAGGGGTTACACTTTTGAATGAAAGTAATAAAATACATAGATACCAGGTTTTGTTAACTAAGTAATAAGAAATTAAAAATTTCGGTAAAAACACTGGTATTCATAAAAAATAACCGTATAGGTACCCGTGTAATCATTACCTCTTATTTATACTAATAAATTTTAATAGTTATTTAAATAAATTAAAACAATTATTATAACCTACTTTTTTTGTGGGTGGTTAAAGTCACCAGTTTAATTTAACCTTGAGTCGTGACCCCAATTGAGGAAGTAGTGGTTGCGAATGTATAATTTTTTTATGCCTAAGCCTTGGCCCCCATCCCGAAAACGACACTAAAGTAGCGCACCTACTTTAAACGTAAAATAACATAAGATTCCATTGAAATAATAACGAGTCGTAGTCATGTATAAGATTTATTAAATTTGAAGGATCCACGCCGGCCAGTTTCTTGACGGGACACGGAGGTAATTAGGTGGAAATTTCAGATTTCCTATTCACTTGCCTTGTTCGTTTTTTTAACAACACATCGTCGTCATGCATGAGGTTTATTACATTCGAAGGATTAACCGAATTGTTAAATATTGATAATTGTTGCTGCCAGTAAATCGATTAAGGTCAGATATTATAAAACTACTAAAAAAAGGTTGGCCAGAACATATAATTAAGACTATATTATCATTATATAACATAAGAGGATTATAGATTAGAAATAATCACTATTTAGGAGCTGATGGCTAAAGCATGTTCCATGTTTTATAATTTTAGCCGTTAGGCTAGTAGACTGTAACTTTTTTTAAAAATAATAAGCAAAAGAATGGAGGAAGAAAATTGCTATAAATATAGGTATATCATTTCTATTTTTATTCAAATTTTTTCCGGAATGTCACGAGTCTACCCATTAGAAACTTCTCAGTCTCCAAGCTAACCATGTTGTAAAAGAAAATTTTTCTCTTAAGTTCCTAACTTAATTTTGGGCACAGCTTAAAGATAATCAATAAAGTATTTAGAATAATATTCATCCTAACATTGAGAAACTTGTGGAAAGTCTATAGCATCAAGGAAGTCATTAAGTATATTATTCTGTGTTCAATTTTAAAGATATATTAAATTATTTTTTAAACATTTTATTAAGTTACATATTGATAAGTTTTTTATTTTTCAAATTTAGTACGTAAGCAAAGATAAACTTGCATATTTTAATAATTTAGTGTTAACTAATAAAAATTATGTTTGCAAATAAAATGTTTTTATAAATGCTAAATTAAATATTTTAGGGTCGCATAGTTTTTTTTTTAAAGAAGAGATAAGATACTGAAAAAGTTAGGTCTAAATTTTAATTACAACAGAATACTATAATTCTTTAATTACCTTTCCTGAAACGTTAATTGTAGCAACTTTAGGTGCTTCAAAAGCTTTTAACCTTAACTTTGATGCATTTATGCCACTTGAAAGCTTAAAATGATCTTCGATTTCAGACTGCACTTTTATTAAGTCTGAATAATGAAAGGACGTAGCTTCTGTATTTGATCGATTAATAGAAAGCCTGTTCATATAGAAAACAAAAAATAATGCTGTTATTGATTACAAATATTAATAGAGATAACTAAATAACAATTAAAAAAAAGAAACCAAGTACTTAAATAAAATAAATTTGTAATAAAATATTCTGATAATTGTCAGAACTGAATTTGTTTAAATAATATATTATTATTGATGGAAATGATAGAAACTAACTTCTTTATTTATTTCATTTTAAGAATATATTCTATTACGCCAAAGCTATAATATTTTTATGGTTTTAAGTTAACATTATAATATTTTGGATACTAAATGAGCAATTGGAATAACAGAAATAATGTAATAAATTTACATACAAGCATCAACAGTATTGCTGGGGTTTTATAAGTACTATTACGCTTTCCCCTAAACATAAAATAGTTTAAATGATTTATAGGCAGTTGAATAAGAAAAGATACAGAGATGAATAAAAAATGTAAAGGTTATGAAATTATTTTATTTAGTTGCTTAAATTTTTATAAAATTATTGAGAACTGAAGAAATCAAAAAATAGCTCTATTATATTATTTACATCTAATATGATTTATAAAAATAGAATACTACAGTGATAAATATATTATATATTTTAGTCTCATTTTTTTTTTTTAATGCTAATTATTATACATATTTTAAAGGGTTCAGTCAAATAACGGTCCATGTTACATTTTTGCGAAATAATATTTTTTTTTTTGAATAACATTCTATGTGGCTTCCATTACACTTTCCCTGTGTAAACTCAAACAGAAACCAACAGCTGATGTATTGTTATACTACTTTAATCAGCTGAAATTGTGAGTTCTATAATTTGAACAATGGTCTTGTAAATTAAAAAAATAATAATAGGTAGACCATTATTTGGCCAAACCCTTTAACTATTGTATTATACAAATGCAGTGAAACTTCCATTAACAATATTTTTTTCGGTCCCATCTGTTGTTTGGCGAAAATACATTTATACCTCTATATAGTGGTCATCTAGAAATAATCAATCTTTACTAACTGTTACCTCTAAATAAGGGTAACAATTTTTGGTCCCTTCAGTGACCGTGAAATATAAGTTTCACTGTATTTCTTCTAAATTATGCACAGATTAATTACTTAGTTAAAGTTGATCGGAGAAATTCTGATTCTATACAAAACTTTATATCCGTATGACATTTGGAAAATTCGTAATTGTAGAGATAATGATATAAAACGGTTTCGTTGTATGATTGTCCAGCGTCACCCATCGATATGGCTATAAGCCACAGAAATTCATAAGAAGCAAATTCATAAGGTCGAACAACACAATCAAAACTTTCAGCCAGCCAGTTGTGTACTGCGGTTAGGATCGGTTTACTTCCTTGTACTAATAAAACGGGCATATCCAAAAGATTACTTTTATCTTTTTTCGTGGTATAATCAGGTGTTTTTAGTAATACACCATCATACATTAATGTGTCATTCTCTGTATTAATAACTTGAATCTGTATAAAAAATAAAAACAGTTAGTTGATGTATCGACACTAAAAAAAACAGCAAATCTTTTTTTGCTGAACAAAAAATGACTATAGTCCTTTGTTTTTTCAAGCTGAAGTGTGTTTTTTCGTAAGCAATATGAAATGTGCTGTTTTTTGTAAGAACCGGCAAAATTATGTAATATATTACAAATATTAAATAATTACTTTTAATGCAATGCATTCTTGATATGCTTCTTTAACTTCTAATGTACCAGATATTTGTAAATTGCTGTCATGCTTTTGACTTTTTATGTTAGTAGCGATATTTTTTTTAATAGATAATGTAAAATGTTTGGATAACGAGGCCAAATAATTTTTGTCAAATTTCAAATTCCACAGTGGGGACACTCTAAATATCATCCAATTTTTACCAACAAGACCTAAAAACAATGTTTACACCAACTATTATGATTGGCAGTTAAGAGTACTTTACAAATCATGATTTAAAAAAAAAAATATGCAGTTCTAAAATTATTGTACATAAATAGATATTTTAATTATTTATCAGTGGCATATTTAAAGATTTTTCACCTATAGGCAAATTATATTTGTTTTTCTAGGAGTATAAATGAATTTATATATTTTCAATAATGTCATAAAAAAAATGTGTGACTTGAAAATTGCCACTAGGCAACTGCTTATGTTTCATGGTCATAAATCTATAAACATGTATGATAACAGATCTATACATAATTATGGCCTGATTAATTTTTATTTAATATATACAAAAAAATTAGAAACTACTATAATAAAAATAATATTGTTATAAGTCTAGATTAAAGAGATTTTAATATTTTATACAATGTATTTAAAGCTTAATAATAACAATATAGTAATTACCGAGTATATCAGAGATTTCAATAAAGGCGGTTGGATCAAAAGTAATTTCATCAGCTGAAGTAGAAATAGAAGCTAGAAAATAGAAGAATATTATGTTGAACACCAATTTAAAAATAAAAACTAGTACTACAAACATATTAAAATAATTATAATTTACTAGTATAAAAGTAGTATCTTAGTATGTTATTAAATATGTAAAGGAAACAGAAAATCAGGAACAAATTGACTTTACCCCCCAGACCAAAACTTCGATTTTTTTGTTCAATCGATTTGTTTTTCAATGCTGAAAACGATGGTGTAAAAAAAATCTAAATTCGAGTCTGGTGTGATAAAGTCGATTTAAGCCAAAAATCAAGTTATGTAATTAGAATGAATAAAAAACTCACTTTGATTAGAATTATTTTGTGATTGAATTGAATTATCACCTAAACACAAAATTCAGTAAATTAATATTAAAAAAAAAATTTAATTTAACACTAATTGATTCCACGCTTCACCTGAAATTCTGGATATATCACCAAATGAGCATTCAGCATCTTCAACTCCAACTAAAAAAAACAAAAATGAACATTTTTTAAATTAATGTAATGGCGTTTTTTTAAGTTATAGCTGATTGTTGCTGATGATTTATTAACATTTAATTTAATTTAAATACCTCAAATTTTAAATAATCCCCTTAAAATAAATTTACATTTTTAGTTTATTAAAAAAAAAAAAGTAGAATACACAATTAAAAATTAACTCTTTTTTCTATTTTAAAAATTAAGCTAAAAATGATAGTCAAAATACGAATTGATTGAAAATTACATAAGTTACTTTCAATTTTTCATAGAAATTATTAAAACAATTGTCAAGTAAAAATAAATATTAAAGCTCATTCATAAAATCTCCCTTACTCGATTCGATTGAGCTTATATCTTCGTCAATTTCCATTCTTGTGTAAAAACCAAACAACGCACTGTATAACTATCTATAATAAATTATAATAGGCAATTGAAAAATTAAAAACATTTAATTTGCATACCTACTTTACTAAAAAAATAATGTTATTTTTATGTTCCTACTTTCTACACCGAGATTTGAATTTTGAGATAATATTTTGAATGGTTGTTAACACTTAACAGTAAATAGCGCAAAACTGAACGAATCGAAAACAGAAAACCGTTACGGTCCAAGCGTGTAGACATATCACAAATGTTTAATGAACTTAATTAAATTATTCAATTCTGTAAATAATATTTTCTCATCGGTAAATATTGCCTGGCATGAGTCCATCTTTCATAATATTAAATTAGTCTTAATTACAGAATATGTGATATTTAAATTTGTTTTGTTGTTTCTTTAATCGCTTGACTGTTTTAACTGTTAACGTTGGCGCCTTGGCGTGGCGTAATACTTGTTATCATTGCGCGCGTCGTTTTTACTCTTATCACAAGTAAACTTCAGTCTTCAATGCGCATCTTACGGAAAAATGGTAAATAAAAATAAAAAATGTTTCGAATTTTAATTTTATTTCATTTAACCGCGTTTTTCTCTCGCTCAATCATCTAAGTTTTATACTGACGAGTGGCGTATTTTCTGTCTTGTTGTTTAGTCGTTTAACGTATGTACCTACAGTTTTATTACAGTATTTTTATAGTTTGGAAACAAATTGATGTTTGAATTTTTTAACGCAATTAAATTTTGTCTTTAGAAGTATCTGTGTGTAATCAATTATGAGCTATCGGTATCTGACCTAACTCATGAGATTAATTGACAATGGGTGCGGATGAGGTTTCTATAACTCTACCAACTGTCGATAAAAAGGCAACTATTGTAAAATGGCGCGTCAAAGAGGGTACTCTTGTCAACAGTACTGCAGTTGTTCTATTGTATCAAGAAAACGGAGAAAAAGACCGAAAAAGTTTTCGCACAAATCATACAGGGGTTGTCAAGAAAATATTAGTGCACGAAGGTCAAGATGTTTCAGCTGGGTACGATGTATATTTTTAAATTAATGTTTGTTAAAGTTCTGCTCATATACCTCAATGATTTATTTATTCTTTTTGAATAATAATAATTATATATATATATATATATATTGCTGTATATAAAAGTCTATTGCTCTTTATTCATTTTTTTGTTTTTGTTTAGAGAGCCAATATTTGTGTTGGAGTTGGGGTGTAATCATAGTACCGTGGTTAGTGATTTATGTGCTGATTGTGGAGCTGACTTAAGAACTGATAATGCATCTAAGCCGACTGCATCTGTATCTATGATACACAGTGTACCTGATTTGAAAGTTAGCGAACAGGTAAGAACCATTTTTCATTTTTTTATAAACAAAATAAAATAATTTTATTAAACTTAAAATTTGATATTTTTACAGAGCGCGTTGCTGCTAGGTAAAGCTGATGAAAAACGCCTTTTATCTGACAGAAAACTTGTACTTCTAGTTGATTTAGATCAAACACTTATTCATACGACTAATGATAACATTCCAAATAATATAAAAGTATGTTATACCCAATAATATGTGATCAAATGTTTCAATGTTATATTTTTATTTTTTAGGATATACATCATTTTCAACTGTATGGACCTAATTCGCCATGGTATCATACGAGATTAAGGCCGGGTACTTATAAATTTTTATCTTCTATAAGCGAGTTGTATGAACTTCATATATGTACTTTTGGTGCCCGAAATTATGCCCATACGATAACACATATATTGGATCCTGAAGGAAAATTGTTTTCCCACCGAGTACTGTCACGTGATGAGTGTTTCAACCCAAATAGTAAAACTGGTAATCTGAAGTACGTCATTAACAAATAATTCATAATTATTTATTTATTATATGGCATATGTGCCCGAGAGTAGGCCCTATTCGGACCTAGTTCGGTTGCCAGGTGGGTGCATGGCATTTTTGCCATACTTAAAGGGTAGTATGGTAGTCTCTTTTCCTAGACAGGTAGCCCTGCCCAGTGACACAGACCGCCCTTGACCAAATCGGACCAATAACAGTGTGCGTTGGCACATATACATTACAAATTATACTCATTAAAATTGTAATATGCCAATGTTTCAGGGGATTATTTCCATGTGGTGATAATATGGTATGCATTATTGATGATCGAGAAGATGTTTGGGAGTATGCATTAAATTTGATACATGTAAAGCCGTATCATTTTTTCCAACATACTGGAGATATAAATGCTCCACCAAACATTCAGAAATCATGTGATACTACTAAACAGTCTAATCGAATAGATTTTACTCATTTAGTTCAAGGTACTAATTTATATTATAAATTGATTTATGTAAGCTAAAATGTTTTCTTTTTTGTATATATATATATGTAGGTATAACTGTAAAAAAACCCACAAAAAAAAGAGATGACAGCCCAGTTGAAGATGGAGAAGTTTTATCAGACGACGATTCCCATAATCCATCTGAAAATTCTAAAAAAACCATTGAAAATACTACCAAAGGTGATACTAATGAACAAGTTGAAGTAGAGGAAGAAGACGATTACTTGCTATACCTAGAAGATATTTTAAAAAACTTGCATAAAAATTACTTTAAAGAATATGATAAACAGTGTAAATTACAAGGGACTAATGTTGAAGTTCCTGACATGAAACAAATTATACCATTGTACCGATCAACAATTTTAGCTGGGAAAAAATTGGTATTTAGTGGTTTAGTGCCAACACCTGCGCCTTTGCCAGAAAGCCGAGCTTATAAAGTGGCACAATCACTAGGTGCTGAAGTTACCGAAAATTTAGAGTCAGATACAACTCATCTAGTAGCTGTTCGACCAGGTACACTCAAAGCAAATGCGGCTCGAAAACGACCAGAAATTAAAACCGTGACACCTGAATGGTTGTGGCTTTGTGCGGAACGTTGGGAGCACGTCGATGAAGGATTGTTTCCACTACGATCAGAAGGGTATGGTGGGTTAACTAGTCGCGATCCTCCAGCTCACTGTAGTAGTCCTGAACATTCTCCACATTCTCCAAGATCGTCCACTAATAATCAACAAACTAATGCCGAAGAACAGGGGAAATTTTCTGATACCCTTAACCCACTTTTATCATTTTCCGATGAAGATATAAAAAGAATGGCTGGAGAAGTGGAAGACATGACTGATGATGACGAGAGCAGCGATGAAGAAAATAACGAAATTAAAGAAAAAGAGTATAAAAAAGTCAGTGAAAGTGATTCTAGTTCAGTGGAGTCTCTTGAAGGTAAACATTTTGATTATCAACCAAACATGTTTGTAATTCTGGGTAAAAACTATGATAAAGGACTTGACATATCATTTTCATTAACCTATCAATGACAAAAATATTTGATTACAAAAAAATAGTAATGGTTTTTTTACTAACCAAAAAAATCATAAACAAATTAAAAAATAATGCTTTGCAGCCTATATTTTTCATATTATGATAGAAAATATTTTGCTCTATAAATTAAGTTCAGAGCATTTCAACTGGAAATTTAACAGTTTGGCGGTTATTTAAAAATAATAGAGCGCGAAGACATTATATTAACTTATCCCTACCTTTAATTTAAAATATTATGATTATCTGATTTAATCTTCTTGAACTCCCTTAGCCTTATACTCCCAACTACATGAGGTCGGCCACCCTATGTAGATTATCTGATTTAATAATAATAATAAATATAGATCTAATAACTAAGTTTTTAATAAAAAACTTTCATCTTATGAAAATATTTTTCTTCATGAAGGAAAATTCTCATATTATTAATTCAGTAAAACAAAAACCGACCTTCAATGGATAGGTTTGTGATGCTTTTGTGTAATTCTAGTCATGACAGGTTTCACTGTGTTATAAATCTGTTTCATAGTTTTTAGTTTTTATTAGTTATTATCAGCATATAAATTGAAGGGCTTGGAACAACAACCAGATAAATCCACTTTTTAAAATTGTTCAAACATCTTCCCACAAAAAAATAATTTTTTAAAAAAATGTATTTATCTGGTTGTTGTTCCAAGCCATTCAATTAAGAATTTACCTCTAAAAATTTGCTCTATAAGTAATTTAATTTTATGGAACTATCCTATGTAAGCTTGCTAGTTATGTCTTGCCAATTCCTTGTTGTTATAATTTATGTTTCTAATTTTGAGTAAAATTTTTAATTGCTATTTTCTAGGTTATAATAGAGGGCATAAAAGACGGCGTAGTTCAACAGATAATGAAGAAAATAATGGGGAAACAATAAATGAAAAGTTTCGCCGTGGTAAAAATTTAGACAATATGAATTTAGAATGGGGCAATAATAGTGAAAACAGTATGGATCCTCCTGACGAGATAAATGATACCGAGTGGAATATGTTGGGTGCAGCTTTAGAGAAGGAATTCTTGGAGAATTCATAACATGAATTTTATCTCATTATTGTATTTACAATGTTATCTCTATTTTTTTTAATAACACATATGTGTGTACTTTACTTGTTTTACCTACACCATGAAGAATTTCTCTGATGAATCATGTCGTAATAATTTCATTTTTTTTTTTGTTGTAGTATCTACTGATTACTATTTAGTGTGAATATGTTTCTATGTAAATAAATCGTTGTAGTCATTTCTTTTTGTAAAATTTCTGAATGTTCAAAGTTAAAAAAGCAATTTTTCAAGTTTTAACACTAATATAATATATATATATATATGTATATGATCACAGTAGACGTATATTCAATTCTTTCAATATCTTCTCGTACTTTAATATGTTTAGTACTTTATTACAGATTTTATTATTCTAAATTGAAAAAAAAATGAAAAGTTTAGAAATCCAGTGTGTAAACTTTAACATAGCTTATTTTTATTTCATTGTAAAGTTGTAGAAATTAACGCTTGAAATTATTTTTTTTCTTTTAATGTATGCAAAGTATAAAGTTAATGTTCTGTATATATATATATATATATATATATATATATATATATATATATACACATATGTATACATGTATACTATAAATGTGTATTTGTTATTTATTACTCAATAGTTAAATTATTAATTTTTTTAGATTCCATAAAAGAGAAATACATATAATTTGTAGTCTAACCAACTTATTGTATTTTTGTTTGTTCTGTGATTTTCAAAACTGTGATCGATTGAACATAAGACATATCTTTTAAAATCATAGTAATTCTGTAGTTTTTCCTAATATTGTTATTTTAAAATATTATTTACTTATTTTTTAGTATTTTTCAGAGCCCTCTATCAACTTCCAAACTTAAATGGTAACCTATATATTAAATTAAAAATAAGTTGCTCAACACTTTGACTGGTCAAAAACCAGTTCTGAATAATTACTTGTAATGTTTAAAAATTAGCACGTGGAATGGCCATTCGGTAGTGTGGTTGGCTATTGCACATAAAAATATTACTACACTCCACCCTTGATCTTCCTCTCATCCTAATTTTTAAAATGTAATAACTAAAAATAATTATCAAAACCTGATTATCGACCAGTCATATTTTTTAGTAAATTATTTCAATTTATTTTTATAAAAAGAAAATGTAATTTATATTTTACAATTTATGTTTTAAAAGTTGCTAGAACTTAAATTCACCAAAAAAGATATTAAAATAATGTAAAATAACACTACCTATCTAAAACGCTTTAAAAGAAAAACTATGGTGTTGTAATTATTTTACAAATATTTAAAAATAGGGTACTTGACATAATTATATGATTTGACTGTATTCTTCCTGAAAAAAGTCGGTAAATCGTTAAGATTTTTGGATACCGGCCAATTTGTAAGGAGCTTTGTATAAGCAATATTTAAGAAAGAAAGGGTTTTAATAAATTTTGATCATGTCAATGAATTTGTATAAGCTTCATGGTATTATTTTTAATTTAAATCTTTTTGTCTATGAGTAATAGCCATTTTAGTTAATGTAATATACATTTTTTGTTACATCTCACAGGCTGAACCAGTGATTCAATGAGTAATCTGAAAACCGATTTGAATTCGTCATGAAGTCTACTTGAAATCGGTCGGAGTACTTTTTTGATATCTTATTCCTACTATGTATAAAACAGTAAGTACACGTTTAAACATTATATAAAACTCCAAATTTTAAAATCAAATTTGGAAAGGGTTAAAATTGAAAAAAATACTCGAATCTGTTTTCAGAAGTCTTATCGCTTCAGTACAATGATCGGATCAATTGAAGACCTTGGGGCAACAACAAGACATGTCCTTTTTTTCAAAACGTTTTAAATTCCAAAAAAACTTTTTAAAAATATTTTGAAGAATTTTTTTTGGAATTTAAATCGTTTTGAAAAAAAAATGTTTATGAAATTTTTTTTTTTGATTTAAAAACATTCTGAAAAATTTTTTTTTTAAAAAAGGACATGTCTTGTTATTGCCTCAAGGTCTTCAATTGAAGTTAAATGGGTAGTTTTTGATGGGAAAATTGGCCGGTACCCAATAGTCTTAAAACAAATGTGTAGAGACTAGAGAATATTATGAAATAAATAAATTAGATTTCTATCGGGAACTAATACTGTTCCAAAAGTTCCTCCGTGTTAGTATATAGAATAATAGGATCTTCACTGCGAGGCCCATCTTAACTATTCTTTTGGACTTAGCTGCTATATTTTTCTCTAATTTCGTATGATCGTAAGTGTTTGTATATTCTCGAGACACTATTCATTTTGATCTTGGCCTCTATTTCAATATTTTTCCTACATGTTTGTGTAAATGAATAGACAGTTAACAGGCATCCAAAAAATATTTTCATTATATTGTTAATTACAACATAATAATATGGGTAACTACGGCTAGAAATTATCATGGACAGACTATCAACCTTAATCGTATCAATTTTAGGCAAAATTAAAAATATAATTAGCTCATTAATGTCTGTACAATAATTTTTTTATCGATATTTAATATTATTACCATCTATTGTTCGCACCAGCTGTTTAATGCCACAATGCTCCTACAATCATGCAACTACACCAACCTCGCTGTGCTCCGTTCCTACTGCTGTTTTATTTTTATTAGGTTCATTAAAAACAACAGAAAAAAACACATCCAGTGGAAGATATATTAACTATAATAAAAAAACTGAGGTATGTTATAATTATCGTTTTAAATGCTTCTTATTATTGATGTTAATCGGTGATTGAATATTCTTCTTCTTTTCTTTATCTTCGCCTTATACTCCCAACTACATGGGGTCGGCCACCCTAGTACTACACCTCCATAGAGGTGTATCCTTCTACATCTCGTTCAATAACCCCCGCTACCATCATATCACTCTGTATTCCGTCCACCCATCTTTTCTTTGGTCTTCCTCTTCCTCTTTTTCCCTCTACATTTATCTTCATAACACCTCTCACTGCCTCTGCCTCATCTCATCTCATAACATGACCGAACCATCTCAACCTATTCTCTCTCATTTTCTCCACAATTGGTGCAACTCCTAGACTGCCCCTTATGTATTCATTTCTTATTCTATCTTCCCTAGTACTCATCCATCTTAACATTCTCATCTCCGCTACACTCATTCTCTGTTCCGTTTTCTTATCTACTGCCCAACATTCTGACCAATATAACATTGCTGGCTCACTACCGACCTATAACATTTACCTTTCAATCTTATAGGCATCCTTCTGTCATACAAAACACCCGATGATCCCCTCCATTTCATCCATCCACAATTAATTCTATTTTTCACATCCTCCTTGTACCCACCATTTTTCTGTACCACCGATCCTAAGTACTTAAGCCTATCAACATGATACACTTCATAATCACCCATCTGCATTACCTGTCTTATCCTATAACCTTCTCCAAAATCAAACACGATTGTCTCCGTTTTACTCCTACTAATCCTCAGTCCTTTCCCTTCAAGTCTCCCACCCAATTCTCCTAGACTTTCCCCCACTAACATTACGTCATCCGCAAACATCATACACCATGGCACCTCCCCCTGTATTTCTTTTGTAATCTCGTCCATTACTAAAGAGAACAAGTAAGGACTCAACGCTGAACCTTGACCTACTCTTACACTAAAATCTTCAGTTTCTCCACACACACTCTTCACTCTTGTACTTGCCCCTTCATACATTTCCTCTATTACTTTCACATACACCCTCGGAACTCCTTTCTTCCTTAACGTCCAACTCAAAACCTCTCTGGGAACTCTATCATATGATTTTTCTAAATCTATAAATACCATACACAGTTTTCTTCTTTTCTCTCTGTACTTTTCCACTATTTGCCTCATAAAAAATATTGGTTCCTTAGTTGATTTCCCTGGCATAAACCCAAATTGATTCTGCAATATTGTAGTCTCACTCCGTATTCTCTTTTCTATAACCTTTTCCCAAACCTCATACTATGACTAATTAGTTTTATACCTCTATAAATTCTACACTCCTGCACATCTCCCTTGCTCTTAAATATCGGTACCAGGATACTTTTCCTCCACAATTCCGGCATTTTCCCATCTACTAACACCTTATTAAGGAAACCTGCCACACCTCCACTGGTACCCTATCCGGTTTTACCGCTTTCTTCTTTTTCATTGATTTCAGTGATTGAATATTAATTTAAAATATTAAAACATAGCAATTAAATAGTTTTATAAAAATTAAAGTTTTAGTTTAATATAGAAAACAAGCTTTGATTGAATCTCTTTTTAAATTACACTGTTTGAAAATAAAAATTAAGTTAAAATGTCCAAAATTGAGTTTATTGATTCGTTACATTGTCTTATATCATGCAAAACGAGTATGGTACAACATAGTAACGTGTTATGAATATTTCATTTCTATACTTACTTATACACAGTACCTAATGTCTCACAAAAGAAAAAGATGCCATTATAGACTGGTCCAAATACAGCAATTTCCTCTTCAACACTGGTTTAAATGTTCAAAAAAAAGTAAACGCTCATTAAAAAAAAAACATTTTTATTATTTTGATTGGCGCCTTTTGCATTCTACCATACAGCAGAACAGATTCAAACAACCGTAAAAAAGTCTATTTGAGTCTTTTAACAGGTATTATTAATGCCACCGCAGGGAGCTAAGTAGATATTTAATGTTTTTTCCCTGCGAAATAAAAGTTCTATAGGGCGAATGGCAAGTATAGTAGAAACGTCTAAAAGCAAAGTTTTTTTTTTAATTTATTTATAGCCCGGATAGAACATTGAGTAACGAATGGCATTTGGCTTAATTTTCATAACGAATAAAGTACATATTTCATCTATGTCATTTGCTTGGCAAGGTAATTGAGGAGGTACTTCGCTAAACAATGTAAGTATTCCGTGATAAGTAAAAGAAGAAAAGAGATTCTAGCTTAAGCTGAAATATGTAACACAACAAAATTATAAATTACCTTTGTCTCTAAAGTTTTTTCTGATAATTAAGAATACATTGTACTAATATGAATTATTGTTGGTTACAATTTCCTACGCAATATTTTGAACAATTTTCGTTTATAATTATAATTTTAGATATATTTTATTTTTACAATTATAAGTTTTTAGCTTAAATGCTCAAGTTGAGAAGGTATTTTTAAGTGTATTATCTATCTGTTAGTATAGTAAAGAGAAATAAATGTTCTTTTAATTTGTAATCAAGTTCGGGAATTATACACTTTTTCTAATAAGTACTGCTATCTTTATGAAAAATTGGTAGATTTATAGTACTGTGAGTTATGACAAAGTTTAGCTATTTTTTTTCTTTTATTAAACAAAATTAATCAAAAACTTTATTTATATCTACAGATTATGTTTTAAATCCTCCTACACTTACATGTGAAATCATACTTCAGTCAATTGAATCTTTAATGGGGGTATTTGCCATTCTGATAATTTCTTAAACTGTCTAATGTAACAAAACAATATAGGCAAGGACATGTAGATGTAGCTATTAGCTGTCCGCTTATAATTAAAATAATTTTGAACTGTGGGATTTTGAATTAAAAATTATAATATTAAATTAACTTTTATTATATTTAGCATTTCTTTGATAAAAATATTATTACTATGTATATTTTTTAGTTAAGTTTGAAAAAAAATGCTTCACCAAACATTTTTTTTTTTTGCCATTTTCTCGGTGAAAAGATCTGATAAATTTTTTGTACAACCCGTCTAGTTCATCTGAACACTCCGTGACGTCATTTGTCTGAACAAATCAGGGGTACCGTACGGTCACCATCGCCAGGTGTCTGGATGAACTGGACGGGTTATAAACACGTATATATTCTGAAACGTGTCTTATATTCTTAATGTGTCTTAGCAAACAATGTGTCATGCCAGTTATTTTTGGTATGGGTAACAATGGCATACAATTATTATAGATCAACACCAACAATTTACACCATAATAATTAAAATATAGTTTTAAGCACATTATTGCCTCTAACAATGATTTTAATCGATATTTAGTTTTCTTACTATTTACAGATGTGCATTGAAGCGTTTTATTTAAAATTTAATCACTCTGTTATTATAGTTCCTCCAGCCCTGTGACTACACCGACCTTACTTTGTTCCGTTCCAATTTTGCCCCGGCCCTATCGTACTCGCTTTTTTTTTTAGTATAGCAAGTTAAATTAAAAAAAAAAACTATAATTTTCAGTAAAAACTTGTTTAAGTGGTACGCGGTTTATAGTACTACTCGTGTTTATTCATTGTATTATGAGGAGACCTTGAGAAAGATATTAATATTAAAACACTTGGTGCAGATTACATTGCAGTTCAGTTACAATCAGTCCAGCAACAGCCCAGTAAGAAGTGTAGCCGTTGTTCGTTCCGGAGTCAAACATTTTAATGTAAAGTAACAAATGGATCAAAGTGGTTCTACTGACATAGCCCTACGGGTAACAAACGCATACAAGTCGTTTAACAACAAAACCAAAATAATCAATGGGTTGAACATGACTGTACCCCAAGGATGTATGTACGTATGGTATAATAGTTCATTTTTTATAACGGGTTTCAATAATAACAGCTATTGATACATTTCGAAGTTAATTTAAATGTAACTAGATAACTATAACTAACGTTGGCATAGACCAAACTACGTTTAATGAAGCACTTTACTCTTATTGAAGGCACTTGTGATGGGAGTACAAAAATCCGGATGTTAACAAAAACACTATTTTTTATTTATTTTATTTTTTTATTTTATTTTATTATTATAAACGTGTTAACACCCTTTGTTAAGTAATAGTACAGTAACATCTTAATTTAACAAAAAATCAGAAAAATAGCTAAAAACTAAAAGGAAAACAATAATAAGAATAAGAAATAATAAAGTAATAGTAGTTTTTAACATTGACAATAACAATTATAAATAAATGGTATCAATAAATAAATAATTAGTAAAATATTTTAAACCTTAATTAAATAATAATATACAATTTAAATACCAGGCTCAATGCTGTATATAAATTTTGTTTAAACATACTTCGTGACATGAAAAAAAAATCTATATGATCAGCAATAAATATATCGGCCATATCAAAGTATTATAAATACTGTATATAAATATAACGTATAAATATGTATTCAAGTAAAATGTTTTTGATGAAAATGTAAAAATAAAACACAATATCGAGAAGATGTGTTTTTGGATTTGTTGAAACCTGAAAATCCGGAAGCTGTTCTTATTATCAAGGTCAAGTGTTTATTTTTTAATTTTCAGCAACGTATTTTACTTAGTAAACAGCTTTGTATTGTAATAATATTTAATATTTATACGATATTAAGTGACTTAAATAGCGTAATTTTGTAAAAATCCCGATTTTTTAATTTCCCATTTTTTGGGGGGGGAGGGGGGGGGGTGCTTCTATTATTTACCGTGAGGTTTAATCCTTTAAGTCATTTCTACCCACATCTATTGTATGTACGTATTATGTGAGTTTTTATAGTAAGAGAGACCAAACTAGTTAATATAATTTTACATTTATAATCTTTATGTCTTGAATTTACAAATATAGTTATTATAAGTTATGTATAAATGAACAAAATGTAGTATAATTTTTAATAATAATAATAATAACGCACATTAAAAAACTATTTATTGAATTTCGCTGTTTTTATACTCGGTTGTTAAAGCTTTAACTTTTAATTTAATTTGTTTATTTTTAAAAGATTTAGTTTTTATTTTGGTGGTTGGGTTAACTGCGTTGTTAATAACTCTTTTTTTTTTTACCGTAATTTCTCAATTGAATGCCAAATGCCCTTACAATGTTTTTCAACGGGTGAAACAAATGTGAAGAAGCTACTTAAATTTATATATATATATATATATATATATATATGTATGTAAATAAAGTTATTTATAAATTATTTACTAAAATCAAGTCAAAACCAATAGAGCGATAAAGTAATCGAGGCAACTATATGAGCGAGTATATAAGTAATAATATTACTCAATGGTAATACAAACAGGTAGGTAATAAAGATTGTGACTAATGATATCAGTATGTACAAAATGTTTTGCCAGTAATAAAAAACTCCTCAGTCCTCAGCTTCGCATACTTGCCAAGTATTAAAATTAAACGATATTAAAGTTATCGCCAAAATAAAAACAAACATTTTATGAAATAATTATAATTTTTGTCTAGGATATTAAAATGTTTGAAAACTGGTTTTTAGATTACCTTGTAGTCGTTGACACATTGACCTTGTTTGACTACCAGATAAAATAACCCGACCATAATCGTTGTATCATTAAAATTGTAAACAATAAAAAAAAAATCACATGTAAATTATTTTTGTTAAGTTATAACTTATTGTAATTGAGCTTGAAAATAATAAAATAAAACAAAATAATTGAAATAACATATTTGAATGGGCTGTAGCTTGATAAAAAAAAATATATCCATGTATTATTTAGAAATCCAGCTGTGGCCAGAAATTTAATGTCTTACAAATGTTAATTACAAAATATTTTTAATGTTTGATTTTTTGCCTACTGGATAGAAATATAAGAGGATATCGCATAGAAGAAAACGATTTATTGATGTTTAGTTTTGAGTATACGGCCTTAAAAGATAAAAAAAAACAGAAGTTGAGTTTCCATGACGTTCTAGAAAACCTATATACCGCCTTTACCGTCCCGGGAACTTCTATTAGTATTATGCTGTTAGGGCTTAGTCCAGGATTGATCAGTTTATAGTATGAACCCAAAGCGTCCCGTTGGAACGATATTTAATATTTATAGATATATTGCCAATACACATGTAGAAAACTGCAAAAATGTAATAACTTAAATTTAATTAGCATTATTATTATTACCTGTATTCGGATAATAGTTTTTGTTTTACATAAATTATTAATCGTTTTCTTAGAATCGATAACAAATAAACTATCGGTAATCGTTATCGTTGTTGCCAGAAGCGAAGTATACGTAGATTACAGTTTTATTTTTACACCCCTAGGCAGGTTATTGAAAATTATTTTTCTTAAATTTAGGTACTCAAGAATACTGAATGTTTTTTTTGTATGGAAACTATGAGTATGTGTGCCATTTAAAATTTGATTGAAGTTAAACGTTTGAGATGTGGATGATCTTTTAATTTGCTACAGTGATAAGTCTTCCGAAGCGTTAATCTTATAATAATTACATAACATAATTTAATTATGTTATGTAATTAGTTAATTATCATATAATTATGATAATTACATAGCATAATTAATAATTAATGTGACGGATAAGCGCCCATATAATTATATATTCCCGTAGTTGAAATATTGTAAATTTGGATCTGGACATGGACATAAATAGTCTTATAAATTATGCATTTTTACTTTGAAAACATCGTTAATGCAAAATATGACATGATGTTTTTAACAATATTCTTATTAGATATAAAGTTGTTATGTTGCATAATATTATTGTTTTTTAGCTACGGTCTTTTGGGCCCTAGCGGTTGTGGAAAAACTACGTTATTAAATTCTATTATGGGAACACAAGTTTTGGATTTTGGAGTCATAGATATACGAGTGAAGTCCAAAAAGGATATTGGATACATGCCCCAAGTAAGCCGATACATATGTGTGTTTCCTATTAAACAAGTCGCTTGCAATGCATAGATAGTGCACGCAGATATCATAAGTTAATTTTTTTAAACTTTTTAGCAACAATGTTTGTAATTGTTTACTGCTTCACTACATTGCATATTGTTAATACACATAAGTGTATAATATAAATGGCCTATAACATCTAACCTATGAATATCTAGCTTTGTAAAAATAAAATTAATAGATTTATCGAGTGTGTAGAATTGTTAGAATTTTTAAGCTAATAAAATATGTTTAAGGATCCTAAAAGTAAATTCCACGTTTGGTGGTTTTAATAAATGGCGACATCCTTTAATCCTCAAAGTAGGCATTTTATAGTATACTTCTATCCATCTTCCTCTATTTTACAGCTATCATCAACGTTCCCTCTGACCTCATCATACTAACATAAAAAAAATCTTATGTTATTGTGAAATAGCATCTGCTTATTTGTCCTATTCTTCCTAGATTTCTTTGGTTTTATCAACTTAATGTTTCACGCATAGACGTCTTCCGAGTAACGTCTCTCTTACTGTGCATGTCTTTTATACTTCACCTAATTCTATACCGTTCTGTTGGTACCATGACTAGTCGCTATCGATAAATTTCCTATTTTATCTGTTTTGGCTTTTGCTATACGTCTTATACAATTTGCTTTCCTCTTAATTCCAGTATATTACTCGTTTAGTTATTCTTAATTTTATTCTGTTGGCATTCATAATTATTTATTTATTTATCTTAATCGCTGGCTGTTCAATTTAATTATTATTTTTTAAATGTTTTATTATAATACTACTACTGCGATATAATGTTATTATCAGCAATTATTTTTGGCTTTTTATCATATTATTATAATTTTTTTATTGAGTGTAGTTATATTATTCACTTGATATATAGGCGTAAAAATCAATATTTATTGATACTTCCCCGTAAATCAATTGAAACGTGTCACTATGAGCTAACTCGATAAAACAACGATAAGGCCTGTTGGGTTCAGTTTTCTCAAATAAGTTAATTGGTAGTCATTATCATTTGTTTCTTTCAATACTGCATGGTGGACATTTTTTAATAATTATGTAATATATTTGTGTTGTTATATTATATCTTAAATGACCTCTACACTAGTAGTGTGGTACAGGCAATTTTTCGCTAAAACTTAACATTAAGCTTACATTTTTAAACATACATATTATCATAGGAATAAAGTATCTATTTTGATAATTCTTCGATTTAGGTTTTGAAAAAACATTTGAATTCTTCAAAACATTTCCAAAGCAATGACTGCGGCACAATTTAAAAACTGTTTTTAGTTAATTAATTATTTCAATGTAAAAAACTGCAATTTTTAACTTTTTGAAACTGAAATAATAAATAATGTTGTAATATCAAAAGTCAAAACACTAAACGGCTGTCTTAAATAGAATTAAAATGCTTTAACGTATTCAAATGATCATAGAAACCTTTTGTTTGCAGGCTTTATGTTTAGACAAACATCTTACTGTGGACGAATCATTGATGTATTACGGAACGTTATATAATATGTCGGGAGAAAATATTGCACTTAGATCGACCGAACTCTGTAGTGCTTTTGATATAGACTTTCAGAAATCATTTATTAAAAATTTAAGGTAAATAAAACTTTCAAAGAGTTGTAAGTACAATGCGTATATATAATATAATAATAATAAAACTTGTAAGCCCACAACAGTGTGTCATAATATAAAAATGATTTTTGATAGCGGAGGACAGTGTCGGAGAGTTTCACTAGCAATTAGCTTGTTGCATAATCCAAAAATAATTGTATTAGACGAACCTACGGTCGGAATTGATCTTATAATTAGTTTCAAGTAACAATTATATTTCAATAATTAATAAAATATAATACGAACGTTTGATGACTAATATTTAATTTTCAGTATTTGGAAATATTTTGTAAGTTTAGTAAAAAATCATGACAAAACTATTATCATAACGACTCATTATATTCAAGAAGCTATTCAGGCTGACATGGTGTGTATTTTTATGTATATAATAATTAGTTAATTTTTTTATAAAATGTTATACCTCGGCATTGTTTTGATACTTGATATACATATTATGATACTATGTTTATAACAATTATTAATTTTCGAATGACAAATACTAGATTTTTGATTTTGTAAATATATATAAAATAAAACCATTGTTATAATTAAAATATATAAAAATGTTGTAAAATGAAATTTTTTGACAAATTTTTAAATTAACTCTTAATAGAGAATATACTTTTGAAAATATGACTGATTGATTATCAGTTTTAAATAAATACTTTTTTAGTTATTAACAAACAGATGTTTGACGGAAGCATAATCGTGGTACGTCAGATAAATATTATATTATACAGTGCTTCTCTCTCTGCCTTTGAAGAATTTAATACCCCAAAAAATAATTATTTAAAACATGCTATCGACCTGTCAATTTCTTTAGAAGTTATTCAAAATTAAATTTTGCTTTATTAATCAAACAAAACCTGTTGTGGGTTCCGTTCAAATTAAAAAAATTACCCTAAAATCTAGTTGTTTTATAAATAGTCGTTATAAGTTAGATCTGAACACTAAAATATACTCAAAACATGTGTTTATTTTATAGATTGGTTTAATGAGAAATGGCAGAATACTTAAAGAAACGTCACCTCAAAGTCTGTTGATCCAACAAGAAACCAATTCTCTTGAAACAGCGTTTTTAAAACTTTGCCAGTCAAAAGAGGAAATATTAGTATGAATATGGCATTGCTATAAAATAAGCATTGTTAAATGAAAACATAAATTTAGACTTACACATATTTTAAAACGATCAAAAATCATTCTTTGAGAGACCACAGTTTTGGTTTCCTTCTTTTTAAAAGCTACTTAACTATTTTTAATTTGAATAATAATCAAATACAGCGTGTGTTTATTCCGAAAAATAAACATATTTATTGACAGTATTTACTTCGTTTAGGTTGAAGAAGTACCAGATATTTCACACGAAACTTCAAAAGGGCCAAATTGGTTTCAAGATAATAACTCAGACAGTTATCTGACTCCACATCGTATCCGGGCGTTGTTGAAAAGGAATTATTCAGTGATCTCCAGAGATTTTTTGTAATTTACTATTATTTATATTGTTTAATTTATAATATTAAAAATTATTACTGATAATAAATTCCGGATTTATAATTGAATACTAATATATTACGAAATTACATTAGGTATACATTTTTCATGATAATATTGCCAACAATTCAAATAGTAATTTCAAACTTTAGCATGGGCAATCGCATTGAACATGTTAATATAGTTATTTCAAACGATGAAATTGATATCTCGAGATGTAGCGATGCTAATTTCGAAGGATGTTTATTCAATGATAGCTACAGCGGTACTTTGAGTTGTGAAATGTTCAACTATTTGAAATACCTCAATTATGATTTTGTAAGTGAATGCCATAAATTAATTTCATATACTAAAGGATTCTGTCGACTTATGATTTGATATTCGGACGCAGGTGGAAGTCAACAACAAAGACGACGGATTTAATACAGTAAATTTAGGTGAAGCCATTGCGTTTGTTCATTTCCCTCATAATTATACTAAAGGACTTCGACAACATGTTATTAGAAATGCAAGCTATGTGTATGAATCAGAGTCACTTGTGTATTTGCATAGTCAAAGTAAGTCAGATGAATTTACAACAACTAATCAAACACATGGATGTGAAACGTGGGTAATAAATGATACCGAAAAGAAAAAACTAGAAGCCCTTGAGATGTAGTGCTGGACACGTATGGAAAGGGTAAGTTGGATAGAGTGAAAAACAAACGAAGAAGTACTTAGAACTGTGGGAGAAAAACGTACACTCGTAGATGCGATTAGAGCAAGGCGTTGGAAAATGGTTGGACATGCCCTGAGACATCCAGAAGAGTTGCATGATATAATATTAGAAGGTATGATAGAAGGAAAGAAAACTGCAGGACGTCCTGGAAACTCCTAAATAGGACAAATTAAATGTGACGCAAGAGTCAAAACTCTTAAGGAACTTAAAGAAAAGACGAGCAATCGGTCAGAATGGAGAATTGGAGTTGTAAACCAACCTTCGGGTTGAAAAAAAAACCAAACGTATTATGGAGAAAATTAAAAATTTTGTAAAATGCGAGCTTTATCATTTGGTTTTAAAAGCAAATTGAATGTTTATTATAAGTACAAACTATCAATTTCCTCAGCCAAAATAAAAATGATTCTGGTTGAACTACTGTTGCTTAAAAACATTAAATATAACTCATTAAATTTGAAAAAAAAATTTTGTTTTAGATTATGTATTTAAAAGTCAAATTTTTTATGATCTACATAATGTTTTAAATCATGTTTTGGATAATGCGATGACTCGATGTTCCGCTAATAAAAAAACTGTTAAAATACCTATGGTGAGATGATAAATATTTTAAACGTGTATAAAGTATTATATTATCCTTACGTTTTTTAAAAATAAAATATGTGGTTTCATCACGCCGAGAACTCGTGTTGTATCACGACTATTAATTGGAACATTTTTTTTATTTACAGGATATAAAAAGAGAATTTGGTATAAATGTTGAATCACTAAGAGATACATTAATTGGATTTATCATTGTTATGTAAGTATATTTTTTCTTTTAAAAGAAAAAAATATTTGTAATATAATACATTTTTGTTAAAAATATTATTCGTAGTTTAAAATAGGTAAGACAATAAGGACGTTAGTGAGCAATTGTAAATACCTCTCACCCAATATACTATAATTGAGAATATTTAATGTATAATATCACAGCCAAAACATTATAACTAGCTCGTTTTCTTTTAATGACTTCAAGTTACCGGCAGTGTTCTTACAAATGTTCTTGCAATTCTTACAAATCAATACTATTGAATCGTTTATAATTTATTTAGAAGTATAAATTACATCCTATTTAGTTAGCATGAAGTTTTTTAGGTTAAATAGTTGCACATGTTTTTATTATGTATTTAGTTTTTACTTAATACAAAAATGTTCGAAGTACAGATTTTTGAGAAACTCTGTTGTTTTGAATCTTCAGTCTTAAGTCTTCAGACCTTATTTATATTTCATATAAATTTTGAACTTAATAAACTATTTTTAAAAAAGTTATAGCGTGGTGTAATTAAAAAAAAATATATACATTTTATAGGTGCCTTTTTTTGGGGGTTTTAGATCAAAAAAGTTCTTTTTAGGTAGGATTTCTTATCTATAGACTTACCACGTGAAGATATCGGTACAGCGGTTTAAAAAGCGTCGTGGTCCAGAAAAAAAAGAATACATTATTATAAAAAATACCTTTTCAGCCTCGCATCGAAGCTAAGGCAGTATAGGTAACTAAATGATACATATATATTTTAATTAACAATTCTGTGGCGATTGATTATGGAGGATAAGTCAGGATCACGATTTTAGGGTTGCCGGTTGAGAATCCTATTAGAAACTCTATTAGGAGAAAATACAATTGTAACTTACTATTTTTAGTAATAAATTATTTGTCTATACGTCTTTATAATTTCTTTTTAAAACCATTTTATGGTTTTATTTCGCTAATACATACATATTATTTTTAGTTGTTCATTCTACTTTGCAAGCGTTTGCTCAGCAAGTTTTATGCTAATGGAAAAACAAGATGGTTTACTAAGTAGAACACGATTATCTGGTAAAATCTAAAAAAAAACTTTAGATGAAAAATGGCTTGCAACTAATAATAAAATTATATTATAACTGTCTTAACTTTTTTAGGGGTTACGATACTAGAAGTCATAATAGCTTTAGTAGTTATTCAGTCATTTGTATATATATTTCAAATGAGTATAATGATATTTGTAACATACTACATTTTTCCAAATACGATAGAGAAACTAAGTAACATTTATTTAATGAGTGTAGTCTTTATATTCACTTTCTGGGTTGGATTCTTATACGGTAAATATTCAGTATTTTTTGATCAGTAAAATACATTTTTTAATTTTATTTTAAAAAATAAGTACCATTGTGATAATACTTAACATAATTTGTTTAATGACAACCTTGGTAAAATATATGGATATTATATTTTAACATACATATTATGTACAATATAATCAATAATGCTCGTAATTTTTACTTGTTAAAATCGTTATTTTAAAAAGTATGAAAGAGAAGAATTGATTTTTTTTTTTTTTTTTTTAAGGACGTTTATTAGAAAATTTACAATCTATACTTAAGAATTTATACTACTTAAGAGATGTAAAACGATTAAATTTAAAAGGTTAAAAAATAAGTTTTTTCCAATAGGCGTAATTGTTGCTGGAATATCAAGAAACAGTACTGAAGTTATGTTTTTGACGTTTGGATACGGGCTTTCGGCAGTTATGGTAGGAGGTAAATATATAATTTCTAGCTACTTAGTTTATTAAATTGTATATTATATGTTGAAACTACAATAAACTAAATAATGAGAAAGAAGAATCAAAACGTATAAGGCAAGGCGCATGAAACATTTTCATTTGTTTCCTCTCGTCCATTTTATTGTTCTATAATGAAATGAATTGGATATTGTATGCTTATTGGGTCTAGTGTTTTACATTTTAATATTTTGTAATTATCTTTTAGGTTCTTTGTGGCCAGTAGAATCTCAATACTCGTTAATTCAGCAAATTTCCTATAACCTACCGATTTCTGTGGCAGCAAGACTGATAAACAATTTCGTTCATAAAACGTTGTCGATAATTCATCCCGTGATGTTAATTGATTATGCAAAATTAATTGGGCATGTATTTGTACACTCAGCTGGTATATACTGTTTAAAATTTGTGAACAAAAATACGTGGTTTTTAGATAAATAATTATGCTTAATGCCATTATATTGTAATGTGATTGTCCTAAACCTAATTGTAATTTTGTAAGTTATGTTTTGATATAAAATACCGTCCGCAGGAAAAACAACTGGCAGTGGCCAAGATTCGAACCAACGACCGTGCGTGATAACATAAGTTATATGATCAAATGTTAAATTATAAATATTTAACACAATGCTTAGAGGCGGTATTATTAAATGCATTAAATGTATTTTATAAATTATGGTATGGTAAGAACAGAGAAATAACAATAAATTAGAAGTAAGTAACTTAAACATTTTTTTCGAATTTGACAATAATTTCGTTAAATAACAAACAAAGTTTGTAAAAAATTATTTCTTTCTGTAAAGATTTTATTTACGAGAAATTAATTTGTGAGAAAGTTAACGGTGATCTAAAAATTTAAGCATCAATTTTTTCTGATCCTTTTTTTTTATAAATCTTTATGGGTCACCCAGTGCGCTAAAAGCTTTAGATACTCTAGCCACTTTTCTTATTCAATATCATCTTATACTATCATCTTACGCGTACTTTACCTACCGTCCTAAATTTAAAACTATAATAACAGTTATATAGTTTTAAATTAGGTAGGTAAAGTACGCGTAGATAATAATAATACTACACTTCACTCTTCTTTCCGTCTTAAATGTTATACTTTAATAATATTAAAAGTAATTATTCATAACTGGTCATTAAATAGTCAAAATTGTCAGTAATTTCTTTTTTTAATTCAAAAAGTGAATTACATTACGTTACCATTAATGCTTAAACATTGAAGCTAAAATATTAAAACAGGTAAATATTTAGTAGTTTTACAGTATTGTACAATAATAATGATAAAATTGTTTTTAAAAAGAAAAATTACAAAATTTGGTTTTTCAAGAAAATGAATGTCTTACGTTTAATTGATTACCCTGTTCAGTTAAAAGAATATACAGTTTAAATTAAAATTTGGCTCTTTAGGTATGATTGTAAAGAATGAGTCGTTCACTGGTGTAAAGTTTATGTAAATCGTTGTGTGCATTGAATATCATTGAGTAGTCGGCATTGTAGCTTTGTTCCAAATTAATGTATGGGTTTTTTAGGAGGGCCAAGCTGACTATTAGACTGAACCTTTTCACGCGGTCCGTCTGGCAACAATAATAATCGTTTTTTTATGACCATATATGTCGTTTTTTTAACCATTTCGGTTCACGTGTCCGCGAGGTGATCGCGTGAGGAAGTATATAATTTTCGATATCAAGATCTGACTTCTTGATTATTCTTATTTTAAGTGGGTTGTGTGTGTGTGTGTGTGTGTGTGTGGCGAGAAAGAGGTAGAGTTCGATCGTCCGCCCCGTGGTCTTGAACAAAGAAATAGAAATAACCGCACAGGCCGTAAAACACATTGTATGCATAACGAGCGCGTCGTCGACGTGCTTAAGACTTTTCTCGACTTCAGTTCCATAGTACATATACCTCTCTCGTCCACGTCCACCCCGTCGGTCAAGTGTCTTGTCGTCGCTGCCGGCAGCATCGTCGTTACTGTCTAAGAGCTTTTGGCGACTTTGTATTTTCGCGTACTATGTGGGTGACCAAAGCGAAGTGTAATAATGTTCTTGTTCGGTAGTCATCGAAAAACATCATGTGATCCCGCTAACTGCCGGGGTGCACGCGATGACGTGTGTAACGTTTTTCGTCAGCAACAATAATTATACCGCCCCGTAACCTGAAAATTATACACAAAAAAACGGAGGGATAAAAAAGGGGAAAATTCAACAGCTACAGAGAAAGAGTGAGAGAGAGAGAGAGAGAGAGAAATGGATGTTTAAATAACAAAATATTTTATTATGTTTGTGTTGTGTGTGTGTGTGGAAATTATAGTATAAATGTTGGTGGAAATAATCATAAACCCGCCGCTTCGACGTCACACACGATATTCGTTTCCCTCCCAGGTATAGTTGGAACCCTATTCGGTATATATAATATATTACATATGTAATATTAAATTGTAGTGCAATACCCACTGGAAGTCATCGCTTACCACCTGCAGTGTGCGGTGCGTATGTGTTAAGGCTAAAGACCGAGAAATAATAATCGCACCCCATTACTTTATAATCGCCGTTGACAATTATTATTATTAATCTATATAATACGATATTATACGTATCGAGGGTGTGAACACGATATGATTTATACTGTTCGTAGAAATAAAAAACCAACCATTAAGTCGGAGCCAGGCGTTGTAGGGTTAAAATAATAAAATACACAATAACGCGCGGGTTAATATTTTCACTGCTCAACTGTCAAAAGTAAAGGGAAAACCGTGTACGGTAGTAATTATATAAGTGGCGTTATGATTTTTGTGAAGTAATTAACGGTTGGGCATAATTTAACATTTATATAACGCCAAGTTCAATTGAGACGTCTCGGCGAATATTAGTGCGAGGTCAACAATTAATATTTTACCCGAAAACTTACTTCGAAAAACCGAATGCCATTTAACAACGCTCTTCACGCATTATAACTGTGTCATTTCGATGACTACCCAAGGGAAATTGTTCGGCTGAAATTATATCTGATTTCAAGAAGTCACTTCAAAACCGATTTCTTTTTATATTTTTGAAGAACAAAAAAAAATAATCCATTATTAAATATAAGTAACATGAAAAACCGTATTCGCTGATTTTGTAGTACGTTTTATATCAGAACGACTTAAATATATTGTACGATTTATATCAAATTTTACAAAACTGTGATCTCAGCGTATGAAGGTCAACGTGCGTTACACGCCCCAAAACCCAAGTTTTATTTAAAGATATAATATTTGTGGGCAACTACATTGTTGATAGAGGGATTGATTGTATTTTTCTCCGGCGTTTTAAAAGGAGCATTTAGAAACTACAAACTCTATAGATCGACTACGTGCTTCGTGTTGTTTCTAATAGATATCCTTTAGTCTTATGTTGCTATCACTATTATGTATTGAAAGGAGATACCCAGAATGGGTCACAATAATTATACATAGATATGCCGGTCCTTTGAGTTCACTTTAATCGAAGCCTACAAAGAAAAACAAATGTAGGTACATAAACCGCTGTAACTTTGCGAGATCGCTATTTGGTTGAAAGCTATTGTTGTGTATGCGTTTCTTTAGCATAATGATACTGAAACCATATTAGTACATTATATTATCTTTACTTAAGGGTATTTAATTAAGTAGTCCTTTAATATACAAAGTGTAGAACCTACATCAAAGACGCACTATCCTATGATGTAATGCAAGCAATAATTATATACATATATATATATATATATATACTCGTATATTTGTAGATTTACACAGCGCTATCTATCCATATGGGAATTAACTCCTTTTGGCTAGCAAAAATTATAACACAAAAGAAAAACCAATAATCAATTTTTTTTTAACTGGCAACAATGCTCAGTCTCCTGGTATCAAAATGAATTTAAGATACAATGTTTCTGGATAATATATTGTACGATGGTATAATGTAGATGGCTAAATATAAAGTTATAATAATTAGTCCTTAAATAAAATAACGTTACTCAATCTAAGTATTCAGGAGTTTATATTCTGTAAATTTTACGCAAAGTTTTGAACTTAGTGGTTATATGTAATATAATATTAACGTTCTTAAAGTGGTTTGTGATTAACCTAATTTTGTTACTCTCTGTCTTATACAAGGTTAACCAAGTTTTATATTAGGCAATGTTTTCTTTGAAATAAAATGTTTTAGCTAATACAGCTTTTAATAGGATCTTTATAATATAATAATATGATAAAAAATAGTATTTTTTATTTAAATTAAAAAATTAAGCTTTACATGGTAACTTAAAGCAACTTACAAATTCGATTTAATTAATAATTACAGGATTATTATGGTACTTAAATTTAAATAATGACTGGTCGATAACCAATTTTGAATAAATACATGTTAAAATTGTAAAGATGCTGACTGGAGAAGAGATAGACTAGAATGTTCTGCATTTTACCGTGCAGTAAACAGTTGTTACTAGTTCTTACCTACAGTTGTTTGGAGTAAGTTTTAACAGTGTAACCATATCGAGGTTCTCTTCGATATTTTATCCATTCTCAACACACAAAACCTAATTGGCTGCTTAAAATAATAAAAAAAAAACTCTTATTCTACTGCAAACTTAACTTTTTATTACTAAAATTGATACATGCAATATTGATTATTGTAACAAGGTATTGTTTTTTTTAATTTGTTTTATATTGTATTATATTTTAAAGCTTTCTTGGAAAAATATTGAAGATGTTAGGTTTTGCAATTACGTTCTTGGATTGTTTAATGGTTCAACTAATTTGTTCATATTTATTTACATTTTATCAAAAATTTAAATAGTACTTTAAGTTGTAAAACAATTTACTCATTTAATGCTTAAAAATTTAAAAACCAAAATTGTATCAAAATTCAGTTACGTGGCCAAAATATACAGTAATTTGGAAAATGTATACCGAAACTTAAATTTTGAGTTAGTTCAAAAGTTATTTGAATTAGTTTGTTTCAATTTCATATTTTCACTTATGTTAGCCACACAGCTTCCATTAACAGGATTTGTAAAAAAACAAACAAATGAAAAACAATAATGCATCTGTGCATTGTCTGTTTTAGTATAATGTTGTAGCCATACTGACACCATTCACACGTTTGATGTCACCACGTCCTGGCATATTATAAATATGCATAGAGTATTTCCTAAAGGTTGTTTTAAATATTGATTTAAGCGCGTAACCTTTAACTGTTTATTAATTCAGTTCAGAGAAACCGTGTCATTAAATGGCATAATATAGCGCCGAATTACTATACAGCCAACAGCACTCAACAAGACGGATTTAGATTTGTTTGAAAAAGAGTTTCATTATATATATATATATATATATATATATATATATATATATATATATAATGAATATATATATATAAATATATATATATATAAAAATGCCTAAGTACTATAACATTTTACTAGTTGTAGCTCGTTATATACTCTCGGTAGGATCAGGGTTTTTCACGGTGGTTGTTATTATGCTAAGGGTAGAGAAAATCGACGTTCCGAATGTTTAATTACACTCAGAAACGCAACGGGCAAAGACTGCCGTTATCCAATATCTTATTTATGTTTATGATACAGTGGAGGAGTTTTTCTTTTACCCTCTACTTACCCTATTGTAGGTCGACATAAACACACACACAAATGGACGTCATGCAATCAAGACATAAAACCAAAATTAATCTCAACCCGTTATACGCAGGGACTGTAGGGGTTTGTTTTATTTTTATTTGCTTTTTTTTATTTTATTTTGTTTTCACAGTCGGCTTTTATAGGTATTAGAGGTCGTTAGCGGTTTTTTTTTTCATCGGCAAATTACCCCGGCTTCGAAGAGCCGTTATTACCCTAACGGACGCCTGTTTGTGCCGCGCAATTTGCTCACAAGACCTTTCGGTAGTTAAGCCAGAAAGAAAGATAAGTTTTGTTTTTCAAAAAGGGCGGTTTGATTTTTTCCGTTTGCCAAACGACATATCTTGCGAATTCGGTCGGTTTTAGCAGTTAGCTAGAAAAAAATAATCATGTGCTATTTGTGTTGATTTTGTGATAATAATAACGCGTAAGTAACCTGATGTTCTCAAAAAAATTCAAGTTATTTTAGTAAAGACCATTTGAAAATT